CACCAACCCAACCATCCAACCCACCATCATTTTCCCAACCATCATCAATCACCACAACCCCCACGCAAACGCCTTACTCGCCAACACAACACCCAGCTGACACGCAATCCCTTCCATCTCTCCACGTCCCTCTCCGCAGAAGGCCCGTTTCCCGCATCATCATCTTCAGCAAGGGCCACACTCACAAATCGGGCAATTTGGCCTTTGCCGTACCCACCGCTTCATGCAGGGATTACGCAAACGCACTGTCCACACACACAAAATAATACAATGCAACCTGGTCATGCCCGGCGCGGTTTGCAACGGTTATCCTGGTGACAGGTAAACATGTCATTGTTGCAGTGCGAAACGTATGACAGCGCTGTGTGGGAGATCTGGGGTTCTGTCAACTTAGCTTAGGATGTTGTTCAGGCAGACAACATGGCTGACTGCGTTGGTTGGCTGGGTTGCCTGAGACGTGAGACGTGAAACTTTGATGCATCAAACAGACACAGCCCATCACAGCATAGCACAGCCCTACCCTTTTGTTCCACAATTGTACCAGCAGGGTAATCCCATCTCCTCACCCGCTTCCATACATCCGTCCATTCTGCTTCCATCCCGAACCCCCAGCTATCCCATTCAATACAGAACTTCATATACGCCCCCATTATATTCGCCTCGCCTCGCCTACCCAGCGCAGGTTAGTCTCGCTCTGCGTTCGCCGTCCTCTCGGCATTATTCCTCCCTTATCCTCCGCCGCAGTGACCTCTGCTCACAGATCTACCTACAGATAACAAACTAGGAAAGAAAGATTTCCCAATACCGCCGCACGCAGACCGAGCGAGCAGCGCAGAGTGGAGAAACCGCTCATCAAGTCCATCTTAGATGCGGGTACAAAGATGTGGGTAATCAGGGACCACATGGATCGCAAAACCGACAGGGATGCGCGGATACGAGAGGAAAGGGCAGACTTGGCATCGACGTCATTGTTTGTGTGTGAAGATACGGGTCTCGGGGTGCGGGTTTGGCGGATTGCGTGTTGCTGCGGAGCGGAGCGGATCTCGGCAGGTATGGGACGTGTTTATACGTGGCGAGTCGCGGGTTGCGTGTTGGGCTGCGAGGAAGACGTGCGTTGGGTTTCCAGCAGTCGTGAGTACGTAGTTTGTAGATAGTAGACAGCAAAGTCGAGTTTCATTGCGTCATTTCGCATAATCGGGGTGGACGTGGACAGTTGTATGCACAGACCGGGTTTGGTGTTGCAAGTTGAACGTTGTTATCCGCGATTGCCAAGAAGAACCCACCCAACATCACAAGGACAATCAAAAACTGACACGACAAGACTGACACGACAAGTTGGGATGATGTGATATTGATTGATTTCTAGCTGATTTGCTTCGCTTGACAAAACTAAACTTAAATGGGATATCATGAGTTCTTCGTTTCAAGAAGCCAATGCCACCAATATGTGTGGGGCAGCGCAAAAACGGAAACAACAGATTGAGGCGCAGTGCCTGTGCGTTGCAAATGTAGCGACGGACTAATACAGGTAAAGCCGTCGTCGGCGCGCGAACACTTCGCACTAGCCAACGTGGCAGAAGCTGGAGAGAGCGAGAGACAGAGAGAGGCGAAGAGGGGTATCATGACCTCTTTGCACTCCAAAGGAAGAAAGACTCGATGAGTAAGATGAGAACAAGGAAATGCCGTTTCGTTGCGCCATAGATACGCCGGGTATTATGCGGGTTGTTAAGCAAGAAAAAAAAATCCAAGATAAAAGGGTTCAACCAAAATCGACAGACGAAACAGAGATAAAAAGCGGATCCAGGCCGAGATAGGGATGAAGGTAGGTAAGGGCGATGTGGCATGTACAAGGTGGATGTGGTGGTATTTGCATACTAGTGTGGAGAGTCGTCTATGCGTTTGGAGTATGTGGCGGTTCAGAGGTGAGGTGATAAACGAAAAGGTCATGGCCAGGTCCATGCGCGGCCTTTTTACAGGGAATCCATGAAATCCATTAATGACTTGCGGCGTCGTATAGCGCGGCTCTTGATGCTAGACATGGACGCAGAGTCGCTATCCGGGCAAGGCGGGATAATGAGCGTCGGCTCCCGCTCGTTTGCGCCGCGAGGTAGCATCCGTCCCATGGTGGTCGATCGCTTCTGCTGCATCGTGCTCTTCATTTGCGGGACTGGAGGTGCGCACTCGGGTGTCGGTGTCCTTTTGGAGTCAGCTCCGCGCGACTTTGGTCGGAGAATTGTCGATGCGCGTCGGATTTTGTTCTGGTTGAAGTTGGCACCTCCGTCAAGGGGTGCCGTCTGTGGCGTCATGGGTGTGACGGGGGTTGGTGGAGCCTTGCCGTTGATGCGCGCGTCGTAAGGTTTTTTTGCCGGGGTGATGGCAATCTTTGCCAGAGAAAGCTTCATGGAGATTGAGCGGAGCCGCCTGTGTGCGGCGGGCTTCTTGATAATTGGCGATGCAGCGCTGTTGGTAGAGTTTTCGTAAGGGTCCGAGCTGAGGAAGGAAAGAGCAGGGGACATGGGTGTTAGGGGTGCGAGATACGACTGCCTGTTTGATGCCGGGTACGCCGATTGTGTAGTTTGGATCTTTGAGAGGTCAAGACGCGATTGCGCGGGAATGTAGACTGAAGAGCGTGCCGATGATACATGCTCTCCGGCAGTGGATGTCGAGGGTCGACGAGGCGCTTCACTGGGTACGGGTGAGTAGCTGCGGCTGGATGCAGTCTGGAAAGATGATGCAAATGAAGCAGAGTCTGGGTGAGAGTTGATGTTTGCGGTGATTGGGCTATGGCTTGTGGAAGGTCGTCGGGTGTCAAGGTCGCAAGTGATTGATCTTGAGGGGGAGATTGGGGATGAGGACATGCGGTTGGAGGGAGGAAGCTTCAGAGACAGGCGTTGTGCCTCGTCTGCCTTTCGCAATCTGTTTGCAGCTGTGCCTGGAATTTGAGCAACCGACGCCGACCTTTGCTGTATGGTTGGCCGTGTAGTGTCCATTTCGACAACCTTGGGACGGCCTGCATGTGCATAAGAGACCAAGACTGCCATGTCGCAGCTCATGCCTTTGTCCCAGCGGGATATGGACATCCTCCTCGCCTCCTTGGTGAGATCATGAACAACAACGTCTTCGTAGTCGTACTCGGAGTCGGAGTCATCTCCATCGTCGGCAGTCAGGTCCTCCTCGCTGGAGAGATAGCGCTTCTGCAAGACGGTGTTGTCTTTTCCAGCAGGCGGACTTGATTCCTGCGAGGCTGGGTTACTTATCCGCAGCGTCTCTGGCACATCGTCGCACAGGTTCGGGCTCGAGGCGGAACTGTCGGTGCTCGCACGTTGTGGGCGTGCAACGACGTCAGGCTTGGCAAAGGTCCATTGCGAAAGCTGCGAGGTCACAGCAACGTCGACCATGGTTGCGGATGGAAACGAAAGTAACGGGGCAATGCTCGTTCAGCGGCGCAGTACTGATATATCGGCTTGGGCGGCAGCTGGTTCGGCTTGAAACCAAAGGCGTGCAGGTCTTACGCGCCAATGGTCGGAGAGGAAGGCGTGGCTTGGGAGCACAAGGTAAGCGTCCGTCTGAGTGAGACTCGGGGTGTCACAGTAAACTCGCAAAGGCGACGGAGCCGGTTTGAATGCTCGATGTAGTGTGGAGGGGCACTAGGTGTATATGGTGACCAGAAGTGGGAGGGGAGTGCGGCCGACGCTATATTGGACACTTTGGCGACGGGTGTATATATTGCAGCACTTTGCAGGTCCAAGGAATCAGGACCCCTGGGGCCTGGCAGACGTCGAGGTTTCAAATGCAGGCGAGCAAGCCTAGCAGGGCGACGGGCGACTAGCAAGGGACATGGGAACCTAAGAGTCAGGTCACGGAGTCAGTGCGCCATTCATCATTTCGCGGACGGGCTGGGGGGGGGCGTTGGCGACTTTTTGGCGATGGCGCAACCTCCAGGGCCGTCCAGGGCTCGTGAGCCAGCCTACAAGCCTGCACCTGGACCTTTGGCCTAGCGGCGGCCCAGAGTGAGGTGCGAAGAAGGGCCTCGACGGCCTGATCTGACTGGTTCTGCCCGCGTTTCACCTCGACGACGACCAGGCAATCAGACCATGTCGTTGGTGCTGGGCAGGCGATAAGCAAGTCGAACGTCGCAGTGAACGCGTGGGCAATGTGCAGCAGCAAAAGAACGGGTTGGGAGGCGTTGTCGGACGTCGCAGCAGCACGGCACAGCGGACATGATCGCCCTCCCAGCTCCCTTCATCTCGAGCGCAATAGGCAATGGGAAGCCGAGCACCCACAATGCCACCTTGTCCCTTTGTCGACGCCAGCCTGACAGGTGTTCTTGTGCCGCTCAGGGGCAGCACCAGTCAGGATTCAGCAAACGCGAACGGGCTCGCGCTGTGTGGGGTTGACCCAGAGACGGCCAACGCCATAGCCGCACAGGATCCATCGAGATCCCCGCCAACGCCCATGATGACTATGGGTATTTTTTTTCCTTTGCCCGCTGCACCCGTTGTGCGAAGCCATTACCAGACGCTGGGACTGAGCGTTGCAAAGAGACCCTTCCAACTCTTTTCCGACCCCTGGCCTCACCTTCGCACTCGCACTGAGAGCTTGCCTGGGCCAAACCACAAGAGTCTAGTCCGAGGCGTCTGCGAGGAAAGTGCCGGTGTCGCACTGGTGAGAGATGACGAAGCATACGAGAAACACCAAGCTCGTCGCGCCTATCTTTGCACTTTGCATGCAGCGTTGCGTTGCGGACCCCGAATCTGGCTTGGCATCCTCTCTCAGGTACCGGCACCGCGCATCACCTGGCTCTATTCTCGGCCCAAACGCCGTCACCGCCATGGTCAGCTCTGCTCTAGGATTCGTCCCTAGAGATGCCGTTGCCCACACCGCCATCACCTCGACGGCACTGGGGATCCACCCGCTGGCTCTGTTCTACGCTGAACTATGTTGAATAGTCAATGGCGCTATCTGCTGCAAAACTCTGCTGCAGATTACCCCGACAAGTCCCGCGACCCGCCTTGCTCCGTTTGTTCCGTCACTTGCTGCTTCCTGTCTCGCTGCTTCGTGCTTGCCTAAACAGTCAGGCTCCTCGCCGCTTTCGGCCACCAGCATAACCTCGCCAATCTGGACATATTAGCACCTTCTCAACCGGACCTGAGGGCCGTGCCACCTACACACACAACCTCTACAGAGTGTGTGCTGCCATCGCGAGCCTTGCAGTCGCATTAACAAGATGCAACCCTTAGCTTGTCTGCCATGCTCGGCAGCCCCGTCGCATAATACACTACTCGTCTGACATCCTACAGTACAGCTGCTTACTGCCTTGCACCGCATTGTTTCGGTCACGGTACCAGGCTTACACCATCCATCCCGACTGTCTCTTCCTTCTCTTGCGTCATCATCATGGTCTGGCAGGAAGCTGCCCAACACCAACGTCGGTTTCAGCCTCGCAGCTCGTGTTTCTTTTTTCATCTTCTCGCATAATACCAGACGAACCCGGTCCGAAGCCAACCATGGTCAAACAGGCCGCCTCGACCCTGCGTCGACAACTGCGTGTCTCAGCTGCTGTGCCTTTGTGCTGCGATAATGCGCCCCCGCTCAATCGCCACGCTCACGCAAACGCCGTGCTACCAATGGATCCCTCGGAACCTCGACCCTGAGGATCCCAACGTGCCACGACAGCTGGCCTCGCGAACATTACACAAACACGGCGACTCCCTCTAGCTGCAAGCTACGGTTGCCATATGTGATGGCGAAACGAGTGCGAACCGATTATGCTACGAAACCATACTTCTGGTAAAACTGTAACCGTTACCGGACCAGGCCTGTCGATTCGTCCCAATTTATTAACCTTCCCAGACGAGTAACCCGTATGCGGGATCCAGCACCCAGTCTTCTGGTCCATCGGAGTTGCACACGCGTGCATCCGATTCTCCACACTTATGCTTGAACTGGGCATCTGCTAGCTCCCTCAGGCATCTCGTCATTGTCATCAATGTGCTGACGGCGTCCGATTCCGTGGGTTTGCAGCCCCGTTTGTTGACTAGGAAGCGACTCGTGCACTGTGTTGCATGGGATTGTTTCAATCATCCTATGACAGTTTCTTGTGAGGCGTCAGGCCGGAAGCTGTGTACTCCGAAGAACAGCCACAACGGCGAACGGCCATGGTTGAGGTGCGTAAATGTCCTCCACCTGGCACGTGCTGCACTATCGAAAGGTCTTTTATAAACGTCGTGTGAGTGACCAAAAGCATACGTTGCAAAACATGATTAGATCGCTCGAGACAACTTCAACGCTGGACAATTACACAACGAGCCCAACCATGCGTCTTCTGATCATGATCATCCAGCAGTAATATTCTCGAACCTCACTTCATCTGTCGCCATATCAACACACCACCACTGAGAAGGAAGCGAGTTTCATGTAGAGTATCATCTGATGCCGCGGGGTAAATCTACCGACTCAAGTACGATACCGCCATGACCCATGGTACCATGTATCGATGGCGCAAGCCACCGCATACCAGTATCTATATTACCCGACTGGCAGGGATGTAGCTGCAGCCGACCAAATCCGTCAGTAGGAGTTGCAAGAGAAAACATTTTGCAAAAGTCAAAGTCCGTGGATGACATGGCTGCAGGTTTGCCGTCAGTTCGCTGCGTGAGGTCAACAGAATATTCTGTATTCCTGTGTGCACGTCATCGGTTCATCGCATATGCTTCTTGCGCGGCTTCACATGCTTCCGTTGTTCGGTCCACAATTGTTCGGTACACAATGCAGGAACTCTGACTTCAATGTGCAACTTGCCGACCCATTGTGCGAGCAAAAGCAGAGGTACGGAGATAAAGCCGAAGTCGCAAATCAGACACTCGTCGATCGGCCGTCTTTTTCGCCTTCGTTTAAAGAAATAGGAGAATAACACATTCTCCATCAGTGTAAACAAATACCTGAAGCACAAGTGCTCATTGCATCGGAAGAAATGAAGAAAACCAAAACAAACTGCACTGGTCGTCAAAGTTTGGTTGCGCGTTCCCCGCAGCGCACCCAGCATCCAAAATCACCATCCACAGTAGGCAGCAACAGTCTGCATGTGCCACCTACACGACCCCAAGAGTAATCTCCCTCTTCGTATCATTTCGCAGCAGTCTTCTCCCTCTCCGCACAAACCATCATCTCCTTTGTTGTATACCTTTGTAGGTAGAGATAGGGAACATACACATAATTGCTTCTGTACATCTCTTGGCATTTCTGCTCGTTTCGTCCCAACAACCCGATTGCCAGGTACAACACGATCCGCGTCCCCACAGCCCAATAGCCGATGCTTCTGTTGGATGATTAGACATTTCATCATACTCGCCAACATTGTGATCTCTCTCGTCTGTTATACGGCATTGCTACTGTTTTCATCGCATACCAGCACCAAACTTGAACACATTCCTTTCCACAAAACACAAAGTGCTCCCCAAGCCACCCCACATTGTTTTGCCCGTTTGCTTTTTCGAGGATGGAGTGCATCATGGAAACGGCGACGCAGCCACATATCAGCCACCAGTTTCACGACAACAACCATCACAATCATGGTCACAGCCGCTTGCCGCGCAAGTTGTGGGAACACCCTGACCCAAAGTCCACAGCCATGTGGCGCTTCATGCAGGATTCCAATGCAAGACACGGTTTGCAGATGCAGGTGAGCTTTTTCTCGTTTTCTTTGGAATGGTGCTGGCGAGGGAAAAAGAAGACAAGAAGAGCGGGTCTTACTTGACAGTGGCTTTCTACGTTTGACAGCTGAACGTCACGTTGGAAATCATGCACCCATAACAACTCCCAGACTTGGCTCGTGGCTGAGGGATTCTGATTTAGTACTATAATCGAGCAGTTGTTCTGCAATTGCGCATCACCACCTCGCACCTGCAGATTGACTGGAGATGGAAGCGGCAGATTAAGATGGACTTCTGGCTGACTCGCAACAAAAATAGACTTTTGACGACTTACATTCATGGAGTGTTGGGCCCCACCGCACCGATTTCTGGGACGACATGTGGGCTGCCAGTGGACTCATTTACTCTGGAAGCTACACTGAAGTATGTATATCGTACAAAAGGAGTTATCCTCTCCACATTCTAATCGTGTTCACCGCCTACGCCTTCGTCTTCAACAACTCGGCTAACACTGGACTAGGCCGTAGACACATCCATACCCATGGAAAACAACCCTCGATGGTACGACGGCACGAACCTTAACTTTGCCGAAAACATACTCTTCTCCGCAGCACTAGAAGATGCCTCAATTAGAACTACAACGAACAAAGGAGAGAACAAGATTGCGTTGACCCAGATCCGCGAGGGCAACATCGAAGTCGAGAATTTGACATGGTGCGAACTACGCCGTCGTGTCGGCCTATTATCAAACTCACTTCGCGCAAGAGGAGTGGGCAAAGGCGATAGAGTTGCCGTGATAGCCAGCAATAGTTTTGATACGTTCATTACCTTCATGGCCATCACGAGTCTTGGTGGCTTATTCAGCTCCAGTAGCACAGACATGGGCACCAAGGGTATACTGGAGCGACTTTTGCAAATCAAGCCCAAATACGTCTTCGTAGACGATTGGACAGTTTACAATGGTAAGACGATCGATCTCCGACCCAAGATCAAGGAAGTTGTCGCCGGCATGGGTGGAGTGATTGAGTTTCAAGGGATAGTCGTTCAGCCCCGATTCCAAGGCCGACCTGCGGACGTTGAGGGTTTCAGCAGGACTGAAACTTTGAGCGATTTTCTGACCTCTGCATGCGACAATGAAGAATTGGAGTTTGAGCGAGTTGCATTTCACGATCCGTTCTTGATTGTATACTCCAGCGGAACTACGGGCATGCCAAAGTGTATCGTGCATTCTACTGGAGGAGTGCTCATCAATACTTGCAAAGAGGGCCTACTTCACAAGGAGATGACGCCAGAGAGCGTCGTCTTGCAATACACTACTGTAGGTTCATTCTCGGCCACAGATTGATCGTCTGACTGACAAGCAACAGACTGGTTGGATCATGTACCTGGTCACTGTCCAGGTGTGTCTTTTCGGTGTTCGAAGCGTTTTGTACGATGGCTCGCCATTCAAACCCTCGCCGCAGGGTTTCCTAGCTATGCTGCAACAACAACGGGTCACCGACTTTGGCACATCACCGCGCTTTTTGCACGAGTTGCAAAAACGCAGCCTCAACCCCCGGGAGTTCCTGGACTTGTCTTGTTTAAGAAGTGTTGCTACTACAGGCATGGTGCTCCCAGAAGCACAGTTCGAATGGTTCTATGATGTTGGTTTCCCTGCCCATGTCCACCTACGCAACATCTCTGGTGGAACCGATCTGGCGGGCCGCTTCGGAATCGGGAACCCCCTGACGCCAGTGTATGCGGGAGGCTGTCAGGGACCATGTCTGGGTATGAAGGTGGAGGTCTACGACAGCTTGATTGAGAGCGGTCCTGGCGTTGCGGTCCCAGATGGCGAACCAGGTGAACTCGTTGCTACCGCCTCATTCCCCAATCAGCCCATCTTCTTCTGGGGCGACAAGAGTGGCGAGCGGTATAGAAACGCATACTACACTCGCTTTCCCCATGTATGGACACACGGCGACTTCATCCAAATTCACCCGTTGACGGGTCAAATCACCTTCCTTGGCCGCGCCGACGGAGTGCTAAATCCATCTGGTATTCGATTCGGGTCTGCAGATATCTACAGCGTCATCGAACAGCACTTTCCCGAGGTAGCAGATAGTCTATGCGTGGGCCAGCGAAGACCACTAGACAATGATGAGACTGTTATATTATTCCTCAAGATGAACAACGGACATAGATTCAGAGAAGGGCTAGTGGAAAGAATCAAGAGCAAGATCAGCCAGGAAAGAAGCAAGAGACATGTTCCTCAATACATCTTCCAGACTTGGGATATTCCAGTAAGTCAAACACGCCCAGGAAGCATTCCATGACAACGCTAACAAAATCTCTAGACTACTGTGAACCTAAAAAAGGTCGAGCTGCCGGTCAAACAGATCGTCTCCGGCAAAAAGATCAAAGCAAGTGGGACTTTGGCGAATCCCGAGAGCCTGAAGTACTACGAGCAGTTTGCGAGGGTCGAGGAGGTGGTCAAGAGATTGGCCAGAGACAAGCAGCGACGCAGGAGAAGTACGTTGTAGGTGCAGACAGGAAAACACATCAGCTCTACCAGATGTGTGGATTTTTGCTATGACCATTTCATTGACAGTTTTACGACACATGTTCGATTTGGACGATTACGATTTTGAATTAGATACCATTTGAAGGATACGGGTACTATTAGTATATGACTAGAGTAAAGATGTACAAAAATGTATAACTACAATTTGAAAGGTTTCAGCTGTCGAAGAGATCGACAAACGTGGTTGTAAACGTTCTTGGTAAGGTTTGATAGTGACATGCGTACGACGCGTAAAGTGAGGTGGGGTGACACGTCGGCCCTCTTTCACCCCGCCCGTGCGTCGCGTTAGTTTACCATGTCGCGTTGTCACAACAAACAACAACCGCACCGTTGTAGCACAATTCTTATCGCATCTTAACTTCGCAGAATCGCAACATTCAAAGTCCCATGCACGGCCAAGATGGTGCGCACACATTCTTCGCACACGGCAAGCCCCACGCGCTTCCAGTCGCCGCAGCGCAGCCCGGCGCGTCGTCCGTCGCAAGATGGGTCGCAATATGAGATGGACCTGGATGCCCTAGGTCTCAATTCGACATTCGAATCCACCGAACTAGACAACAGTCACCGGCCGCCTGTCGACCATCTGGAAACGAGCGAGATTGAAGGGCCGGAAGACTTTACCATGAACATGACATACTGGATGACGGCAGATCTCCCGCTTGCACAGATAAAGTCGCGAAAAGAAGCAAACACCAAGCGGCCGGTGATTAGAATGGACGTAATGCAAGAAGGAAGTGAGGGGCAAGGGGCGAGGGATGCGACCGACAAGCCTACACAGGAACGCATCGAGCAGCGGAGAGACGATCGATCCTGCACCGCTTCTCCTACAAGGCGCGCAAACGGCAATGCAGGCGAGCGCGCATATAGCAAACCGCCGTCTGAACGGTCAATGGAAAACGAAGAGAAAGTTCGGAGTTTTCTCAGCAATCTTCCAGATACGGAGATGGATGGTGCCATCACCGGTACGCCCCTACACGTCCCCAGACACAGCTTTCTACAAGTCCCCAGGTCTTCACCACCGAAAGCACGCTCGCTACAGCCAACCGTTGAGGATTATGATACCCCGCGGAAACCGACTGCCGAGACGGTCATACGCCACACTTCGGCTGTTATTGACACGAGCGAGCAGGACGCCGCGCGGAACAAGATCATGGAGTTACAATCTCAGTTGGAGCAGCAGGAGTCAAGATCAAGATCGCGCATTACAGAACTTGAAACGCTGCTCTCTTACACTCGCTCGGATCTCGAAAGCGCACGAACAGACAATTACAGACAGAAGGAGAGGGTAGCGAGTCTGGAGAAAAGCATGGCACAGCAAACTGCAGATCACGAAGCATCTCGCGCAACGACAGACACTGAATCGAAGGCACGCGAAAGCGCACTGGAGACCAAGATGCATGAGTTTGGTGAGAAGATGCGTCTTGAGAACCTGGCAAAGCTGGAGACAATGGTTGAAGAGTTCGAGCGACAACGAAAAGCCCTCGAAGAATCAAAGCGACAATTGACTGAAGAGGTCAAGTCGAAGGCTCAGAGTTTGGAAGAGGCGCAAACAGAGTTGGCCCTCATGCGACGGGAGAACAAGACGCAATTGCAGCAACCCGAGAACAAGAACGATGCTGACAAGGAGCGCCTGTCGCTCGCCGAGCAACTTTCTTCAGTCCAAGCACGAGCGGAAGCCCTGCAGTCGAGCCTTGAATCAGCCACTTCTGAAGCTCGAGCAGCGCGCGAGGACGCACAGAACAATGACGCGATGCGCTCTGCAGCCGAAACCAAGGCGCGAAGTCATGCGAAGCGCATCACTGAGCTTGAGGCTCACCTTTCGACTGCGCGGTTCGAAGTGCAATGCGCCGAAGCTGATATGGCGGCCAAGAAGCAGCTGTTCCAGACAAATCTCGATCTCAGCTCTCGACTTCGTGTACTACAATTGGAGTTGGAGACTGCGCAGAAAGGGTCCGTTGTGCAAGGACAGGAGGGTCTCCGTACCACTGAGCTTGAAGCACGTATCAAAGAGCTTGAATCCGAGATAAGTTCTCTCCGGTCGCAACTCGAACCTACGAGTACACCTACATCTGGCAACGACCAAAGCCTCCATATAGCCGATCTCGAAAGACATATACGATCACTACAGTCGCAACTACAATCGGCGCAAGACGAACTGGCCGCCAAAGACAATCAAATCCCGCAATACATGGAAACTCAAGAACACACTGAACAACGCCTAAACACATCTCTAGGCCGAATCCAAAGCCTCGAAGCCGGCATGACCAGTCTCCGCCAACAGCTCGCTGAGGCCCACCGCGACGTAGCCAAAGCGCGTGCCGACGCCGAACGCTTCGAACAAGATCTCGAAGATGCCAACGACCGTCTCCAAGACGAGCGCGCGGAAGCCGGTCGCCGCGTAACCGACCTAGACAGAAAACTCGCCAAAATGAAGGAGCTAAAAGTCGACGCCGAGTCCAAATTCAAAGAGCTGCGCGCCCAACACGACGACCTAAAAGAAGGCCACGAAGCCATGACGCAAGATATCCGCGACAAAGCCGAAGACGCCATCTGCAAAGCAGCCAGTCTCCTCGACCAAGAGCGCAGCGAGAAAAAGCGTCTACAAAAGGAACTTAAAAAGATCCGACAAGACCTCGACAACCTACGTGCTCGTGGTGGCATATCCTCTTCCTCCGACGATGAAAGCTCCACCATCGCCGCACAGGAAGAGTCTAAATCCTCCGCAGACTTATCCTCGCTTCGTACTGCTCTCGCGGCTCAAACCGCGCAAACTGCTTCTCTGAAATCCAGTCTTTCGGTCCTTCGCCAGGAACTACGTTCTTTCCATAATCAACAATCGCCTCAACAATCTCAGCTTCAATCACAGGTCGCTCAACTCCAGAAACAAAACGCAGATCTCCAGGCCCAATTACAGCACCAGAAGGCTGAACATGACGCCATCGACGCGGCTATGGATGAGAAACTAGCGGGCCTGTTGAGTGGGTTGGTAAAAGAAAAGGCGAGGAATGTGGTTGGTGTTAGAGATGGGCAGTGGGAGGAGAAGGTTAAGGGGTTGGTGGGGGAGAGGGAGTTGTTGGGTAGGGTTGTGATGAGGCAGTGGGGGAGAGAGGAGATGGGTGCGAGTGAGGATGGTGAGGGTGCGGCGCGAGGGAAGCAGAGGTATGGGTATAAGTTTGTTAAGAGGGAGAAGTGAGAAAGGGGTTTAATGGATTTATGAAGGAGTTTGGATAGGTTACGTTTTTTGGGTGGGTGGGTGGCTGACTGGGAGTTTCTTCTTGTTATGAAATCACCATGACTTTTCTCTTGTAGAAATTATCACTACTTATCTTTCCCGACCCCTCCTATCCCTATCCCCATCTCCACCTCGCCCTTCCCACCATCAATCCCCCTCCCCTTATCCCAACCATTTCTCACCCCCTCACTCAAAGCAACCCCTTCCTAGCCATCTCAACCTTCTTCCCAAACTCACCCTCAACCCAACCCCCCTTGGACCCACAAACCGCAATCCCCTCGCCCAATTCAACTTTGTCTTCGACCGTCTCCCACGAGCAGGGGCAGTGGTGTGGGAAATGTACGCATGAGAGGGTGCCGGGGCAGAGGTAGTGTGTGCATTGTGCTGTGTTGGGCGTGTTAGCAGCCGTCCTCATATTTAATACTTTCGGCGCGAACTTTGCAAGTTCCGAGAGAAGAGGGGATACATACCGCCCTCATACTGTGACTGGTACCAACTAGCATCACTCCGTACGTTTTGCGCTTCTTGCTCGTGGTGGTGGTGGTGACCCTGTTGCTGGCCGCCGCCGCCGCCGAACATTTGGTCGAAGAAACCGAATTGGGCGAGGGCGGGGGTTGTGAGGAGTGTTAGGAGGACAGTTGTGAGAAGTATTGTGGGGTTCGTCATCGTTGCGGTTTGCTGTGCGTTGCGCGTGGAGTTCGGATAGTGGTATTGCGAGTTGTGAGATAGCAAATTGTATTTTTTGATTGTTGCAAAAAAGGGTTGGATTCTTAGCCAAGGTGTATCAAACCCTCAGGCTTTTCCTAGGTAAATTTCCTGGGATAGTATGCTCGTTGCGTCCCAAGGTCGGCGTCGCGGTAAAGTGGGTGATGTGGAACTTCCGTGATGGATGCAAACCAGCCAAACACATATCCTGGTACCGACGCGAACAACGGGGGACAGGGATGCATAGTCTTGGCAGGTAGCTCGGTGGTCCGCAGAAAAAACTCCCGCCCGCGAATTTGACCCAAAGCTCCCTCCATATCGCGAACGCAACCTCAATACCCACCGCAACCTGTCGCATCCCCGCGCCTCACCTCAATTCAGCCGAATAAATCGCAAAATCAAGAAATCTAAAAACCGCAATGTTCGTCTCCTCCAGCCACGCAGCCACACAAACATAGACGAGTGAGCGGCTTTCTAACAACGCACACAGCATGCATCTAATGTACATCCCCGACCCGGCGAACCCGAGCAAGCGCATTTACACGCTGAAAAAGGTCATCGATGGCGAGGTTAGCAAGAGTGCGCATCCAGCGCGCTTTTCACCTGATGACAAGTACTCGCGCCATCGCGTTACGATTAAGAAGCGGTATGGACTGCTTTTGACACAGCAGAGTAAGTTTTCTTCTTCTCTAGGGTTGTAGGCGCATGAGGCGGTGGAGAGGGGTGGAAGGGTGATGGTTGAGTAGTAGGGATGGAAGCTAACTCGGTGCAGAGAACAAGGTCGCGGAGAAGATCTAAATGTCTACCGGGAATTGGCAATCGATCGAGGGACGAGGGTGTTCAGCAGGAGTGGAAGTGGTGCAGATGTGGATATTGAGAGGGACTGAAGAGCTTGCGTGTAATCACGCAACAAGAGAGAAGAGAAGGCAAGAGCATGATGCAGGCGTTGGAACGGCGTAACAAAGGCGCAGCGAAAAGTTCACGGCGGCACGTACAAAGGCTCCTCTATGCCAGAGTGTATTTTTCTCATGGGAGATTTCGTAGGATTTGGGAATTTTATTCGTTTCATGAAAATGGTGGTCTACGGTTGTTGTGTACGTGGGGATCGTTGCTGGTGAAGGAGCTGGAATGTGAAGAGATGACACGTTTTGAAGTCAGCGAGCAGATGCTACAAGATTACTGTCAGGTCCATGTCTCGTTTTCAGCCTAGAAACCAGATCAGAGAAGACCTCTTCTGTCGGATGGTTGAGAAGAATCGGGAAATATCGGTTAGCATACTCGTCCCGTTCCTTCTCCTTCTCTACCCAGCACAATTCATCTCACTCTTCTCTAGGGTCTGTTCCACACTTACCACGGCGTAATAGCTGGTCACACAAGATACTGCCAGTTACACCTACTCGTCGACGAACATTCTTTCACCGATCTCGTCCTCAAATAGCTCCATCTCTTATCGCACCTCAATATCAAGGCGAGGTCTGAGTGGTAAAGTATGTGACTACTCTGCTTGACCGAAGAATGCGGTTCTGATCGGTGACGAGCTCGTATATAGACCAAGTCAGCTGCCTCTGGTCATGCATGACATCTGAAAGCTGAGCTCGAGCTGGCCTACGAACGTGATGGCGTTCTGAGATGGCATTATCTCTACCATGTAGTGCGACCGAGACAGTGAATATGCTTGGCTGTTGGGTACGTCATGCGAGACCTGGTGTCAGCTCTTTCTAGACTAAAGGGTTGCGTGGCCGCCTCGATGCCTTGGAAGCAGGTGTCTTATCCGATGGTTAGCGACTACAACCCTACCGATCCATCCCCCGCTTCCGTCAGGGCGAGATGGAAGAGAGATGAGTTGGCGAGGGGTAAGACAAGAAGGCGCAGTCAGATGGTGTATCAACCCCCACGCGAACTATCCAAAGCGTCTCTCGCGCGAGCTTGTTTATTCTGTGATGCGTATGCGGCGTTGGAGAGTGGGCCCGGCGCGCATGACCGAGAGAGGTCCTGCAGCAGACGACATCATGAACGTGGGCGTGGTGGTGATGTCGGCGTAGTCCGCAGCTCAGAAGGATGCTTTGGCCCACCTTGTCAGCGCTGCTCTCCCGAGCTGCGGGTAGCCGTATCTTCGTCTGGGCCCATGTGCACGTCATTGCGAGCGAGGCCAGTGAAGGGAGTGTGCGAGGTGGAAAGGACCAATTGCGGGGTATGCGCCTCTTTGGTTACGCAGCAGCAACATATCAAGGTACTCGCAGTCCGTCTGACGTCCCGTCTGCCTCTCCTGCTCAAGACAACGGCTTTGCTCGTCTTCGGTGCTTCTAGGTGGGTGTGTGGACGGCCGCTAGTAACAGCGCGTATCGCGACGCTGATGCAGAATGATAGCTAGGCAGGGTCCGGATTGCAGCGGCGGTTATGCTCGGCTTCCCGTCCAGGGACAAAGGGACTTTGCTTCATGCACGCCATCATGCCCTGCAATGCTCGCCGACGTGGGGACCAAAGTCAAGCACCTGCAGATAGACGGCACAAGAAGGCCTCGAATTCGTGGCGTTCGTCATGCTTCTTGAGATGGTGCTGTGATGCTTGACGTCGTCTCAGCTGAGTCATCGGCTCGGCGATGAGGGCTTCGATGCGGTGGAGCCATGTCATTATCGCTCAGGTACTCTCTCGTACAAGACAGATTGCGTTTGCGACTAGGTGGTGGGACTAGGTGGTTTCGCGGCACAACTGTTGGCAGTAGTAGTGGGAACCACCACGGTTTGCGTTGCAGCTCGTCGAGTGCTGCATGACCCCAGCAACAAAGAAGGCCGGCCTCATTGTGGCTGCTTCTGACGTCGGGCGGGCTACGTTTAAGCTTACCATTATCGACCCGTTGACTGTCGATTTGCCGCCGGCCAGGCCACGGAGACGGCCAACTTGCAGCTCAAGGCCACACCGTCGTTGGGAAAATCTCGCGTCTCTTTTCGAGTCATAGTCACAGCACCCGGGCATCTCCACTCTTGCGCTTGCTGTTCATCTCACTTAAAGCACTGGTGCTTCCTAGTAGTCACTTTATCCACTCCCACAGCATTGACACGGCTGTCCTTCACCCATACCTCGCGACTAGGATCTGCCCCACGCTCTGGCCGTTGCAGTCAGCAAGGACATCCGCTCTACGCGCACAAGGCTATTCTTGCAGCCATCGTCATCGAACCGTCCATTCCCGTCCCAAACTCATCCCACGCTGCCAGCCTGCCCCGCGTCTTGCGCACTCTGCCCTGAAAGAATAAACTTTTCGGTTCCTCGATTGGTACCATCCGGTTAGCATCCTGACCAATTGCACAAGGCCAACCTGCAACGATCCCCACGCCGCACCTCTACCCCAGATCACGGCAATCCCTATTCATTTGCACGCCCTGAGATCACTAACAGCGGGTTCCCTACTTTGTCCTGCCCTCGTGTAACTGCTACGCATGTTGCCGGTCCGTGTGTAAACTCGGTACGATTAGTAAAGGTCATCTTGTGCCCTATACAGGCCTCTTGTCTGGACTTTGAACTCTCCGACTTACACAAACCAAGCGTGTGGGATGAATTTCGGCTTCAAGAACGATACCTCGCACTGGCCCGTTGGACAAGAACACATCAACCGATAGTCTGGTCGGATCCCCCGCACTTCCCATTGTGGCTGCACATAGTTTCTGTAATAGCATCGGAATCCCGATAACCTTGCTTATTCCACCGTGCCTGAAGGCTCCGGGGACCTCGTGGTCAGCCTTATCCAAGTCATTCTTGCCGAATCGGAAAAGAGTCCTTCAGCCACAACCACGCGACCGATCGTCATCAAGAAAGACCTATTCTTGTCTTTTCCGGCTTAGCACGTAATGGACTCTTCGTTGACTTTGCTCAGCGCGAATATCCGAATTCTGGTACGTTGTTGTTCCTTCGTTATGCGCAGTGCGGCACTGCATGGTACCAAAAGTTTCCCTGTCTTACACTGGAGGGAGCCTTGGTGGCGGGTCCTTCATGCACGACATGGCGCAGGCCTCTTTTAATTTGCCTCCCGCACAGAATTTTTCTTCTCTTTTACACATTAACTAACATGATCACTTTCAAGGACACGCAGCTCGCCCTCATACACATTCCACTGCACTTGTATCGCAACTTTCTCCAGTCCATCCTCCAGCTAGTGTTGCCTAATGCAACTCGCAGCGGCCTCAAGAATGCATCTGGTGCCGTTCAGCCTCTCAAAGGCTGGCCTTGTGAACATCCATTTGTCAATATTTCCATAACGCCCGTGGAATGCTCTATAGTATGTTCACGAGCGCTTGCCATTGAGCTCTTTGTTTCTGTTCTCAACTTGCTCGATCCGCAATCGAGGGAATCTGTCAACATTACTACAGAGGATTTTGTGGTAATGCAAGTTGATGGCGAAGGATTAGACGCCGGACAGCGCGTTTTGGAACTTACCAGCCCTCTTGCTCTTGCTGGAATGTGAGTGTACCTTGAGACATGTAGTGCAAGGCTGACCCTCAAAGTCCCATCTTCTTCATCACCACATATTTCTCCGACTACATCTTGGTTCCGCTACGCCATCGCTCCCAGGTAGTTCAGGCCCTTGAAGAGCGCGGTTTCCAGTTTGAAAAAGACACATCTTCCTACGTCAACTCTTTTTCACACGGCCGCAAGCACTCAGCTACGTCCCTAGAAGTCCAACCTCCGAGCACCCCTCCACCAACTACGATTTCCGAGCTTCAAACTAGGACGTTTTCCACGCTCAAACGTCGCAACATTGTCCCTACCGTTGACTCCAGCATTCGACTCGTTCAGTGCGCCGGCCGCAGAGACAACCACAGCCGCAACAACAGCACCACGTCCGCCGACGACGCCCTCCACCTCGGCCTCGTCAAATGCCTCATAACGCAACCCTACCCGAAATTTTTATCCCTCACGCTAACAGACACGGAATCCGCGGCTCTCCTCTTTGACCACACGCTCCTGCCGCATTTCGTCCAAGACACGCTCCTCGGCTCGAGAGACGAGTTCCTCACCCCAATCACCCTCGATCTCCGCGACTTGCCCATGGAAAGCACGGGCATCGTATGCGGTGTTGCGGGTCGGCTGGTGGGCGAAACTACGGGCCAGCTCAAGGAACCTGTTGAGATGAGTTATTTGAGTACGGCGAGAGCGGGAACCGTCATGGTGGCCGAGGAGGAGCTGGAACGCGCGCTTGACGCTTTGCGCGGTGCGAGTGCAAATGGGGTTGCGACATCGAACGAATGAGGAACGAATGAGGAATACGAGTCTTTTTTGGGCGGTGGAGGGGGTGTCAGGGGGTATCAGGAAAAGAAGGATCAAGTTTTTTTTTGGTCTGGTTGGTTCCGAGCACTTGGTCGACGTTGCAGCGATGCGTTGTATTCCTTCGCGCGCTTACCACATGGCATATGCGATGCGTTGTAGTTCGCATTCGCATCATTTGTTCCTCGATGTGCGGCTAGCGCGGCATTTCGGGGCGATGATGGGCACGGCACGCCTGATTCTCATTAGGGTTTCTTTGATATTTTTTTTCTCTCGTTCCCACACCCACATGTCGCGTATAATGGGTCACATTACCTATACCCAGCAAAGCGAGTGGGGGGAAGGATTTCGCAAAACCGTTGATCGTCGGTGATTTTCGGGTCTCGCCGAACGTGGCTTGTGCAGGCATGGATGGATCGTGGTGTGTGGGATTCTTGACATGTTGGGCGCAATGCATGCATGTTGTGAGATTTTTTTCTTGGTATAACTGGAGCATAGGGGGTACGGTTGGGTAGTGTGCTATTTTTGGATTTGAATAGAAAAGTTGTTCATGTTTTATCATTGATTACTTGAGGATGATTTTTCTGCCTGGGGAGAGGGATGGCTAAGAGGGATATGCAGTAGGCTGGATGCGGGTTGGTGGTTCCCACATATGATTGGATATCGATTGTCGTATCTGCGAGTCGCGGAACCTCACACTCGAGGTCTGCCTAGGTAGCAGTTTTACAGGAACATGTGTTGGGTTGTATGATTGCAGCTTCCATCTCATGTATAACCTACTTGTTCACCTGCTTGTTGGAGTTTGGTAGCAAGCGTCTTGTCTATATAGACGGAGCTTTTTGTTGAAGTAGAAGCTGGTGTGCATTTACTATTCGGTGATTAATTGTGTACACTGAGAACATAACAGCTTCTATGGAAAGAAACTATATATTACAGGCTTGTTCTTGGCGTCGTGTTTTGGACTCAATCTCTAGCCCGGTATCTTCAGTTTCCTTATTGATTAGACAACAACATTATCACCCATCTCAATCCCCCTGCCTGATGGCGCTGCCTATAACCAACAACACTCACCCTATATCCCCCTTCCACATCCAAATCTAACCCATGTATCCACTCTATCGCCATCTGCAACTCCCCCGATCCCTTGATGGATACCACATCCTCCTACTCATATCCACCATCATTCGGAACTGTCACCACCCCAACTGTCATCACCCCAACTGTCGTAACTCTCATCGTTGAAACCGTCATCATCGGAACCCTCGTAATTCCCACCATCGGAATCCTCGTGTGTCCCACCATCTTGGACATGCCGCACCGCCTCTATGACCAAGTCTTCCACCTTCCTTGTCAAGCGACTTGCACAACGCATTCGGTGCTTCTCGCCGTACCGGGCATCGCAGAGGCGCTGACGAGCTTCTGCAATGGCGGCCATAGCGGCCCTGCGGTCAGGGAGGAAGAGGGAAGAGAGGGCTAGGTCTAGGATATGGAGTTGAGTGTGGAGACAGGGGTCGCAGTCGCAGCAGGGTGTGTCGGTGGTTAGATTTTGGCGGACAGGCTCGGGTTGGCGAGATGGTGGATGAAACCAGGGTGGAGGGTAGGAGAAGGGTTCAAGAGGCGAGGGGAGAGGGGGGGGGGGGGAAATAAGAAAGACTGGGGGAGGCGGAAAGGGTTGGGGGTGACGGATGGGTTCGGTTTGACGAATGTATTCTGGTTATCGGCAGGGGGAAGGTTGTCGGTAGGGGGAAGGCTGTCTAGAGGGGGAAGGTCGGCGATAGGGCAGAGGTTCAAGAGAAGGGAAGGGTTGTCGAGAGGGTTCAGGATGGTGGTAGGGCTCAGGTCGACAGCTGGGCTGGCGCGAAAAAGGGCCATCATCCTCCTCGCTGTCATCTTCCCCAGCTGCCGAGGCCATATCTAGAGCCCAGTCGTGATTTGCGTTCGCTACAGGAGCTACTCCTAGATCCTCGTCTTGCGTAGGAGCGGGTGATACGGCTCGAGTGTCTTTCCCTACAGAGCTTGGAGCTCTGTCTCCATCGAAATCGCGTATAGAGAGGTTGTTCGAGAAGCTCACGCGCCTGGGAGTAGTATAGCGACCATGTACCACACCACAGCCGCTAGCTAAGTTGTTGTTGGTATGGATTCGCTTGCGATGTTCTTCCTCGATACACGATAGGGTGCTCTGATGGTAGTTTTTAGCAAGTTCTTCAGGAGCGGGATTGCTAAGTGAAAGAGAGACAGTCTTGTCTTTAATGGTGCAATGAGCATTCTTGAATGCGCGAGCGTCGCGTGTAAGAGTATTTTGATTCGACTTACCAGGTGGGGACGATGCTTTCTTTGAGCTGGGCATGGTCGTGTGTGTGGTTGGAAAGGGGTAAACTTGTGGAATTGGAGAGGCCGTCTCGAGAGACGATCGGTGGCAGAGAAAAGAGCTTTTGCGCAGTGGAACCAGTAGCGTTAAGCAGTGCACTGTGTGATGTAGGTTTGTAGTCGAGAGCAGTGGCAATGGGCTTTAAATACAGTCGTGGGTGACCGTTAGGACCCTGGCCTTTCACCTGGTCGAGCACTTGCGACACCCATGTGATTCAAGGCACCCACTATGGCGACAGCAACAACAACAGCACGGGGACTAGCTACTAGACCCTGGAAACCGAGTCTCACAGAGCGAGAACTCTGTTCAAGCCTCGCATTTGAGTTCCTGTAGCGTTAACATGGTTGGCAAGCGAGCGGCGCACCCAAAAACACACCAAAAAGCGGAGTTTTGGCAACTGAATATCTCAACAACCACCAAATAGATTTTTCTTAAAATCTTACTGTGAAGCTGCACACACATAAGCATGTAGATTGTATAGTTATAGGACTATAGCTAACTCGGTTGTAGAGTTGTCAAGCAAAAACGAAAAATTTCCATTTTTTTAGCCCCCAAACTCTATATCTCTACATCTAGAGTAGCTAGGGCCCTGTAACCATAGGATCTTATAGAATTATAATCCTAGAGTTCTAGTAAAACTTTTAAGAAAAATCTATTTGGTGGTTGTTGAGATATTCAGTTCCCAAAACTCCGCTTTTTGGTGTGTTTTTGGGTGCGCCGCTCGCTTGCCAACCATGTTATATGGTCATTAATTCACAAAGTAATGTCCATCTACAATGTTCACGTCCGTTTGGTTTAATATCAACCTCCTGTTTTTCCTTCTTCCAATAGCTCATTTACTCCACCACGAGCAGTAACACGACGTGAACATCATTCAAGTCTTTACCCTTTCATTGCATCCCGAAAACACCATGTCGGATACTGAGACTCTTGTTGGTGAATCTGTGTCGCCTATCAACATTTGCATCAGTGATGAGCTGCTGGAAGAACTTGACATCACGGTAGAATTTACGGCTGACGGCCGCGTCATGCATATTACTCGCCTGCAGCGGCATATACCTGACTACGGATCTGATTTGCATAGTATGGACTACTATACTAGCCCGAAGATTACATCTACCGTCCCGCCATTACTGGATGGGTGGTAGATGTCGCTACTCAAACTGCCGGCGTTGACTATTTTCAGGAGACCGAGGACTTGTACGAATACTGTACAGCCCAGCAATCCGCGCGTCAACTTTCAAGCTCCGAAGAGGCCGGAAACTCTGGCAGCGACGATGGAATAGACCCCTGCATCATCTGCGGATTATTTCTAGGACATTGCGACAACCTCTGTCGCCGTCCTTCGCCCTTTGTTTCACCCCTGACGACTCCTTTGTTGGGTCCGATGGGAACCCCGGATATTTCACCTCTTTCATCGCCTGGACTACAAGCTTTTACAAGCTCAATGCTGGATCTTAATGTTCTTCTAGATGAAGTCGAAGCTATCGAGGTCCGCCCATCAACGCCCCTCCTGTCATACACCCGGCCCACACAGCGTGAGCGACTCGCTGACGCAGCTTCCGCTGCACTTTCATTTTACTCATCTTGCTGAGAGGAATGCGTCTAAAGATCGGAAGCTCTCTGAGTTCCAAGATCTTTACGCTGACTTTCTTCAAGGATCAAGACCGTAGGTCCAAAATCCTGCTCTTCCAATGTATCACAGTTCAAGCCCCTCCTAATCTTCTCATCTCGTGATTCTTCTTCTGATGCAAAGCGATAGCATCGAACTTCTGCGAGTCCGAAACGCTTACCCTTGACCATAAATGCTTTAATGTCCCGATGTGTGATGACGGCGATTCTATTGTACGTTGTCGAGAGCTCCTTTAGCCTTTCCCTTACTCGTTCTGCACGTTCTATAGCGCGCTCTGTCGTATGCTCTTCATAATCCCACTCCGTACTACACTCCGAAAAGTCGAACTGCGGAAACTTAGTTTCTAGCTCTGCGCGTGACGATCCCTTGTTGCAAATTGCGTCATTTGCTTCTCGCAGATCTGGCAAGACCTGCACAGGGATATCGGACGGAGCTTGGCCTGCTAGAAAAGGAAACATGTTTATAGCAGTTTGAAGTGTGCGTTTCATTGGCGAGATCAGGATTAAATCGGGCTGGGTTGGAAGATAGGTGTGTTTGGTGGTGCGGCTGCCCCTTTTGGTCAAGGGCGGGTCGCGCTCTGCGTAGCCGCGATGTACATTGTGCGCGGCTTCTCCGTGACGGATGATGTAAATACATGGTGTCATGGTGTCCTGAAGGTATTATGGGCCTAGAGGGTTGAGAACATTTGCTTCTTAACTCTCTCCCAAGAAGCTCAAATAGGTTTAGCGTGGAGCCTCAGCCGAGGATGAGAATTTTAAATGGACATCATCAACCTCAACCATCAGCACAATGCCGACAATTTACGATTCAAAAGTTTGCTTCTTGATAGTTCTGGGTTCCATGCTCTGTGGGCAACACCGGTATAATTACCTAGGTACCGAACGGCACCTCACTGCCCCATTGCCAAGTCCCGAGCAATGTTCTGGGTGACATCGTCCAATTTCCTTCCCCCAGATCCAGCATCTCTACATCTTTGGCTCCAAGTTCCTGATAGATTCTACCGCCAGCTTGAAATGTACATCTGGATCGTGGGCATCTTCGATGTCGGCCTCCAAGATTCCTCGGGTTCGTATTATGATGTGCCGGTTGCACTCTTTGAACTCCGTAGCATGGACCTCGGGATGATCGCATCCAAAATCTCAAGCTGAGAAAAAACAAACGAATCCAGATAAATGGGCTGTTTTCTGAACGGTTCCAACTGCGTCTTGAGGTAAGCAGAGTAGCTTGGCGATTCTCTGGCCGACTTGGCGAAGCATGGATGTTCAATTTAACCGCAACACTGGCGTGATAGAGTGTAGCATCCTCTTCGAAGCCATAGGCTTCAAACCTAAAATGACGTGCAAAATTGGATCATAGATCGGTTACCACACAAATCACTTTCATGTCCAGCCTCTTTTTGGCTCTCTATACTGTGTCTTTCCAGTCAGCTGAGGGATTTATTCGTAGAATGGTGCATTCGGCTGTTTGGATCCAAGCACCCAATCAGAATTGACGGAAAAGACGTGGTCCATGCCAAACTTGGCGTTGGCTTTGATCAGAGGCCTCTGTACCTAGTTCCATGCTGGAAGAAACGCATCCAATGATCGAGACGTCTTGGCGGGTCGATTAAGAAGCCTCTAATTACCTGATCATGCAAAAGCTCGACTGATCTCATCGGGTCAGCACGGAAAAGAAAGAGATACGTACACTACAAAGCAATAACAAAAAAGCTAATGAATAAGACAATGCGGTAATTATTAAGAAAAGAAAGAGAATGGTCTACGGGAATCCAGACAAAGCTCGTGCGGTACTCGTAGCTAAGGGAAAGACTGGCACCAATACAGAGAGGAAAAGCGTAGCTTCAAATGTGAGCTATGTGCGCGAGAAGTAGATGTAGATGTCGAAGGCGAAGGCGACACATAAGGGCCATGCTTATTCGTAGCTACATAGGTCTAGCTGAGCTTGTCCCGCAGTATAGGCAGATTTAGGTGCTCAAGAGCACCATGCATTGTACTTGCCGTTGTTGGTAACGTTTGGTATGCATCCATGCCCCTGTGCAGTAGTGCACTTGCTCTGACATTCAATTAGATCTGTAGTCCGAAAGGAGGAGGGCTTATTACCAGTGTACAATCGTAAATTATATCTGTAGAAAGCCCAGTGTGACAAGTCTGCATTTGCGTGTTGCACCACTAGACAGACGAGAGTTAGATGTGATAAAACCATATACAGAACTGATCAACGCACATAGCTCCCTTGACGTTTCTCTATGACGCCTGCGCTCACAGCTACAGCAGCAGCTAGGAAAACGAGGGTTTTGTTGACATTGACCATCTTGAATGATGATAGGCGGTTCCCAAGAGCTTTGGAAGTGGCTGATGAAGCGAAAGTAGATCCTCGACAAGTATAAATACGCGTTTAAAATTCTTTACAAGGTAGTAAACCTCGGCACAGCCTTGGTGATGGGATGAAATAGGGAAGTCTACCGAGCTTGCTATGCCCATTGCCGAATGCTCATAATGATATGGCGTTATGTCGCTGCAATTTCGGTGGAAGAGTACCGATACGAGAAAGCCAAGCGAATACTAGTGTCGTCACTTCTATTCTTTCGCCTGAGAAGCGAGCTTATCTACCTAGGAAGTAGGTATCCGCAATAAGTCGGCTCGCGCAACCATCAGGTGATATCTAGGTAGCTAGAAGCAGAAGAGGAGCTTCGAAGGTGGGTATAGGAGTACACGTAGGCGCCGAATGTGCTACTTCAAATCATTCGATCTTTGGCCTGTGGACAGCTTTGAATTTCGGTGCTTACTACGGCAGTTCTATTAGTGGTGCAACCACGCAGGCAAATAACCGAAGAACGCTTAGGGGATAGGAAGATAAAAATCTATCACGAAGACGGATATCGACAGGAGTTGCAGTTATGCAAGTCTTGCCTCCTCTTTTTTCCTAACGATCCTGAAATCTCAGCCGTCAATTTCTACATATAAATCCATAGTCCCCTATTCCTCATTCTCAACTTTGTGTTTCACAAAATTAAACTGAAATCTCTACACCTTACAAACATCCCGTCGCATTCCACCTGTCCTACTATCAAGATGAACAGACTTGTCATTAAGCAAACGCGTTTGAATAGTTTGTTTGATTTGCTTGACTATAAGCAAATTAAACAAACCAAACGCTGCCTATAGAAATATACAAACAAATCAAACGTACGATCGAAATTTGTTTAGTTTGTTTGACTGTTTGACTAATATTACATAGCGAGCTGTTCTATAGATGATGTCCTAAGGTGCTTTAAGATCGACTTTAATGATGTTTTTGAGATAGCGGAGGTAGCAATTTCGCGATAGTTTTCTTGTGTTGCATCTAGCTTAGTCATCATATAACTACACGAGCGTCGCTAGCCGTCGATGACCGCTATCTTATATCCCATCTCCCATCTTCTATATCGCTGTTAGCCATCTTTTGCAGCTACACTACCGTCTCTACAGCACGTTTTAGTGTTTCTCGTTGCCCAACACGCCGAAAATGCCGCTTCGTAACCTAAAACGCGCCGCCGAGGGCACCCCCGGCCCCCACGGCCCCCACAAGCGCGCCAAAACAGCTAAAGGCAGTGCATCGCAGCCTATCCTGATGGACGATTCGCAGCCTGAGCTGTCTATCCGCACCTCGCCACGTAAAGCCCTAGCTGCTGCAGCAAGCCAGGCCACCGAAGACGCGCCGTTCGAGTCGCAGTTGCGCGACGCTATACCAGAAGCTACTATACAACCGCCGGCCGAGGGTAGTAGGGCTGCTACGGAGGCTACAAGTGAGGCTATCGAAGGCGGGGATGATACTGGCTTTGATGACGAGTTTACGGACAACTTTGACGGCATTGATTGGAAGCGTTTACCGCGTTTTACGAAGCCGCTGCGTACGTTGAAGCGCAACAAAAGTTGGGTATATCAGTACGGTTACCGCGTTGCCTCTCTCCGTGAGCCTCATCGTACGTTCTTTGTTTGCAAATACTGCCATCATCGTAAGATCTTTTGCGCCTATCCAGAGGTTACAAAGTCGACCAGTAACGCTATCAACCACCTCGCGCAGAAGCTACTTGGCCACGGCTACGATCGCAAGGGCAAACTGGATTCGATTACACTACCGCGAGGCCAAACGACGCTTAAGATGATGACCGAGGGCGGTGTCGATGTACCTCAAGGCGTCGCTAACGAGCTCGGAAACTTCGACGTACAGCGCTTTCGATACGCCGCTGTTACGTGGCTTGTCGACAATAACCACCCTCTCCGCGAGTTCGAAACGCCTGCGTTTAGGCAGATGATAGAGTTTGCCAACCCGGAGGCAGCTGACGCGCTGTGGGTAAGTCACAACAGTGTAGCTAGCTTCGTGATGAGGCTGTATCGCTATATGGAGCCGCAGGTTGTTCAGATGCTCTCGTCGGCTATTAGTAAAATCTATATAAGCTTCGATGGCTGGACGACAAAAGGCGGCAAGCGCGGCTTCTTTGGAGTTGTTGCTCATTTTGCTGACGCCGACGGCACTATCAGGGACCTACCTATCGCGCTGCCTCAGCTTACGGGCGCCCACACGGGCGAGAGGATAGCTGAAGTTGTTGGCAATATAATCGATGTCTTCGGTATAACACGTAGCCAGCTTGGGTACTTTGTGCTCGACAACGCGTACGCTAATGACACCGCCGTCACCAAACTCGCCCAACGCTTTGAATTTACAGCAAGCCATCACCGCCTCCGCTGCGGCCCTCACACACTTAACTTAGTCGGACAGATGATTATCTTCGGCTTTGATAAGGACGCGTACGATAATGATCAGGACGAGCACAAAACAGAGGCAGCCTACCTACAAGAATGGCGGCAGCAAGGTCCGCTTGGTGTACTAATCGATATCATCAACTACATCCAAACACCGCAACAACACGATCTTTTTGCCGATTGCCAGCGCCGTGTTAACGCTAAGGCTCCCGACCAAAAGCAGGAAATACTCGAGCCGGTAAAGCCAGTCGTCACGCGCTGGAACAGCTTTCACGACACCTTTGTACGCGCCGCAAAACTCCATAACGCCGTTGATGAGTACGCCCAAAGCCACATCGAAAGGACGATGGGCGCCGACGCGTACGCGCGTAGCCGTAACAATAAGCTCACTAAAGTACCAGCTTGGATGAGATCTAATGGGCTTACGGCTGACGATTGGGCGGTAATAACCCAGTATATATCAGTGTTGGAGCCGCTAAAGGAGGCGACAAAACGGCTTGAAGCTCGCGGTAAAGCTGGCCGTTTCGGCGCGATATACGAGGTTATACCTGTCTTCGAAGCTGTACTTGCCGTGTACGAGCAGCTACTTAAAAACCACGAAAGCGTCGACTATAATGCCAATAGCGCGCCAGAAGATCACCTTCCTATCAACCTACGCGCAGCTTGGGCAAAGCTTAACGCGTATTACACTAAGCTCGACGAATCACCCGCATACTTTGCCGCTACCTGCCTCCACCCATACTACAAGAACTACTGTGAGAACAGCTGGCGCGACAAACCGAGCTGGCTTGAGGCAAACAACGCTGGGTTGAAACAACTTTGGGCGTTCTATAAGCCGCAAATACAGCGCCAAAGTCGCCCACCAGTGCGGCTCTCAAGTGGTATCAACGACGCCATCAACGCGCTCGTTAATGCGGAGCCTTATGGCATTGTTGAGGTGACAGAGATGGATGAGCTGGAGCGTTGGCGACGGTTTGAACTCCGCTGGACGCAGGAGCAGTTCGAACAAGGTAGTAATCCTGTTAGCTATTGGATAAGCCTACGCCCAAAGTATCCTAACCTAGCGCGTATGGCGATCGATATATTAACAATACCAGCCTCAAGTTGTGAGTGCGAGCGGCTGTTCAGCGAGCTCGGTGATTTATTAGAGCCAAGGCGACGCAAAATTGGGTCACAACTGCTTGCAGCAATACAGTGTATACGAAGCTGGCGCGACGCTGGCTTTAAGCCTCCATCTGATTACAACTCAGGCGATGTAACTGACGCTGAGGTAGCTGCAATATACGAAATATGCAAGTGGGACAGCGAAGCTTAGTAATATATACGATATACGATTAGATCAGCACCTAAACAGTATCAAATCTATCAAACTTTCAAACAAACGGCCTCCTAAAACACTATCAAACTAAACAACTCAAATACAATCTTAAGTTTTGTACAAACAAATCAAATCAGCGTCCAAAGTTTGTTTGATTTGCTTAATGACAAGTCTGAAGATGAAGTTCCTCGTATCTACTATTCTGTCTCTTTCATTGGCATCTCTTTCGCTCGCCGGTAACGGCTACTGGGTTAGTACTTCTTCTACACAACTACATCTTTTCTTAGGGCAGTACTAATCAGAGTTAGACATGTAAAATGGATGGCCAACAATGCAAAATCGGCGACGTAGGGGTTCCATGTTCTAAAGACGTAAGTTTCAACAGCTTCCGTTTTCTGGCATGATTAAGGTTTTCTAACGACTATTATGTATAGTTCCCATGCATAAGTGAAGACAATGGATGTATACCTTTGGTGACAGGCGGCGGCGAAAAATACAACGACGCTCACTGCGGTCCGCCTAAGAAGTAAGAAGCCGCCGAAGCCGCCAAGGAGGAAGCGTAGCAAATAAGAGCAAGGATTACCAGAGTAGTAAGGAGATGCCAGACAGATTTGTGATTACACAATCGTTCTTCTCCGGGCTAGAGGTACTTTTTGGTCGCGAATTTGCTTCGTCGGTGTAATCGTTTGAGGACTTTTGGATGCGGTAGTTTTGGGGGATGCCTTGGATCGTTCTTCGCCATTCTTCCGGTCAGGGTAACTGATCATATCTACAATCACAACATTGAAGTTTCAAATAACATGCTTTAACGTGCACGGACAGCTCATGCCCGGAGACACCTCGTGCCCCGCCGAACACCAAGCCGCGTCTCAACACCACAACTTCAACAGACTATAACGCTACAGCCATGGCACCTATCGACGATGCAATTGAAGATTTGAAATCGCGTGATCTAGGAGAACACTTTACGTTGAGGGAAGTTGCTGAGAAATACCAGGTTAACCGCTCAACGCTGGGGCGAAGGTGGAGAGGCGTCACAGCGTCTCGGGAGGATGGATACTTAAATCAACAAGCTCTCGACCAACAACAAGAGCTAGAGCTTATACGATATATCACAAAGCTTACAGAGAGAGGCCTTCCTCCTACGAGAGAGATAATTAGGAATTTCTCATCTGAAATAGCCCATCGGCAGCTGAGCGATCGATGGGTTTCTCACTTCATCACCAGACACCAGATCCATATAATCTCAAAGTGGACCACCGCTATGGATCGTGTTCGCCACCTGGCTGATTCTGAGTCAAAATACCGTCTCTACTTCGAGCTACTGCATCGAAAGATCACTGAATATCACCTTGAGGCTCGAGATATATACAATATAGATGAGAAGGGCTTCTTAATTAGCTTGATAGGCAGAAGCAAGAGAATATTCAGCAGGCGTCAATGGGAGAAGAAGGAGGTTCGAGCATCTCTCCAGGATAGATCACGCGAGTTTCTGACACTCCTGGCCTGTTGCTGCGCCGATAGGAGCTCGCTGCCCCCAAGCCTTATCTACGCAGCTAAAAAAGGAGCTATACGATTAAGTTGGGTAGAGGATATCAAGGCAGGAGAATATAAGGTCTTTGTCTCATCATCTCTAACAGGCTGGTCAAACGATAACATAGGTCTAGCTTAGCTAGAGCAGGTGTTTGATCGCTATACAAAGCAGCGATCAGGGAGATGGCGATTGCTTATCCTTAATAGCCATAGATCTCATGTCACGATAGAGTTTATCGACTACTGTGATCGCCACAGGATCCTCCTTATAATCCTTCCCCCCCATTCGACTCATACGCTCCAGCCGCTTAACGTAGTGCTATTCAAGCCTCTCTCTTAAGCTTACTCTAACGAGCTCACCAACCATCTCTATAAGGCTCAAGGTCTCGCTCCAATCAAGAAAGGAGACTTCTTCCCACTCTTCTAGAGCGCCTAGATATCCTCCTTCACGGAGAGCCTCATATTGAAGGCCTTCGAAGCTACTAGGATCTGGCCGATAGATACCAACGTTATCCTCCGTAGATTTGCTAGCACGCCAGAGGCTAAGAGAAGCTCATCATCAGGGCTCTCTAATCATGATTAGAGAAAGATAGATCGATTAGTTCGAGCTGCTGTCACTAATAGCCATCAGTATAAGGCAAGAAAGCTGCGTTCAAGCGTCCACCATCTCTCTGTTCAGAATGAGCTTTTAAAGCATAAGAATAAGGGCTTAAAGGAGGCTCTTCAACACAAAAAGAAGCAAAGGAAGAAGGGCAAAGCTCTTGACCTTCAACAGCGCCAGGAATATCACGGTAGCGCTGTCTTCTAGTCTCCTCGCAAGTTGCGTGAGGCTCAAGTTAGAGAAGCAGTACAGGAGCGAGATGAGACGGAGGAGAAACTCTAAAAAGCACGGGCCAAGAAGCAGCGCGAGGAGGCTCGACTGCAGCGTCAAGTTGAACTCGAGGAGAAGCGTGTGGAGAGGCAGAGGCTCAAAGAGATGAAGGAGGTTGAGCGAGCTGAGAAAGCAGCTGAACGCGCGCGCAAAGTTGAAGCTCAACACCAGAAAAAATCTATCCAACAAGCTCAACAACGCAAGCGTAAAGCCTCACGAGTACTCTCACCAAGTAACAAGCGTCAAAAACGCGCTAGCGCTGCTCACGCTGGTGTTCAAGCTGGAGATGAGCTATCTGCTACTCCAGCCAAAGTCACATCACGTGGCCGCAACGTCAACCTCCCACAAAAATATAGATAGTACAAGTTGATTGCAAGCATCTAATTACAGCCCCTCTACAGAATCTCATGATAATAGCTATTGTACGTGGCTCAATAGCCTCACTTTTGAAGTGGTGGATATGGTGTTCGGCGGGGCACGAGATGTCTCCGGGCATGAGCTGTCCGTGCACGTTACAAGCGAGTGACGCGTACAAGCGAGTGACGCACCCCACCAACTTTGCGCACCTCACCTATCTTAATCTACAATGGCTCTACGCAACGTTACTCAATTGCTCTCAAATGAAGCTGATGTTCAGCTTGCTATCTCATCTATTAATGCTCAACAAATCCAGGGCAATCGTCCTGCTGCAGCGATCTACAACGTAGCTGAAGCGACGCTCCGCCGCCGACGCGCTGGAATACCTGCCCGACGCGATTGCCAGCCCAACTCAAGGAAGCTTATCGAGCGAGAGGAGCAGGTGGTTGTCAGATATATACTCGACTTAGATACACGTGGATTTGCGCCTACGTACGAAGCTGTACGTGATATGGCTGATAAGCTGCTGGCTGCGCGCGGCGCTGGTCAGGTCGGCGTCCACTGGCCGCGCAACTTTGTTAAGCGTACAGACAGTCTCACGACATGTTTCAATCGAGCGTACGATAGGCAGCGAGCTCTATGCGAGGATCCAGCCCTAATTAGGAGCTGATTTAAGCTTGTAGAGGAGACAAAGGCCAAGTACGGCATCTGCGATGATGACGTATACAACTTTGACGAGGCCGGCTTTATGATGGGCAAGATCACGACTCAGCTCGTCGTGACAGGGTTAGAGAGGAGAGGCAGGCCAAAGGCTATCCAGCCTGGTAATCGCGAGTGGGTAACGTTGATCGCGGCGATCAACGCTGCTGGCTGGTCAGTCCCACCACTCCTCATCTTCGCTGGCCAGTATCACCTGTCTGCCTGGTATGAGGAGGATATCCCACGCGACTGGGCGATCGCAGTTAGTGACAACGGCTGGACGAATAACGAGCTAGGAGTAGAGTGGCTGAAGCACTTCAACGCTTACACGAAGACTCGCGTTGTTGGTGCGCGTCGCCTGCTCGTCTTTGACGGCCACAAGAGCCACCACTCTCTTGAGTTTCAAGAGCTCTGCAAGGAGAACAACATCTACACGCTCTGTATGCCACCTCACTCATCTCACCTACTCCAGCCTCTTGACGTTGGCTGCTTCTCGCCATTGAAGCGCGCGTACAGCCGTGAGGTGGAGAGCCTGATCCGCCACCACATCAACCACATCACGAAGCTCGAGTTTCTGCCAGCGTTCAAGGCAGCGTTTAATCGATCGTTCACGCCAGCCAATATCTGCTCAGCTTTCCGCGGCGCAGGCCTTGTTCCTCTCCAGCCAGACGCTGTCCTATCGAAGCTAGACGTGCAGCTCCGTACGCCTACTCCAGCTGCTCTACCAGAGGCTCCCTGGGAAGCTTGTACGCCGAGCAACGTACGCGAGCTTGAAGCTCAATCGACGTTAATACGTGAGCGCGTGCGACGGCATAAGAGCTCATCACCAGCTTCGATCATTCAGGCGATTGACCAGCTCAAGAAGGGCGCTGAGGTGATGATGCTCTCAGCCGAGCTAATGCGCGATCGGATTGCCAGCCTTGAGAAGGCTAATGAGGCAGCGTCAGCGCGCAAACACCGTAAAAAAAGCGTATACAACAGCGATGAGTCTTAACAAAGGGAGCTGGCGAGGATATGCTCAACGTGAGGCTGATCAGCAGATTGCTCGTGAGCAGCGTCAAGGAGGAGAGCGATCAGGCGTGAGCCGCCAGGCTCTTGCGCGCTGTAAGAAGTGCAGAGAGACTGGACATAACTCTCGTACGTGCAAGAAAGATACCTTAGATACTGCTTAATCTACTCTATTAATATCTATACATCATCTTGTAAGGTGGTTGAGATATACGCGTGTAGAGGTGCGCAAAGTTGGTGGGGTGCGTCACTCGCTTGTACGCGTCACTCGCTTGTAAAGCATGTTACAACATTGGGTGCTCACACAAGTGAGGATACATGTATTTAGATCTGCTGAATCAAGAAATGGCAGCATACGTTACATCAAATCGCAGCCCCGCATTGGTGGGAGTCAGACCCAGGAGATAGACGATGGCTGGTACAGAAGTTGACTGAGAGCGCTTTGAGTGCAGGATGGACAAAGGGTTTGTTGATCATGACCAAATCAAAGCAGTGCTCATGTGAGAATATAGACAGACCTAATTGTGTTGGCAAGCTCAGTGCCGCCGAATTACGAATAGATAAGGAGGTTCCAGACCGCTGGAGGCCTGCGGGGAAGACTAGATGCGTATGATACCTTGCGTGCATGGGTGACTAATGGGGCCGGGATACTGCGAAAGGAGCCGAATCCGAGTTCAACGATGAGACAGTGTGCATAAGGCCAGGAAAATGAAGTAGATTATCTACCAGGAATAACCCCCTGAATTATGAATGAACCTTCCGACTTCCTCGTCTCTCTTGCCTTCCACAAGCTCCATGATACTATCCACCGTATCCTTTGCACTCCTCGCGCCAAGTTCCTCTTTATTAAGTGGACTCAGATTCGAGGCTGTAAACCCTGGATCGTAGCAAAATACCTTCATCTTCTTTTCGTCCTCATCGGGGCCCCTTTCATTATCCTTGCTTTTTCCAGAGTCCATCATTTCGATTTGGTCGATGCCCCGTCCAAACTCGACATGTAAGCATGCAGTCACCATATTGAACGCCACTTTACTGGCCCGGTATGGTACCGATTGAATTTTGTACATGGGACTTTCTGGCGCTAGCCTTCGGCCAATGCTCGCGGCCCCGGAAGAGATATTGATGATTCTTGAGTTTGCGCTTTTCTTCAAAAGCGGGATCAGTGCTTGGGCGAGAAGGTATGGTCCTGTGGCGTTTATATCGAATGCAGCGGCGAGTTTCTCACGCTCCGTTGCGCCTTCCGGCAGCGCGACAGCAGCATTGTTGAAGAGAACGTCGAGTTTGCCATGCTTTTGCTGGGTTGATGAGGCGACTTGGCTAATGTGTTCATCATTCTGCACGTCGAGATGTACAAATTCGATACTGCCGGACAGGTTGCGTGATTGTAGATCTTGAAGTGCGGCAGAGCCTTTCGCTATCGAGCGACAGCCAAACAGGACATGATATGTACCCTTCTGGAGAAGTTGATGTGCAATTTCGAAACCTATACCACTGTTTGCGCCGGTGACGAGCGCAATTTCTTTCGCGATAGATGCCATGATGTACCTGGGAAGAGAGATCACGCTCGGGTTGAGATGTAGGCAGTTTTGAATATAAGTTCCCAATCGCTGTTATTTGTAGATCAAATTCCAAGCCATTGACTTCCAGTGCGGATATACACGCCTAACTCCGAAGGTGTGGATTTAGCGTTGTTACGGAGTTTGATTATGCAATCCTGGGCAAATGGGGCTAGTATGTTTACACCTCTGCGGAGTTTAGGCGTTACAGGTGAACTAGGCTGAGAAAAGAAACTCATTCAGCCCGGACGAAACACGACAGAAACAATGCAAGTCAGGTTTACCATATTACAGAGTAATCTCGTAAGACTCGTGTGGCAAGCCATGTAAGTGGGAGGTATAGGAGATGGATTCTTCTATATGTGCGCGAAGATATTTATCTCTTCTGCAGTACCAAGGTACCCTCGTTCACGTACTAAGCTCAAGAACTATCTGATTTTGACGAGAGCTTTATTAAGCTTTTTCGCCTCTTGCCTTTTCACTCCGACCTCTCGTTGGGCTCGCGAGCTCCAGGAGGAGATAGCGAATCTATTCTCAGCTCTTTTGTAACAGTTTCAGGTGTCTTGATCCAATCCTGCTGTACCAAAACCCTTCCACGCTCCGCCATCTGCAGCTGTGGCAGGTCGTTCCTGACCGCTGCAATGCCACCCTTCACACTGCTTGCGGATATGCCCTTGGCACGAAGTACACTCGTGGCAACTCGAGCTGTGTCGCCATTGTAACAAAGAATGTAGACGTCTTTGCCGGAAAGGTCGTGTGCGTTGACACAGTCGAGGGTGAATGTCGCTTCCAGTTCTTTCCACTGCTTCTCAAGCACCATGGCATCGGAGAACGGACTCGGTGTTGTAGCATTGGAGCTTTGTAGTGGTAGGTTATATGACCCTGGTATGTGGCTCTTGATGAAGTCTTCTGGCTTTCTCAGGTCGAGAAGGACAGCCTCAGCTCCATGGGTACTGCTGGTGAAGTGCGACAAGGCGGTGTTAGGATCAAGCTCCCATGCTTCATCGTACCGATATAGGTCAACCGCTGCAAGGTTCTGTTTCAAGTCAGAAGGTTGCAAGAACAAGATATGTAAAAAAACGTACCTGGTTACGAATCGGGTGAAAAGATGCGTCGCCAAGCTTGTCAAAGTATTCGTCCAAGTATGGGTATGGCAGATCGCAACAGACGAAAGCGCAGTCGATGATACCGTAAGGACCAGCCAGCTTAGAGAGTGTACCAGCAGCTTTGAGCTTTGCGAGGTAGTTGAGGAGACCTAGAGTTGTCAGTCGTAGGACATGGGAGCTCGGAGCTACAAGCAAGCATACCCTGTAAGTTGAAGCCTGAGGATGGACCACAGACCAATCCTTCTCGGCTGAGTTTCAGAGACAAGCTAAAAGCATCTTTCGAGCCCACCTCTTCGATGGCGTCTACAGAGTCACGCCATGGGAACTCTACGGGACTCAAAAGTGCAAGAGACCTCGGCCCAGGAACTCGATCTCCAGCAGCGGTACAGACACTGCGGGTATTTGTTAGCTGAGGTATTACGTATCAGCCGGTCGGTAACATACCCTAATCGGAATACAGCAGGCTTGGCGTCTTTGAAGTATTGGCCGAGACCCGTCATGGTCCCAGAGGTACCCATGCCAGCGCATATCAAGCGAATACTAGGCAACTGCTGGTGGATCTGCGGTCCAGTCCACTTAACGTGGGATTCCCAATTCTCCGAAGGTCAGCAGTGATCCTGTTGAGAAGTTGAGTAGGTAACTCACGGCGTCATTGTAGTATTGGTTGACGTTCAGAACTGTCTCATCTTCCTGGGCCATCATTTGTGCTCGGTAGATGCCGCCACGCTCGTCATGGGGTTCTGGCTGGGAAGGACCTCCAAAAAGAGTGCTACTGTGGTCAGCGTGAGCGAAAAGAGGGATCAAGTCCTTCTTACACGTCTAGACCAAAGAATTGCATGAGTCTGAGTTTTGGTACTGAAGTCTTGTTGCTCAAGAATGCGCGAACATCGTTGATCCCATGATTGATACGGGAGACGAGAGCCAGGGAGATCACTGTGGACCCAGAACTGTACTCGATGACTGTCTTCGACTTTTCTGGCTGCACTTCCTTCTGCAACATGTTTAACGCTGGAGTTGAAGTCAGTACGCCGAAAGCTGTATTAACGCTACTGGTACATACCAGGCATGATCTTTACGTTGTTTGCAGGATGCATGGACATCATCTTCGCATGGATCCTGACTCCATCGTCGTAGAATGGATTCAGGCTTTGAGGAATTTCGACAAGGGGGATCATTGGCTGGCAATCAGGGTCGAAGTAGTCGCGAAGGGCATTTGGCCCAGTATAGGCGTTGAGAAAGTTCCTTTGAGCCATTTTGGGATGTGTGAAAGATGTGGGAGCAGCAGATGCATGCTCTTTAACAAATGATGGCTTCTGTGGTGACATGTCGGTACTCGCTCAGATTTTGTTAATGAACCCGTGCGATCTGCAACGTCGGTGTCAGTTTGCGCAACCGGAGTTCGAGACACACTCACGCAAATGTTCTCAACAGGGTCACATCCTGGTTGTCGGGTACAAACTTACTATTGCGACCATCACTACTGAATATAGGCTTGTTTGACGGGGTTTCTGCTGCAACGCAGTGAGCATATAAGCGTGCTAATGCGCACACGCTGTAGAAGTGGCTTCCGTTAGAGATCACCTAGTTCAACATGTTGATTGGGTGAGATCATGTTGTTCGAGGTAGTTGTGAGGCGTATTGAGCACATTGATGTCGGAGTATGGAGCCCAATTAAGAAGGTACTAGGATGTTTGCGTCTTAGCGCCAACGCTAGCAATGTCGTTGTCCAGGTGCCGACAAACACCATGTTTCCCGTGATCACACTCCCCTCATCGGTAACTCGGTTTAGAAAGACACCCAATTTTTCAGAAACATGGTCCTAAAGTCGGTCCTTGTCCGGGTATATCTGACATCTCGCTCAACTTCGGACGACGACCTTGGGAGCAAGATGTCAACATTAGAGAGTGGATTTGACTTCAACGTTTGTACACAGTAGAACGGATACGGGGGTGGTCTCAAGACTTCTCATGCAACGCCTCGAGTGCGGCTTCACCATCAGATGTGCCGGGACGTGCTGATACAACCCCCCGCTCTTGCATCGACGTTATTAGTGGCATATCGATCACCACCCAGTAGCAGTCACTGGAATAGCCCCGAGTACCTAATGGCTACTTGCCTGGCACATATGCGTCCTTAGGCTCGGCGTTATTTAGTCTACTCCGGCTGTACAAGGGTCCACATACCTACCCACATTCCACATCGACGCTTGTCGGATGAGCCTACTCAAACGGAAGAGACGTCGGCGGTGAAGGACCCGCTTGGTCTGAGCATCAAATATCCGATTTTAGGCCTAGGCTATCGTTTACATCCGCACCATGGTTCTCAACATGCTTCAATACCTTATCCCATCTGCCTCTTCCACTCCTTATTAAGTCTCGAGCTGCTTCACCTAACAGGACCACAATTGTCCACCTCAGTTATTATTGTGGTGCTACGTGTATAGAGAGACCGAACCTCCCACCAGACCAATGGCAATGACGACAAAGAATGGCTTCAATTCTGAGGCCCAATCGACTATCCAGGTGCCGGAGGAGAATATCCCTGTTCCAGCAGAGGAAACCACGCTAGTTCTCAACGAGCAGACCAGTAAGTCATTCACGCATGTTGATATATGAGAGTTTGCTGACTTATCTGCTATCAGACTATGTGCCGAAGAAAACTATCATCATAGTACGTACGACTACAGAACTCACCAATGTCACCTGTACTCATATGTCATGTAGATCTTTTTGGCTTGTTCAACTGTCGATCTGCTAGCATTGATGGATCAAACGACACTCGCAGCCAGTTTGACCATTGTAAGTAAAGATCTCAACGCGAGTTCCGAACGCGCATGGATAGCAGGAGCGTACTTCCTGACATCAACGTCATTCCAACTTCTTTACGGGCGCCTTTCGGACATCTGGTCTCGGAAGGTCTTATTGCTCATTGGCATCTTCATTTTCTTCTTTGGATCGCTGGCAGCGTCATTGGCACAGTCAGCCATGCAGCTGATCGTCTTCCGGGCGTTCATGGGTGTGGGTGGTGGTGGCCTGATGACGATGGCTCAGCTTATCATCTCGGACATCGTTCCGCTGCGGGAAAGAGGGAAGTATCAAGGTATCTTGGTACGTAACCCCAGTGACGAAATCTGAGGTGCCGCTGACATTACTCTAGGGCGCTGTTGTGGCACTGTCGAATGGAATCGGACCAATTGTTGGCGGCGCAATCGCTTCTCAGAGCCATGACTCGTGGAGATGGATCTTCCGGTTGAATTTGTTTATATCTATTCTGACAACCGGATGTGTCGTTTTCTTCATGCCACTGAGAAAAGTCAATGGCAACTGGAAACAGTGAGTAGCAGTACACTCGGGCTAGGACCTCGCTAACAACTTCAGAAAAGTAGCAGCCATAGATTTCTTTGGGGTCTTTCTGGCACTTGCCGGCTCAACACTTCTTGTGGTATGTTGGCCCATTTTGGATATCACAACCTAGCTTACCATCCCAGCTCTCTTTGACATGGGCTGGCGGAGAATACAAATGGGAGTCGGTTCAGGTCATTTGTAATCTGGCAGCTGGCATAATCATCTCAGCATCCTTCATCTGTTGGCAATGGAAAGGCACTACCATTCCATTGATACCGAGTAAGTCACCTCCTATCTGTTGATCGCATTGCTTTGAGCTAACTTCGTCAGTGGAAATCTTCAAATCGAGAGTCGTCAACGGTGCCTCCCTGACCATGTTTGTGAACGGCTGGAACTTTCTTGTTCAAATCTATTACATACCCTCGTTTTACCAGTTGGTGTATGGATACAGTGCTGTCAAAGCTGCATCGCTGTTGCTGCCTATCACGCTCACCCAAAGTATGTGGACACATCTGAATACTCGTCGGTTGTATCTATCTTTGACACATCTGCAGCGCTATTCAGTACTTTATCGGGTCTAGTGATACACTGGACGGGACGATATAGGGAGTGCCTGCTCGTGGGATGGGGGATTTGGGCAATTGGTCTTGGACTGATCTCTACACTCGACAGTCCTTCACTTGCACAGCAAGTATGCTACGGCCTCCTCGCCGGCCTCGGTTTAGGAAACACATTGCAGCCGTCGCTCATTGCTGTGCAGGCGGGCACGGAGCGCAAGCACATGGCTGTGGTCACTTCAACACGCAACTTTATCCGTAACCTCGGTGGCACCCTTGGTCTGGCAATCTCAGGCACGATCATCAACAACTCGGTCCGCTCATCTCTAGAATCATTCAGCTTGAACATTTCGCAGATGTCACTTGCTCTCGATTCGCCAGATCTCTTTCGCCATACGTTTGGAACGCAGCGTGCGGAATTGGTCCGGATTGCGCTTGCATCAGCCTACAAGAGAGGTTTCCGTATCATTTTTATCGTCGGCGCAGCATTGAATGCACTTGCCTTTGTCGCAGCTTGGTTTCTCATGCCCCAGGTGGAGCTGAATAGAGAGGACGATGCTCAATTGAAGGAAGAAGGAAAGAGAAGAGAGGAAGCTAAACATGAGAAGTCATCTTCAGCTTAGAATGGCCGCGCTCTACTCTTGGAATATGGCATTGGTCTCCAAGTAAACATTTGGGTCGTTCGTTTCGCTGGCTTCCGGTGTAAGCTGGTTGTTTCAACTACCGACGTTAAGTGGCAGTCTCGGGTAAATATTAGATTGCGGTCATGAAGCAACAGCAAATCCGAGCAGGTCTTCCCCACATGAACTCTTTCCAATGTCCCCCACGCAATTGATATATATGTTAATGTTACAAGTAAGCGCAATATGTGACCCCATTTTGAAGTTTCCTAGAGTCAAATTCGCCACAAGCACCATAAAGCATCCACTCTTCGCTGTGCATTCAGCGAAACATTGATCTTTCTATCAGCAGAACTCCCATCATTTGCAACAAACATGTTTCCCAACACGCTCATACTTCTCGCGCTCGCGGCAACCGGTCTATGCCAATCAGACAGCCCACGCACAGTCTACCTAACCTCAACCCAAGACCCTAAATTTGTCATCGTCCCCAAAGCACGCACTGCTGGCTCTGCCCTCGTCGTGTAAGTACAGCCCTAACTCATCCAGCCTTCCTCACCAACCTAACCCACCCCCACAGTCAACAAACTACCTCCTCCTCGACGCAAACTTGGCTTCTCACCGCCCCATCCAACAGCACCAGCATCCGCCTCGCCTCCACCACCCTCTGCATAGACGCCGGCCCGCGCTCCGGCTGGAAAGACATGGCCTTACTCTACGTCCGCGAGTGCGCTGCCGTGGGTACCGCAAACGAGCAGCAAACGTGGATCACCATGGCTGACGGCCGCATTGCGCTGGCGGCGAGTAGTGGAACGAGGCTGTGTGTGGATTTGCAGTACATAAAAGCTGTGCAGAACAATCCTGTTGGCATGTATAATTGTGCAGGACTGGGGAATATCGGGGCACAGGACAAGGGGCTTAATTGGCCTATGGTTGATTTCAAGTCTAGTCAGTCTGCCTGGACGGCTTAGGATGGTTTTGTGGGGTTTTTGCTATGTGATTGTTTGGTAGGCTTCTACTGTTGAATTGTTGAAATATGGTGCAACTTGTGGGGCAATATATGACTAGAGATTATGATCTTCAGTATATCGCAACTCTACAATATTTTTCACCCTTAGTTGACGGACTACATTCAATGCGCTAATGCCGATAATGTACTAGGTGATTGGATGACGCCAGGCATGATCATGAGTGATTCTAGAGCCTCGAAGTGCAGTGGATCATATGAATGTTAGTCATAGAACTATATCACTTCGACAGTATGCAACTAAATAATTTTGTACGACGCGAAGACGTACATCGTACATGCCGAAACAAACTGAGTGGTGGGGCCATGCAGGCACCCTGCCGATATGACATTCGGCTTCGGATCTCCATCTCTTTTGCAGTTGCCGTGATTTCGTTGTTTATTTCAACCATGAGGGCGTTAAATGCTGTAAATTAGCGTACAGTTGATATATTCATACGTTTTGAACACGTTTGAGATGCGATAGTGGTCGTTGCCTCCGCTGCAATATGGATTGCGGAGTGAGGCAGGGAGACATGTGTGAAAAATTTCGGCGGAGCTCTCGGCGCGATCATGTAATAGATGATCTTCAGTCTTCTATGCCAATTGTGAGTACCGTGGTGCTCTGGAGGAGACAGACTGCCCAATTTTCTGTAGTACGTATGGACCTGTTGAAAGAGGACAACGATCTCCACAACATGACTCATGTACATTGTGAAAGATGAGATATGGTACTACATGTCTTCTAGCCAGACTCCGCAACAATCAAATCAATCAATCTTAAGGTTGTCGATTGGTTTGATTAGCTTGCGGCGACGCTGCTGATTGATTGCGGATTGATTGTTAGGGTTTTTGAGCAGATTGATTGCGATTGATTGGTTGATTGGCTGATTGATGCTAAGAAGTAGTATACAGGGGGTTATGGTGTTGTACTCCAGCCTTCTATATCGTACTGTTGTACAATCTCCTCATCTTTGACGTCACTCCACTTATCTTCATCATCACCGTTGTTGTACAAGCCGTCAAAGCCAGCTCGTCTCCACGAACGTACAAGCTGAAGGGCAGCAAGTAACTCGCTGCCAAGAGCTCGCCGGCGCGGCTCAAGTAAATCGCCAAGCTCGCTAAAGAGCCTCTCGCAGTCGCAACTAGATGCTGGTATCGTGAGTATATCAATCGCAAACTGGCTTAAACACGGGTATTTTGAGCGTAATTGAATCCAGTACTTGACTGGGTGGCCATCGCTAAGATACTGTTCGCTTGTCCACTCTGGCTCTTGAGTTCTCCAGCGCTCGTACTCATCGTCGTGGGCAGCCTCTACCTGAGCCTTGTTGCGCCGTACGAGGGCGCCAATCACATCATCTATTCCTCTATGCCTTGGTTTTGCAGTTGTTTGAGATAGAGGACGTGTACGTTGAGGCTTATACGACTGCCAGAGCTGCAGGAAGCCAGCGTTGGCTGATGTTAGCCATTCTGGCTTATCCACCCAGCTGTTCTCGCAGTAGTATTTGTAGTATGGATGGAGGCAGGTAGCAGCGTAGTATGCTGGCGATCGATCGAGCTTGTTGTAGTAATCGTTGGCCTTACTCCAGGCGGCGCGGAGGTTAACAAAGAGGTGATCTTCAGGCGCATCAGGTGGGTTGAAGTCAACTTGCTCGTACGAGCGCGTACGGGCTTCGAGCGCGCCAAGTACGTATTCAAATACAGGAATAGTCTCATATATAGCGCCGTATTTGCCTGCCTTTCCGCGACCCTCAAGCTTCTCCGTAGCAAGCTTAAGCGGCTCTAGGCAGTCCTGATACTCTGTTATCACCGCCCAATCAGCAGCTGTAAGTCCTGTTGATCTCATCCAACTAGGTGCTTCAGGGAGTTTATTGCCACGTTGACAAGCGCGGCGATCTTCAAGGGAGAGTGCGTTAATGTAGTGCTCAGCGTAAGAGTTGTATGCTGCCTGGAGTTGAGTTGCGCGTTTGAAGGCAGCGTAGTAAGAGTTCCAGCGTGTAACAACAGGCTTCACAGGCTCAAGTACGTGGAGGCGCTCTCTAGCTGGCAACTCGGCGTTGGCGGCGGTTTGGAAGCTTCGGAAAATTTCGTGTTGTTGAGGCGTTTTTATATGGTTGATAACGTCGATAAGTACACCTAAGGGCCCTTCTTGACGCCACTCCTGCATGTACACCTCCTCTGTTTGGAGCTGCTCGTCGTTGTTGTTGTTGTACGCCTCTTGATTGCTGCCAAAGATAATTGCCTGGCCAATAAGGTTAAGCGTGTGAGGGCCGCAGCGGAGGCGTCGGTGAGCAGCGTTGAAGTCGTACGCGTGGGCGAGCGAGGAGACTGCAGTATCGTTGTTTGCAGCATTGTCGAGGACGAAGTAGCCGAGTTTATCACTCCCAATACTGTATTCTTGGAGCGTCTTTTTAATTGTATCAGCGATAGCATCACCAGTATGAGAGCCTGCGAGATGTGGGAGGGCGATGGGGAGATCTTGTATCACTCCAGAGGCGTTAGCAAAGTGTGCAACGACTCCAAAGAATCCACGCTTGCCACCCTTTGTCGTCCAACCATCAAAGCTTATGTGGATCTTGCTTGCAGCTTCTGACAGAGCGCAGACAATCTGTGGCTGCATATATTGGAAGAGGCGCATTGCGTAGGTAGCTACACTGCGAGGACTTACCCACAAAGCTGCCTCTGCCTCTGGGTTTGCAAGGCTAATCATCTCGCGAAAGGACGGCCTTGCAAGTAGCTCCATTGGCAAGTTGTTATCAAGAAGGCAGAACACTGCAACTTCACGAAACTGCTGGATGTTGAAGTTGCCCATCGCGTTGGCAGCCTCTTGAGAGACTGCAACACCAGTCTCCAGCGTCTGTCGTAGAGAGAGTTGCTGCCCTGTTCTTCGAGGCTTCAGGCCGTCTTTTGTAAAGCCATGGCCTCGTTTCTGAAGGCCAAGATGAGCTGCAGCTGAGGAGGTGGCCTTTGATACGTCAAAAACTCCACTGCCGCCAGTGTCAATGACCTTGTGGATGTGGCAGTATTTGCATACAAACCACACTCGATTCTGATCGTAGAGCTCAACAACGCGATATCCATGTTGAAAGATCCAACTCTTGACGCGCCGCCCAGTTGTAAGAGGCTTCATGAACCGAGGGAGGCGATCCCAGTTAATGCCGTCAAAGTTATCGCCATTATCAGGCTCTGTATCAACACTAGCCTCTGTTGTTGCTGCTGTACCAGCCTGGCTGCCCTCAGCCGCACCCTCCTCCTCTGTTTGCGACTCGAAAAATTGCGACTCAAACGTTGTGGCCTGGCTTACGGCGGCGCCAAGGGTTTCCTGAGGCGACAGCGATCGCTGAGATAGGACAGAGGGCCTTGATAGGCGCGCCCGTTTGGCGGCGGCGGCGGCGGCAGCAGTATTGGTGGGAACTCGAGAGCGTTTGGCCATCGTGGGCGATACTAAACACTAAAGAAAAATGTCTGTATAGGTAGCTAGGCAACTAGTGTTGTGTGTAAGGGTGTCAGATAGCAGGCGTGTCGAGCCGAAAGTGCCGACACCGCTAGCTAATAATGGGTTAGCGTCTTAGCAGAACAAAACTCTCAGCGCGCACCTTAGAACAGAGAACAATACAATCAATCATGAACATCCATCACTTTTGTGCAATATCTCATCTAATCTGACAATTAAGAGTCTCACTGCCTCTATAACGAGCAACGAACACGCAATAATGGCGACAAACCAGAGCCAGAGGGACGCAACAGTCATCCTCACCGACTCGAGCAAATGGATCCCCTGGTACCGCCAAATCAAGATGCAATGCGAAGCCCTAGAGATCTGGGACATTGTAGATCCAGCGGGCAACACTCAGCCTCGTACAAAGCCGACCGAACCTCTCCCTCCACTCGTATCCGACTATGAACCAGCCGCTGCTCTGAGAAATACATCATCAGCTCCATCCTCCTCTACACGAACCGCGAGAGCCAATGCCCGAGCGCCTACACAAGATACAGTTGACATAGTCAACCCTGCTGTTCAAACTCCAGCCATACCAGCTCGCTGCTCTGAGAAATACATCATCAGCTCCATCCTCCTCTACACGAACCGCGAGAGCCAATGCCCGAGCGCCTACACAAGATACAGTTGACATAGTCAACCCTGCTGTTCAAACTCCAGCCATACCAGCTCGATACTCAGAACTCTCAGCGGAGGGGAAGGAGGCATACGATGGGGACTCAAGGGAATTCAAGATGGTTTTTGAATCATACAAAATACGCGAACGAAACTATCGAGACGAACGCACAAACATTGCGGCAATGGTCAGACACCTGAATGCAACAGTTAGCCCACACCTTCAAGTGAGCTGCTTTGAGGAACATGGAACTCTCCGCACCTGGATCACAAACCTCCAGGTAGCAGTTGGAGTAGACCTCGACGATGAGATCAGAAGGGTACGAGAGAGGTACCACGATTCCTTGAGACCTATGAGAAGCCCGCAAAATTGGGAATCATGGCTCAGCGAATACGACCAAGCTGCAACTCGCGCCGAAGCCCTAAAGATAGGGGACGTGATACAAAGCAAGCTGGTTGTGGACGACTTCCTAAAAGCAGTCTCTAAGATTGCCCCAGCATGGATGGCAACATTCACTGGAGCGGGAAGCGACCGGAACAATATAGAAAGAAGGCAGATGATGAAACTCTTCCGCGAACACATGAGCCTAGCTCACCCAACACGAGGCAAATCAAGAAGTGCCTTTATGACGGGTGAAGCAGCCTACGCGGCGAGCGGTGAATCCGACTCGAACACACAGGGGGACGCCTCAAGTGTGCAAATTAGAGCGCCATCTACCAACCCTAGCCAGGGAAACCAAAGGCAAACAAACAAACGCAAAATGAATGCACCTGGCAACAAGTCCAAGCAGTTCCAGAAAAGGAATACAGCAGAAGCTGGCGACATATGTCCTGCTTGTGAACAACGCCATGACATCAGTAGCTGCTACTATGTCAACCCAACTTTGGAGACCCCAGATTGGTTCAAACCGAACAAACACATCACAAAGCTGGTACAGTACAAACTTCAGCATGATGCAGACTTACAAAGGATAATACAGGAAACAAACCTGGAAACGAAGCGACCACGCCTAACTACGGCATCACGATCAATTACACCCTACATTAAGACATCACAAACACCGGACTCAGTCACTGATTGACTAGATGGACGCGAGATCTCGAGGCTGGACGAGGGCATGATGAAAGCGGCATTCAATGCGAGCAATCAAGGATACCCATTAAAGGATGCATTCATCCTGGATTCTGGCTCGACGACGCACATCTGCAACAACCTCTCAAGGCTCGAAGAGGTACGCCCGCCTGCGATGGGAGATTACATTTGGGCTGGCAACTCAAGGGTTTGGATACAAGGATACGGAGCAGTCAAGGTGACGGCAGAGAGGGCTCAGGGCAAACAAATTCTACACCTGAGCAATGTTGCCTGGTGCCCAGACTTCCTCTGCAGCCTCGTATCATTCAGGCTGCTCCGAAGACAAGGTATATGGTGGGACAATCGAGAAGACCCGACAAGCCTACGACGATGGGATGGTTCAACCATTGCCACCTTATCGGAACACTATGGGCAATGGGTTATCGAGCCACCTACTACATCAACTTCAGCCTTTCATGTGCGTATGAATCGAGCCAAACGATCACCACAAAAGGCTACTGCCATATTATGGCACAAACGACTCGGACATCCCGGGCCGTCCGCGATCGAGCACCTCGTGCAGCAATCTGAGGGGGTGAGGATCAAGGGCATCACTACCGTGGAGTGTGACGCCTGCGGCAGGTCAAAATCGAAACGACAAATACGCAGGACGCCCAGACTGAACGACGAAGGGCCAGGTGAAAGGGTAGCCATCGACTTCCATGAGTATGAGGACGGCAGTTTCACCAAGGAGAAGAGCCAAATGCTGGTCACTTGCCGACGGTCCCGATACAGATGGGACTTCTACTTCAAGGACAACAGACCGGCTCGCTCAATCATTCGCCTCCTAGGCCTCTTCGTCCAGTTCATGAAGAAACAATTCAACATCACAGTCAAAGTCATCGAGACTGACAACGAGATCGTTACCGTCAAACAAGAGGTCGAAAAATGGTGCACGTCCCTATCAATCAAACTCGAGCCCTCCGCTCCAGATACTCAAGCTCAAAACGGAGGAGCCGAGCGCTCAGGGGGTGTTATAAAAGAAAAGGCACGCGCAATTCGACTGGATGCAAACCTTCCATGGGAACTCTGGCCAGAAACTACCAGAGCGGCGGTATACCTATACAATCGAACGCCAAATTACCCAAACAATTGGAAGACACCATACGAAATATTCTTTACACGCGCAGCTGCCATCAACGGCATAGTCACCGGACCTCGAAAACCAAATCAAGCTCACCTAAAAGCATATGGGTGTAAGGCTTTCGCAATGACAGACGACACCCACAGAGGAAAGTCCAGGCTACAGAGACTAGATCCGAAGGCCTGGATTGGATACCTAGTGGGATACCAGTCAACGAACATTTACCGCATATGGATCCCATCCATGGCAAAGGTAATCAGCACTCGCGACGTAGTGTTTGACGAAGACACAATCTTCAACGGCAAGACTGAGGACCTGATGGACAATCTCATGCACAACACCCTAGAGGAAATCGCAACTTGGGTGAGAACAGTCGAACTCCCAGGTACTCAGAGCCAACAACCAGAAACCGAGACGTTCTACGAGGACGATACGACGCAGGAAGAGAGCCCGCGCACTCAGAAAACCAGATACCACCAAGGAAGGAAGGTGGTAGAGGCATATCTAACCCCGCCACCAACTCCTCCACCTGTGGCCTTGCTAGTTCAAGGAGAGGTGAACAACGAGGATATGACGAACATGTCCAACCAATCAACATCAATGACCAGTCCATGGGCAGCCGCATTCATGGCCGGCACCGAATCAGGACACATTGTCACACGAAGGAAAGCCAATTGTTAAGGGTTTGGGGGAGGGGTCTGCTTGCATAGGGGAATCAAGCTCATCGTACTCAGCTACCGCCACTTCCAACCAGCATAGTCAAAAGTAGAATGCCTTTCCACTTATACGAAATGTTCAAAGGAAGCAGAAAAGACACACCTTCAGAGTCACCAACAAATGAAGTCATGGACTGAGGTCCAAGCATCACCAGTCAAACGAGCAGGGCACCAGATTCTAGACTGTATGTGGGTATACACCTACAAACTCGACAAGCATCACCGCCTCATCAAATGCAAGGCAAGATTGGTGGTAAGGGGAGATCAACAACGCAACATAACCTCCCAAGACACATATGCAGCAACATTGGCAGGACGCTCATTCAGAATGCTCATGGCAATCGCCGCCAAATACGATCTTGAGCTGAAGCAATACGACGTCACTAATGCTTTTGTGCATGCTGCAATCGACAGAGAAATATACATGAGGATGCCAAAAGGATATCAGAAGCCTGGCACTCTACTCAAAGTGCAAAAGGCACTCTACGGGCTCCGGATCTCACCATCACTGTGGCAGAAAGAATTCACCGCAACTCTTGCTTCGATAGGGTTTCAACAAATACCACAGGAGCCATGCTGCATGATCAAGGACGGAGTTATCATCTTCTTCTATGTGGACGATATCATCGTTGCGTACCATTCAAAGCAAGAATCAGAGGCAATGAAGGCCATAAACCGGATCCAAGAAAAATACGCTTGTACGGGAGGAGACGACTTACAGTGGTTTCTCGGCGTAGAGGTCATGCGCAATCGCAAGCAGAAGACCATACAGCTATCTCAAGCTGCATACGTCGACAAAATCAGTCAACTCATCAACCACCAAAATGTAAGGCATGATACGCCAATGTCAGGCATCGAACTCCGACCACGAAAAGGACTCGCAGCACCAGCTGAAGTCAGCAAGTACCAACGCAAGATTGGATCTCTGCTGTTCGCAGCAGTCACCACAAGACCCGACATCGCCTTCGCAACATCGCGCCTCGCTCGGTTCCTAGTCAATCCAAGCATAGAACATCAAGAGGCAGCGGACCGCGTACTACTCTACCTAAGAAAGACAATGAACCTAGCTCTGGAGCTAGGCACAGGTGAAGGTCTTCAAGTAGCAAGTGACGCATCATTTGCAGACAACACCCTGGACAGGAAGAGCTCACAAGGCTACGCCATTAAGCTGTTTGGCGGCCTCATCTCCTGGAGAGCAAGCAAGCAGGATACCGTTACTACTTCAACCACGGAAGCAGAATTACTTGCTCTTTCCCAGGTGGCCAAGGAGGCCATATTCACGTCGCGACTGCTGAGGGAGCTTCGGGTAACTCTGAGCGATCCAACAATCACAATCAAATGCGACAACCAACAGACCATCCGACTAGTCACAGAGGACGTAGCCAAACTTCAAACAAAACTTCGGCACGTTGATATACACAATCACTGGCTACGACAAGAGGTTACCCGAAAGGTGATCAAGGTAGAGTATGTGCCGTCTGACAACATGATCGCAGACGGGTTCACAAAGCCACTGCCAGCCAATAAATGGGCCAGGTTCCTTGATCAACTGGGACTCGTCGAGCGCGAAGAAGCCCCGCTCAGAGAGATTGAGCTTAAGGAGGTGCAAGAGCAACTGGAAGGCCTCATTATGTAGGATCGATCAACCAGTTTATGCAGCTTGCAATATGCCTTCCAAGCTGAGGGGGTGTGTCAGATAGCAGGCGTGTCGAGCCGAAAGTGCCGACACCGCTAGCTAATAATGGGTTAGCGTCTTAGCAGAACAAAACTCTCAGCGCGCACCTTAGAACAGAGAACAATACAATCAATCATGAACATCCATCACTTTTGTGCAATATCTCATCTAATCTGACAAAGGGATTATTAGGGAACTGAGTGAGCGAAATCGTTGTTGTATTAAGAACAGCGAAGGACTAGCTATATAGGTGCGGGGTGAAGCCTAGAAGAGGCTAGCCCCTAAGCAGAAGGAGCTAGTCCTATAAGAGGAGAGCTAGCTGGTGAGAAGTGAATGCATAGAGACTGGCTTGCCCGGCCGACAGGGATCACAAGCTAAGCGAGATAGGGGTCCAAGATAACTATCTTCAACACCAAAAACCTTCTCTTAATACGACACTACTCGCCTTACAACTCGTTAATAATAAATCAATCTAACTAATCAAATCAATCAATCTGACCTTCGCAAGTTGATTTGATTAGCTATTTTGAAAAGCTTAGATTGAGTTGATTGAGTTGGTAAAAACTCCAAATGACCAATCAAATCAATCAATCTGACCAATCTGGATTGATTGTTGCGGAGTCTGCTTCTAGCCTTTTATGCTGTTACACTGTAAACAGCCGATAATCCCTGTTATGCCTCTCTTTGGTATTAGCTACTAGATGGTACGCACGTCATTTGTTTGGGCGTTCGATCGTCGTGCGTCTTATTACCCGTAGTCAGGTATCTGCCAATGTCCCGAAGACCTAGTCACTGTGGTTATCCGTAATCAGTCTATTTATCTCTGGGGTGCGGAATCTTCTGTTATTTGTCAATCTCCCATAGCAAATCTAGTGATCAAAAGATAGAAGCGACTCTCTGCAGTTTTGACGATGTTGGCCGGAAATTGTAGTGGTATACTACCCGTATTTGGTCGCTTGGTTGTAGCACTCTCAATGGAAGAGACATATAGAAAGACAAAGGATAGACGGTGTGGTAATGACGGTGCTGTGAGAGCTTTGCATACAGTTCACATTTGGGTTTCTTCTAGACTTGGGCATAGGCCATAGAGCAAATAACTTGATGAAGGCATGGAGAACACTGCACAGAATGTGAAGAACCACGACCGGTGTTCTTCAAGACGAAAATGTCCAGTTGGGGTATGTTTCAATAATCAGTAAGTCTTCAACTTTCGAGACATCACACCTAACAAGGAGTTCGTTGTTCGATTTCCCAGGGACCAAGTGTATATACACGCGATGTCCCTCTAATCCGGGTATCTCGAATACGGCTCCATGGCACTGTGGTATTTCAAATTGTTGGAGCAACCTGCCAAGAGTTCCCCGATCGGTCCATTGTGTAAACGTGTTTCCAATCTCGCGAATCGCCTCTTGGTGGTTGCGGCCGTCTACAATGGTGTACGAGATCCTATTCAATCCTAGCGTCCACCCGTAAATATATATAACACATTGAAACGGTACGGTGAAACGCCCAGTGTCAGCCAACACAGTTGGGTGTCCGTGCGTCAGCCCGATACTCTTATCAGATCTTCTAGCATCTTCTACAACCTTCACCACTCTACTATCTACGTCATGTACTCATGTATATCTTATGTATATAAGCACATATCTCTACTCAGTAGAATAATCAACCAGTTCTCTCCTTTCTGTTGTACGCCCACACCCAGAAGAGTCCATCATGCGAAAGTTGATACTCATTCCAGCGCAATCGGTCATCAGGCTTCGGTGGGCCAAGAATATCGAGTTCTCTTCATCAAAACAACCCCAGTGTTGATCCGGGTCTAGCTCGACCTGCAAGGTGATTTTCAGAAGGCTTCCACGAAAGGCGTCCATGGGTATCAGAGATCGATAAGAATCAAGCCAGCTTGACTTGCTTGTTGACATCTCTGATGGGTATTGATTTCCAGAGTTTTTTTGCCTGTCCTGATATAGTATTTTCCGCAGGAGGGTGTCCGATAAGGATATAACAATCGCTGGTTTCGCAACGATTATAGGCAGTGTCGTACCGAAAGAGATCAAAAGGACTCTTCCTGACAAAGGTGTTCTGGGAAAGCATCTGTAGCTGTACTCCAATTGCTCGTCCTTTCATGTTTAAGCAGGCCAATGGTAAAATATAGTAATACCCAGACCAAGAGCCAAAAGGCCCACTGTACAAAAGCAGGGAGCCCGTCTTTAGTCCTTTGTTAGTCATAGTGAATTCCTTCGGAGGCTGACCGGCGTCTGATGGAAGGAGCAAGCCAGCAAATATGAAAGCAGCAGGGGATCTGGCTAGGATTCCGCAGTGATTTTGAAAGCCGGGCACGATATTGTCCACAGGCGTAGGCGATGCCGTCCAGGCAAAGATACTCGGATCAACACTCGATTTTATAATCTCTTCTTGCAGTCGGCGGCAGGCTTTGTCTCCTTTCCCGTAGAGCAAGGGCATGTTGACATCGAAGATCCCAAGTAAACTATAAGCCTCATCCTCTACGCGAGTCGTCTGACGGCCCGCAGCCCATGACATTTTATGAGCAACCAAGGCTGATGAGATTGGCGGTTTATCTGAAGGGATGTCGGCGGGTATGCGAGTAATGCGAGATAGTTCGGCCTCCAGGCTGCGCTTGGACCCGATTGTTCGCCATTGTGAATTATAAAACCACACCGTCCGGGGAGCGATCAGAGTTGTCAACAAGCCGGCCGATCGACGGCTTGATTCCTATTTGAGCGTGCACGTGGTGTCACATGCTCCGTGACAGCGTGCATGCCCCAAGATATGGCACGTTCGCGCATCAAGCCGCCGATCGGCCGGCTTATTGACAACTCTGGGAGCGATCAATTCTTGCAATGTCCAACCACGCGAGAACCTGAGCAGGGTTATTACACTTGTTGTAATTTCCGTTTACTTACCAGCGACATGCTGATAGCTGAACATTGGTGTCTGCGTTCAACTCAAGATCCGACAAGTATACGTAGCAAAGCGCGCTCCTCTAGTACCATTGGTACATAGAGTTGATGGCCTCAGTCAATTCGGCGCTGCTGCTCTTGTCGATACAGCACGTGTCGATCCATGCATATTGCAAAGCACTCTGATTTGCCAGATACAAGGTCTTCTCGATCTTTTCGTAACCCTTCTTGTGCTTGTAGAGACCGCTGATGTAGTCTTGATATGAGACTTCTTCCTCTTCTCAGGTATGTGAAAGAATCGCGTATCTTGGGATCACTTGGCCGATGAATTCTTCGAACTTTTCGGTGTTGACGTTCAGAAGTCGCATGATTAAGATGGAGAAGACAAGATTAAAGGCATATAGAGGAGTTGGATGAGCGCAAAACGACAGTAGAACGCAGGCTGACAGGATGAGGGGCTCAGCCTGGCATGTCGCATGTCGCTTAAGGTCAGGTCGGCGGTTAACCCGCCAATAGGGGACTCTTATGTTCGGGTTGTCATCCTTCTGAAGTCTGGCATAGCTGAAGGGCTTTTTGTGGCCAGAGAAACGCCCGTATGGTTATCTTAGACAGGTTGAATGTGTGAAGCACTTATCTGCTAGCGCACGTATTCATATCAGCCCTGCATGTTGAACCGGCCACGAGACACTATACAATGGAGAGAGGCAGTGTCATATGGTGAATTGGAGTCAGTTGCCTACACAAACCATGAAGAGAGTAGACAGACGGTGGTGCTCGTGTCAAGAGCTAGTGCACATGCAACCTAGCGCGAATTGACGTCATTGTGATCCGCGCTCTTTTGGCGTGACTGATCCACTTTCACAAGCTTCGACGCGGCCACGCGCCTGTCTTCCCGTCAACCCTCGGCCAAGTAATGCTTATCGTGTAGGAACCATGGCGTCTGCAAGTGATGTTCTTGCGCTCGTCAGCTCTCTAGCCCTGCGGCTCAGCATATATATCTTTTTACGATGGGTAAGCAGGGGTACATTGAACATGATGATTAAGTCAGCTAATTATCCATTTAGATACCCACCACCGTTAGTAGAGCAACGTCGAATGTCCCCTATGCCTATACTGAGGTGTTTCGTAGATTGTCCCAGCACTCGCGACCGCGCTTACGCTCGTATACATTCCCTCCTTCTTCACCAGCTTCCAGGACACTGCGCAGTACAAGATCATATCCGATGAACTCGATATAATTGTAAAGGAGACTGTTGGTGGAAGGAGTGACGACTCAAGCGAGGAAATACAACTCATCGACGGCGCAGATGACGGCCCATTGGAGGAGCTCGACGTCCAAGAGACGGTGCAATACGAAGAAAGGGAGCCCAAGGTGTTCCGAACACTGCTCACCGGGCTCCCAAGTCCTTCATCAGCACTACTGAGTTGGATCACATTTGGTATCAACATGGCCTTGATCGCAATGACGCTGGATGTTGTCTATCGCGCCCCATTGCTCCATCAATGCCACGACGCCAGCTTTGCACGCGTTGGGTACGTGTCGGAGAATAGCGCAAAGATCCTTGTGCGAGAGCCGTATGCATTCGATGTCAAAGTACTCTACCGATCCATTGACGACATGGAGCGCTCCTGGATGGAGAAGACGCATTGCGCAAGCCAACCCGACTACTGGCTCACAGACGAGACCGACTTCACCATGGTCATGGAAATCGAGCACTTGCGACCCGATCTGTCGTACGAATACATTGTGGAAACCTCACATGGGAACACCACCGGTACTTTTACCACCGCTCCACGACCTGGACACATATCACAGCTCAAGGACAACAAATACACGTTCGTACATTCGAGCTGCATCAAGCCTCGAGTGCCCTACACACCGTTCCAGCATCCTCTCGAATTTCCCGGTATGAAACATCTTGCGCGCTGGCTACCAGAACTTCAGCCATACTTTATGCTGTTCCTCGGCGACTTCATTTATGTCGATGTACCACACCGCCAGGGCAATGATGCTGAGACGTATAGACGCGAGTATCGACAGGTCTACTCATCACCATCATGGCCGGCAGTCAGCCAGAACTTACCTTGGATTCACGTCATTGACGACCATGAGATCCAGAACGACTGGAACAGCAATATGACCGGTGTCGCAGTCCCTGCCTACGATGCCTTCACGCACTACAACGCCGCACCTAACCCACCACCCCATCGCGAAGGCGTTACATACTTTTCCTTCACCCAGGGACCGGCTGAGTTCTTCCTCCTCGATACGCGCCGTTACCGCAGCCCTGTTAGCAACAACGCCTCCGACCCCGCAAAGACGATGCTCGGAGCCCAACAACTGTCTGATCTCCTCGACTGGATCCAGAAGGCGCCACCTCAGGGCGTCCACTGGAAGTTCATCGTCACCGGCACGCCATTCACCAAAAACTGGCAGTTCGGCTCCGAAGATACATGGGGCGGACATCTCCACGAACGCCGCCGTATTCTGGAAGCAGCCTGGGACTTTTCTTCCACCCATGACGTCGGAGTCGTAGTTCTAAGCGGCGACCGCCACGAATTCGCAGCTACATCCTTCCCTCCCCCGAAAGACGGAAAGTGGCCTGTCAGCGCCACCGTACACGAGTTCAGCACCAGCCCACTCAGCATGTTCTACCTTCCCATCCGCACGTACAAGGAAATCGACGACGAAGACGTCTGTCTCAAGTACCTGCCTGACGGCAATAGCAAGTTTGGTGCTGTGGAGATTACGACGCCGGTACATGGGGAGCAGAGTTTTGTGAATTACAGACTGTTCATTGACGGGGAGGAGGCGTGGACGCATGTTATTAGTACGCCGCTGGGGAGAGCTGGGAGTCATAGGGCAAAGGAGGCGGTTTGGGGATGATGGATTCATTTTAGGGCGAGGGGGGTTTGATCTTTTCGATTTTGAAGGGTATTATTTATAGGGTTTTATGGCATATTATCATCTTCTCAATTTGGACGGATTAAAGTAGGTGGGAGTTCCGGTCGCAGTTTCCGCACTGGTAGCACATGAGAATGTAATATAGTATAACTCTTCATAATCCGATTCGGGTATCTTCTTCCACAGTATACACATACATTCTCAACCCTCACCCCCACTTCCTCCTCGCCTTTTCCTCATCCTCCTTACTCCACTCTCGCGGCAATACCGCAAAAACAAGATAACTAGTATGCGTCTTGAGCTCCGCCTCGGTGCGATGCACAAGCTTCCCCTCTTTAAACAGCGTCCTATTTTCCAAATCCCGCTTTGTCTGGGCCATCCTATCATGCTTACTCGGCGGCGCACCCTCCATCTTCTTCTTCTTCTCTCCCTTCGCATTCTTCTCACCATCCACGCCTACAGCCTCCCCCCTCTTCCTCGCCTCGGCCTTGCGCATAACCTCCTCCTGCTTCTCGCGCTGCATACTATGAAACACGGCCGCGCGACCCTCGACATCGCGTAGTCGCTGTACGGCCTCAGCCACGTTTGCGGGATGCGAGTTACCCCCGCGGACGCCTTCTTCTTGGAGTCCAACCCGCTCGCGCCGCACGTCGAGGCGCTTGGCGGCGATTTCTACCATGTCGATTTCGAGCCAGCCGAGTGTGCGCAGCGCGGAGACGGTTTTTGTGACTTGTTCGATACACGGGGAGAAGGTGCAGATGCGGGTTGCGTTGCGCGGGTTTAGTGGGCTGCGGAAGGGTCGGGGTTGCGGGGAGGATGTTGAGGTGGTCGTGGGTACTTGTTGGGTGTCGTCGGAGGCGGGCGAGGGCGTGGATGGGTCTGAAGAGACGGACTTCAGGGCGGCGGAGGAAGGAGGGGAGCGCGTGAGGTGTTTGAGTGCGTGCCAGGGAGCGGGTAGGTCGAGGAAAATGGCGTCTGCGTCTGGGGCGCTGGAGTCGTCATCGAGGTTGAAGCCATCGTTGTAGACGTCACGGTGGGTTACTGTGACTAGTGGGGAGAGGCCGTGGTCTGAGATTTCGGCTTGGAGTTGACGGGCGCGCGGCTCGTGGTATTCGAAGCTGTAGACGCCACCGGTTCGTGTTTTGCGCTTTCGCTTCTTGGGCATGCCTACGGCATTTTCTTCGTCGACTTCTAAGGCCGCGGCTTGGGTTCCTGGGTAGCCATTGTAGACTGCTCTTACGGCGGCGTGTGTGAAACTTCCACTACCAGCACCTGCTTCTATGATGTGGTCGCCCGGCCGTACGCGCAGTCGCTGTAGGATATAGCTGTAGTCGGGTGTGTATACGACTTGGGTACGATGCGGCAGGGATATCGTCCATGTCTCTGGCGTAGGCGGTATGAGATGCGCAAATCCACTGCTTGCTACTGCCGCCTTGACAATATCCTTCTTCACCACCTCGGGCTCAGTGGCCGGTGTTCCTTCACCCTCATCTTTGCCGTCTCGCTTTCTTTTCTTCGACTTTCCGCGCGATCCAGTGTCGACGACTGACGCTAGGATTTGCGTGCCCCAGGGTTGTCCTACAAGTGTGCTATGTGGGAAAGAGCCGAAGCGCGTGTTTTCTACCTTGCCTTCTGCATAGTCCGAGTCGGCGTTTGGCTTGAGGACGGCGGGAATGAGATGATCGCGACGTAATTGAAGAATGCCGAGGTTGTTCGCCGTCGCATGCGCTCCTGGGTCAAGGAAGGGTGAAGGTATCGTCGCCATTGAAGCGGCGCAAGGAAAGTGGTGAATGCTGCAAAAGTCGCGACGGATAGCTCCGCAAAAGAACAAAAGTAATCCGCGGGGAGCTTTGGAAAATGCTATTGGCGGGGAACGCCAAGCACGTCACTCACAGGGATTCTTATTGCTCACCCCGAAGATGACTGGAACGGAAACGTGACATAGCTGACTCACTTGCAAGTAAGGCTCACTCTAAACTACACCTGGCCTGAACCATATTTCCTGTCGCTCCTTTCACTCTTGAGTTGCACCCTTCCCTTTATGGTCCTTGCCTTCCGGTCTTTGTCCCGCACCATCAAGTCGCCTTCCCCGCTCTTACACTTGAAAAGCAACTTTACCAGTCGCATAAATCAGAGTAGAACAACTCCACGCCTCGTTGCCAATATGGCGACTCCAGCCCGTACCCAGCCGCCGTGGAAGGAGCCAAAGGCATCGAGTGCAGCCAAATTGAAAGTCTGGAACTCTTTGACCAGGACCAAGAACGACTTCATTCCCATCGATCCCGAAGGCAAGGAGGTGAAATGGTACAGCTGCGGTCCGACCGTTTACGACGATGCTCATTTGGGCCATGCTCGCAACTACGTCACCAACGATATCTTACGAAGGATTCTCGCCCACTACTATGGGTACAATGTTAAATTTGTACAAAACATTACAGATGTCGATGATAAGATCATTTTGCGGGGGCGCCAGCAACATTTACTTGCCAAGTTCAAAGCCGAGAACCCATCCGTCACACGGGAAGTGATTGATACCACCATCAAGGCCTTTGACGCCTATATAAAAAAGAATCTACCATTGCTCAGTCAGGATGTCAACATTGACACTTTCAACAACGACTCTGCGGATAAGTATGCCAACGTTATCCAAGGCAAGTCCATCGATGGCGTGGGCCCACCCGGTGATAAGGAGGCAAAGATCAAGATGCATCTCCGAACAGCCAGCACTGCAGTAACATCACTGTTAGCGCCATCAAAGTCCACACCAGAAGATGTGGATGTCTTCTACGCTGGCGCCGAGGACGTTTTATTGCCGTATCTTGACTCGCTATATGGCTCAACCATCGACGCAAGTGACCATTCAGTGTTTACTACTCTAACCAAAAAGTATGAGGCGCGCTTCAACGAGGATATGCAGAATCTCAATGTACTGGAACCGGATGTTGTCACTCGCGTAACTGAGTACGGCAATGAGATTGTATCGTTCGTAGATAAGATCATCAAAAACGGAATGGCCTACAGCACATCGGACGGATCTGTGTACTTCGACATCGAAAACTTTGAGAAGGAGGGAAATCACTACGCGCGCCTGGAGCCATGGAACAGAGGAGACACAAACCTTCAAGCAGATGGCGAAGGCGCTTTGTCGTCAGTCAAAACATCAGAGAAGCGCAACGATTCCGATTTTGCGCTCTGGAAGTCGAGTAAGCCTGGTGAGCCGGCATGGAACAGTCCGTGGGGCCCTGGTCGACCGGGCTGGCACATTGAGTGCTCCGTCATGGCCTCAGCCGTGTTGGGCGAACAGATGGATATTCACAGTGGCGGTATCGATCTCTGCTTCCCCCATCACGACAACGAGTTGGCACAATCAGAGGCGTATTGGCAAAAAGATGGCGGTGCGCAGTGGGTCAACTACTTCCTCCACATGGGACATTTGTCCATTTCGGGCTCCAAGATGTCCAAGAGCTTGAAGAACTTCACAACGATCCGTGAAGCGTTGAGCCGCGGGGATTGGAACGCTCGCAGTTTGCGGATCATCTTCTTACTTGGCGGTTGGCATGATGGCATTGAGATTACCCCAGATATGCGAAAGTCGGGCTCTTCATGGGAGAGCTACGTTACCAACTTCTTTTACAAGGTCCGCGATCTCGAAGTACATCCAAACATCACCTCCACAGCCACAGAGGACGAAAAGGTTCTGAAGTCGTTCGAGTCAGCAAAGGAGAAGGTACATAACGCATTAGCCGACTCTTTCGATACACCTACGGCTATGCGTGCCATATCCAGTCTCATCACGGACTACAACTCTGCAGACAAGGCTGGGCTATCCGACTCTGTCTCTTTCGACGTCGCCCGTTACATCACCCGCATGGTCCGGATATTCGGCCTCGATGGTAAAGCCGATCCATACGACGGAGGCATTGGCTGGGCTGGCATCGACATACCTTCAGCAGCCAAGGAGCACGTTTACGCCGTATCAAGGGAGCGTGACGAAGTACGTCAACACGCCATCGCCGGGGACCTTTCGGAAGACGTACTTGATTCCATCATTTCCCAGCACAACGCCGCAAAGCGACAAGACATGGATGCCCTACCCTACGCAGAAGTCCTCACGACCTTCCAACAAAACCTCAAGACCCTTGCCAGCAAGAAGGCGCCCGCAAAAGATTATCTTGACCTCTGCGACCAACTCCGCGACACCCATCTCTGGGACCTCGGCATCTACCTCGAGGACCGCGAGAACGCCCCAGCCATGGTCCGCCCCGTCGACGCCGAGCTGCAAGCCGCTCGTGATCAAAAAGAGGCTATTGCCCGTCAGAAAGCCGAGGCTAAGCTGAAGCGCGAGCAGGAGGAGGCGGAGAAGAAGGCTAAGCTTGCGGAACAGGCGAAGATCAATCCAAAGGATATGTTTAAGACGGAGGAGTATAGCGCGTGGGATGATGAGGGTTTGCCGACAAAGGATAAGGAGGGCGCTGATTTGCCCAAGGCGCGGTCGAAGAAGTTGAAGAAGGAGTGGGAGAAGCAGAAGAAGCTTTTTGAGGAGCATTTGAAGGCGTAGAGTGGGTTGGACAGAATGTAGTAGACGGATGGGGATCCACGTTCGCCGCACATTAGTGATAGCAACAATAAATAAACACGCATCAAAAATCGCATCACCACAGACCTATTGCCAATCCATCATAGTATCTTCAACTGCAATCAACAAAAGGGCGTGCGCTATCAAAAACGACTATAGGGCGCGCGCACGCGTTACCGATCGACAAACCCTCTACTCCAAACAGCCTAGCGCGTCGATTACAAATAGCCCGGGTAACCGGTGAGTTAGCCGACGTCCGTGATCTGAAGGGAACCTACGCATCACGAACCCACTCGACTACATAACCTGCACGCCACGCAATTGGCCAAACTATCCCCACTACCCCCAGGTCTCGCCACAGATATGGCCTGCGGACATAAAGATAGCTCCTATCCGCGGGCCGGTCGTAGCAAATATGCAAGGTGGGCTGGGCTGGGCTGGCCGCGACGTCGGATAAAGGCCCGATGCCCGATGTAGGATTTAGCTTTCTTTTTTGTTCGCTGAATTTGACGGGTTGGTTACGTATATGAAGTGTTTCTTCTCTCTTTCTTTCAAGGTTTGATCTAGTTAGTCTGGTTGATGTGCAGAGGTGAATGAGTTAAGTGTTTGCTGTCATAAGGATAGAAAGAGACGAATGGGTGAGACGGATGAAATGGCAGATAACGTCGATGTTGAGAAAGGAATGTCGTCGATGGGAGTAGCAGGCGACATAAACTTACAGCATCATGCCGACGCAACAGCACGCAAAGCTACTACAACCACAACTTCACCACTTCAACACCAACAACACTGCCATCATGAATCCGAAGAGCAAGAAATATCCCGCTTCCCCACCCACACCTCAACCAACACTTCCCGTCCCAACGGCCCCAAAACCGCAATCCTCCACCTCGCAAAAACGCTGACCACCCGCTCCAACGCCACCCTCACCAACCCGCCCCCACCCCCAGACGGCGGCCTAACAGCCTGGACACAAGCCATAATGGGCCACTTCGTAATCCTAAACACCTGGGGCATGATCGCCACCTTCGGCGTCTTCCAACAATACTACACCCTCCATCTCTCCCTCGAACCCAGCGCCGTCTCCTGGATCGGCAGCGTGCAAATGCTGGGCCACTTCAGCCTGGGCATGTTAACCGGCCGCGCCTTTGACGCCGGGTTCTTCTACTGGAGCGTTATCCCCGGAATGCTATTGTCTTGTCTCGGTATCTTTCTCACCAGTTTGTCTAGGAGTTACTGGCAGTTTTTCCTCACCCAGGGCGTGTTGGTCGGTGTGGGGAATGGGATGCAATTTGCACCCACATTGGGTCTTGTGAGCACGTATTTCTCACGCAACAGGAGTGTTGCGCTTGCTATTATGGCGAGCGGGAGTGCCACGGGTGGGTTGGTGTATCCGTGTCTGGCGAGACAGTTGATTCCACGCGTGGGGTTTGAGTGGGCGGTTCGCACAATGGGGTTTATGATGTTAGCCATGGGCGTGTGTTATTGTGCCCTCCTCAAACCGCGGTTACCGCCTCGTAAAACGGGGCCTGTGCTCGAGTTGGCGGCGTTTAAAGAGATGCCGTATTCCGTGTTTTTGCTGGGCGTGTTTTTGATTGCGTTGGGTCAGTATTTTGCGTTTTATTACATCTCGTCGTTTGCGATGGATGTGCTGGATTTGGCATATGGGACCAGTATTAATGTGCTGTTGGTCCTTAACGGCGTGGGTGTACTGGGAAGGTTGATCCCTAGCTTCTTTGCGGATAAGTATACGGGCCCGTATAATATTCTCATTCCGTTTTGCTTTGTTTCGGCGTTTGTGCTGTTCTTTTGGCCGTTGGTGAAGAGCGAGGCTGGGCTTTATGCTTGGGCGGTTTGCTATGGTTTTTTTGTGGCGGGCTTTCAGGGGATTTTTCCCGCGGCCATGACGACGCTGACGACGGATATGAGCAAGGTTGGAACGAGGAATGGTCAGGGTCTTGCGGTTGTGGGGCTGGGGACATTTATTGGGCCGCCGATTGCTGGGGCGCTGATACAGAGTGCTGGGGGAAGGTACCTTGGTGCACAGGTTTTTGCGGGGGTGGCGGTGCTGGTGGGGAGCTGTGTGTTGGTTTGGGGGAGGTGGTGTATCACGGGGAAGACGTTCAAGGTTCGGGTGTAGGATGAGTGGTACACGTACTTTCGATAGATGCTCCAATGGTAACCTTTGGGCCGGATATTCGCGAGGATATGATGATGCTTCACTCCTCAAATCCACCCAACCTTATGCATACACTTGATTTATCTTTCAAGGTCGTTTAAATCATGTTAATTGGGGTGAAGCGTCAGATAAAATTCACAAAAGAACAAGGTCATAGGTGTATCAAGAATGTTGGTTGATTCCACTAAAGTAAATACCCATCACAGACTACATAGTAAAAGTCTTGTAGAAGCCTTATAGTATCCAACTTTGCAAGACGCCAACATCTCTCCGTGTAGAATCCTTTGCCTGAAATCTCATACAAGTGTAGACTCGCATCATCCGAAGATATCAAGAGACCCAGTGACTAATCATGTGCATGTAAGCATCCATCCACTCGCACTCTCCGAAGAACTACGGTAAGCTGAATGAGACCGTTGGCTTGAACCGGGGAGGCTAGTAAGCAGCGAAGTTTCCAGTTCTAACATCCCATCCCGAGAGAGTCGGTTCGCTGGGAACCGGAGTCGCCCAGTGAGTCTCCCAGGGTCCCTCCCAGGGAACCGGGCTCTTCTTGGGAACCGAGCACTTCTTGGGAATGGGACACCTTTCCGGCGACGGGGGAGACCAACTACGCGACGAAACAGAAGACCGACTGCGCGGCGGAACAAAGGGCCACGGAATATTGGAACACGTTCCCTGCTCATGCGGCTCACCCCACCCATCCCGCTCACTACCGCACCTGCTCTTAGCCTTTTTGAAATATCCATGATCCTCGACGCCAGAGAACTTCGCGTAAAAGTCTTCGTCGGAAAACTTCATGAGTTCATCCTTGTCAAAGACCTGCGCAGGTTCATCACGGCCATGCATATCCTGCGCCAGATCAAAAGCATCCTGGAGACCAACTTTGCCGATGAATCCCTTCTCATGTACCCACTTCCAAACCTTCTTCATGCCGTTGTTACCCTCGATAATGGCCTTCTCTGCGCCGGTAACGTTGTTGCTCTCGATGGGAATATGGGCTGATTCATCGCCAGATTCGATGGTGGCCCAATAGGTGACAGTGTAGGTTGACAAGACTGGGGCCTTGGGCTCGGGGCTCTTGACAGCATCATGGCGGTCGTCATCGACAGGGCTCTTGTGTGTAATGGACTCAAGGTCGGGAACAGTGCTGTAGTCATCGTCGGAAGATGATGTATCAAGCCGGCTCTCGAAAAAAGGATAGTCACGTAACTTGGGACCCTTGACTACTTTTTCATTACCCGGAACAGAGGACCAGGCTGCCAACACCCGCTTGGCAGACTCAAGTCCACCGAAGTTGTGATACATGGTAACAGCGACCTTGACATTCGCACCGCACATGCGGAGGAATAGAGAGGCTTCCTTGCAGATGAGCTCATTATTGGTGAACTCCAGGAAGTAATCGATCTTCCGCGACGCTTGGAGGTTGACAAGATCCTCTGGGTGCAAACCGGTGTTGTAGAAGATTTTGCGAGGCTTCTCTGCATGACCAGGGTTCGGGGTTTCATCGGTGAAGTCGTATCCGGTAGTAGGTCCAGAGCCCATACAGGTACATTTCGGATGCCCATCACAGCCGTTCCAACCACCTATGCATTTAGGACGGTAGTATATGTCTTCATGCTCATGTTTACCTCGAGAGAACTGAGATCCAGAAGCCCGACGTTGGAACTCGTCGAAAGAAACAGGTTCCGACATCTCGCACAGTTCCTGCGTAGTAGGAGTAGGATACTGGCGATGGGAATGCGCGTGACTGTCAGTGTTGAGCGGGACATGATCGGCGGGAGCAAGGACTCGATCGGGTACCCAAGACATCATGGCGCCCTTGCCATCGACCCATGTCCATTTGGATTTGGGCGTCGCGTTGGCATCTGCCGAAGGAGCAGTCGTAGCGGACTCTTCGGTGTGCGTGACTGGTAAGCCCAAGGTAACAGATGGAACAAGCTTGACAGTAGACCACTTCTTCTTGGTTGAAGTTCCCTTCTTGACTGAAGCTCCATCCTGTTTCTTAGAAGAAATCGACTTTTCAGTGGTCTTGCTGTTGTCGCATGCTCCCTTGATGTCGCCCCTACGCTGCTTGTCAAACTCCGCTTCGCAGGGACTCTTAGAAAGTACTTGGAACCGTTCCAGACGTTCGTCAAAACCTGGTGAGGAAGTCCAGTTCTTTGCAGGATCTCCGAGGCCTGCGATATGAATCGCTTTGTCCACACGCTTCATTTCGTCGGTGAGACTGCCGCCCTTGGCGAATATAGACTTGAAGGGGATTGGCGAGAACTGAGTGGAGGGGCCCCCGAACTCGATCAATGCAGGGAGGCCCGAGACGCTGTCGTCATCGGAATCGGTGAAGCCGAATGCAGCGTTCATAACTGGTGAGTTCGGAGTTTCGACAGACTCCATTTTACCTTTGGGGAGCTTGCCCTTGGCAGAAACAGCGTTACTCAGGCGAGAAGAACGGTTATTGGAGGGTCCTGCTGGGTCATACGAGGAGGGGAAGCTCAGGACACTGTCGTCATCGCTATCGGCGAAGTCATCATATGCGGGATCTATGGCTGGCGAGTACCGAGTTGCTGTTGGTTGCGGCACGCGCATTTGTTGTAAGTGATGAAGTCGAAATGTGGGGGGTCGATCAAGGCGGGGAGAGCTTTTTTATATGCTCTTAGCGCGGAATCGCTTGTCGATAAGGAGTGTGGTGAGAGAGAGCAACAATAGCACCAGGCACCAGTGGCCAGTGACGTATCAGGAACATGGGGCTGGGTGAGAGCGAGTAATCGGCAGCACGCGCTAGACCAAGAGCAGAGGGCATAGAACTTGAATAGGCTACTTGCGCAAAGCGTTTGGCAAGGACAACAGGCGAAGCTCGATAGGTCATCGCACTCACGTGATCACTCGAGCAGCGGCCTCCTCTCCTCATCCCTCGTATTCCACAAGAAGAACCCCCGCTTTCTCGTGCCATCGTCCACCTCCTCAATCTCAAACTCCTTCTCTTCGCCCATGAACCTCCGCCACCACTTTCCCCATCCCTCACTCTTCCTAACCCACACCTCGCCAGTTCCATCCTCGTACAGTACATACCCGCCCTTCTTCGCCCTTGCGCCCAAGCGAAGCAGGCCAATACACTTGGATAGCCCATAGAGAACCAGGACACCGAACAAAGTGCAGAAGATGGTGACGATGGAGGTGAGGAAAGTGATGGTGGAGACTTGGCAGCCTAGACCGGCGGTACGAAGTTCGAAGCGCTCGGGTCCTAGAGCGCAGATAGTTTTATGGCGGATAGGTGATAGGAGGGGGAATGCTCGCGACAGGGGGTCTGTCGGGAGTGGGAGACACGTTGAGGACTGTTGATGGGAGTTAGTTCGTGTTCACGATGGCAGCATGAGGGTTTGGGACATTGCAACATCCCAAGACAAGAATCGTAAAACAAATCGACATAGCCAACACCAGAACCGTAGGGATGACTCCATAAACGCGCAAGTAAAGCAAAAGCGTGCAAGCAGGAAGCGCACTAGAAAAGGAAGACGTACAATAGCACACCACCCACAAAACCCCTCACTCCGATGACAATCCCCACAATCCCCATAACCCCAACACATCGTCAATCTCTGCCAGTCTTCACTGGGACTATTCTGAAGTCTCTCGTACAGCAACTCCGTGACGTTGACCGACGCGTCGTTACTGCGCTTGGCATGGCAGCTGGAGAACATGATGGATACAGAGAAAAGAACGGATGCGGGATCTTTGGTTTAGAATCAAACAAGGAACAGCAAACGAAGAAGCAAAGCGATTGAATCAAGATGAGACGAGATGGAAGGCTGGGGGAGGAGAACAGAGGTCAAGAAAGTGGGGTTCATGCATGCGACAAGCGTCGCGCTAAACTGGATTAGTTCGGCTGAGGATGATGCCGTCATTACGTAGACGACTTGTCCTGAGGCTAGACATCACAGAAAAGTGCATGCAATGGATATTTTGGTTGGAATGTATGGATTCGAGATTTACAAAGAAGAGCTAATATATATACAAAGAAAGTACCTCCAGGTGAGGCTAGATGACCATCATCTCTCCCTTTACTTGGGGATGCACTGGGAGTAGTAGTCGTTGTTGACCGCGCACTTGAATCCAGTGACACAAGTCGTGGGGCCGGTGAAACCCTTGCCACCACATCTGTTGTGTGTTAGAACCTGTTTGGTCTGGAAAAAGAATGTTGAGGTTGGCTTACTGTTCGTAGGCTCCGGCTGTTTTACCGGGAGTGGCAGTTGGCGTTGCGGTAGGTGTTGCACTAGCGGCCTTGGAAGTCGTGGGCTTAGCAGTAGTTACTACGGATGAAATGGCGGACGAGGGCTTACCACCCCCACTGCTGGCTCCGAGGGCAAGGATCTTAGCAGCGGCGTGCTCTGCGAGGACTACAATGTAAGAGGTTGGGTTGGTGAAGATGTGACTATGGGATATTAGTAGGAAGCAGATAGAGATGATGGGATCCAACTTACCCAGGGAAGAGAGAAGCGTCAACAACGTGGATGTTGTCAGTTCCGTAGACCTGTGTGTTCAGGTCCACAACTGAGGTTCCACCGGTAAGACCGCTGTCGGTTCCGATCTTGGCTGTACCGATCCAGTGGTTGGAGCGGCGCTTAGCTGGGGTCTTGGGGAGACTGGCGACGTAATCTTCAACAGTTTGGCTCGCGGGGGGAACTTGCCAGGTAATCTGGGGGTTCTTGGAGAGGGCTGCCATCAAGCTCTTGATACCAGCAATGACGACACCGGTGTCGGCATCGGTCTGCAGGTAAGGTGCCTTGCTGACGAACATGTTGAGAGCGCCGTTGATGGAGAGAGCACCTCGGGAGGTTGAACCGTGACCAAGGTACTGGCTGATGGTCATGGAGTGAGTGTCGTTCGCACCGGGGCCTTCAACACGGGCAGTCCACTGGAGCGATCGATCGATGCCATCGGATCCCTTGATGACTTCCCAGCCAAGGGGACCGATATTGGGTGCAGACTGAGCGAGAATACCGGCGCGCTTGGTGAGGTAGAGGTTCTTGTCAGCCTCGATCGGGGTGTTCCAGGCAGCGTAGAAGTCGTAGAAGGATACGTTGGGGTGCTGGACGACGAGATCAGTGTTGACGTGATCGTTCAAGTTCTGTCCGACGGGAAGGTTGATCCAGGAGGATTCACTGATCATGGTGGATCCGTCGATAGCACTGTTCTTAACGACGGTGAGCTGATCTTTTGGTCCGATACCGCTGCGGAAAAGAACCTTGGGGGATCCAAAGGCACCTGCAGAGAGAATGACACGGCCGCCAGGGTTGAGGTTCACGGTGCCGCAGTAACCGGTACCACCAACACCGCTCTCGAGCTCAACGCCAGTAGCCTTGCCGCCGGTGCGGACAACACGGCGGGCCATGGTGTTCGTCCAGAGCTTAAAGTTCTTCCTCTCGAGAGCAGAGACCATGTAGGTACCGAGAGGACCTTGCCTCTGTCCGTTGGAGTACATGAATGGCGAGTGCGAGAATGTTCGGTTCTTCTGGTTTGGTTGATCGTTTGCGACGACACTCTTCCAGCCACCAGCAGCGAGCGCACCAGAGAGAACGTCAAAGCCTTCTTGCTTGTAACGCTTGCCGTCCATGGAGGGGGTGTCGGTACCAGGAATGCGCTTGAAGACACGGTCGATAGCACCCTTGACATCAGAAGACTTCCAGCCATTGGGGAATTGGTAGTCAAAATCGATGTCAACAGGCTTCCACCAAAGCGCAGCGTTGATAGCAGCGCCTCCTCCAAGAACACAACCAGCCATCTGGTCAATATCGGTGCAAGCAACACCGGCAGAGTCGACCCAGATCTGGTTGCAAAGACCGGGAACGTCGAAACGAGAGAGGTTGTTGCTTGTAACCCAGTCGGGTCCCATCTTGCCGCCAAAGCGAGCCAGAGATGGCGGGCCCTTCTCGAGCAACAAAACGCTCTTGCCAGACTCGGAAAGCTTGTCTGCGATGGGAATGCCACCGGCACCACCGCCAACGACGATGTAGTCGAAAGAACCAGAGGGAGCGGGTGATCCAACGCACTTGCCTGGGTTAGTAGGTGTGGGCGTAGCAGAAGGGCCTCCGGAGGTGGGTGTGCCAGAGGGCGTAGTGCCTGCGAGCGCGGCCCATTGAGAGTACTTTGCGTTCCTAGCAGGTGCTGTTTGAGCGCCGAAAAGGGATTGACCCTTGTTGTGAAATACCCATGTGCCGTCGAAGATCTTGTCGTGCTGAGCCCAACCGATGACGTTTACTTCGCCGGTTGGGAGTTGAGAGCCCTCGGCGCCGTTCTGGTTCCAGGCAAAGCAGTGCTGGCATCGGTACACAAGCTCGAAGTTGGAGTCGCTGACTTTGGAGTAAATCTGACTCAACACAGCGTTGCCAGTGTAGTCATCAGGAGCAACGTAACCACTAATATGAGTCAGCAGAGTGAATTAAGAGACGAATAAGGGAACTTACGATACAAAGACAAACTTGGTCTTTACAGTGTTGGTCTCTGGCCATGCGACCAGGAGAAGGGAGTTTGGCATGCCACCAGCGTGACTGATACCGGACCATCCCTGCCTGTTCGCTTCAAGTGAACCTTTCTGGAAAGTGTAAGCACATGCTGCATGTAATGCTGACTTGCATTCTTACAATGTAACCAATGTACTCATCGTCGGCGCCAGTTCCGTTCGTAGGAAGTGCCCATCCCCATTCGAAACCACCAGCAGTCTGATCGGAAGAAACTACCTGACGCCAAAAGTCGATGCCAGTGGCTGTGTGGGTAAAAGTTGTCTGCGCAAGCGCGACAGGAGTGACTAGACATGTTAGACTTGTTCAATCAGCCCGGCAATCGAACGTGACATACAAAGAGGGAACAGCAGCGAAGCCGCCTGGAGAACGGAAGAAGTCTTCATGGTGAAGACAGGGAGGTCACGGAATGAAGGGAATGGCCAGCGAGAGCGGTAGCTGTGAAGTCTACAGCATGCAGCATGCCATAGTATTATATATCCGTTCACATTTCATTAGACTACGTCGTAAACGCCATGGTGTATGGGGTTGAGACCAATTAGCCAAGGCACTGCTGCAGAGCACACCTCTGGGCGCGGCAAAAAGGTGCCTCCTACCAGGTACGGATGAGGCATGGCAACGAGGGGGATCCTAGACAAGTGTGTGATTGCAAAAGTCGGCCTCACGATTGGACGGTACGAGTCGGTATAGCTCTGGCCAAAATTAAGGTCAGTGGTTAATATGTTGACAATAAGGCGACCGGGGGTGTTTGATTGATATAGATTGATGCATGCCGGGATGGCGAGGTATTTGCCAGGAGCCATTGGCGTCTAAGCCGGTTCGGGCCTTCCCCACAAAACGTTTAGTGACGAGCGGGATAGAGATGGTTTGCGAACGTCAGTGTCATGAGCCTCTCATCATTATCACCAAACACATCATCTGCACCATGGCAGCCTTCTAGAATATTAAAGGGCGTCTTGGGATGAGCGCGTGCACCGCCATGCCCGCCTCGGTACCGGATTCGCGCCCCATGTTCCGCAAGATTGCCCCAAATGAAGGGCAACCCGCAAGCCAACACCCAAGACTTGCGACGTGCGCACGTTTCCTAGATTGAAATACTCGACGAGGGCGATTCCTCCCAATCTAATATATTACCATTTCTTTACGTTCGGTCAGTCACGACATCGCGTCGGTGGTACCTGCTCTGATTTGTGCCGCCATTCTTCCACACAACCGCCGACTTGGCTCCCACATTTGGGTTTTGCAAGCCGCTCTTTCCTATTCTAGCATCTGCCGGCATCCTTTTGCTGATCCTCGCTGCCCTCAAGGCGTGTCCGAGTTGTGCAGATGGATTAGTATATTGGCGAAATAAAGGACTACTGGTCACGCGCCTGTGCCACCGCGCGGTCGCACCCGAGCCGAACTTCGTGCTGGCGTCCAACATGGAACAGCGGCGCCGTGTTCCATCTGGAAACGTTCGGAAAATTGTACATGATGGAATAATATAGTGACTTTCGCCGTCGCCACTTTGGAGGCTTTGCAAAATCACCTGTTCAGCTCATACGACGATCTTCGAGCCTCATGTCTGAAGTATGGTGGAAGGACATGCTAAGGGGATGCGGGTAGCGTAAGCATGTTTTGCATTTTGTTCTTCATGGTCCGTTTCTGACAACAGACGCAGATGTCCAACGGGTAATATACCACTTCCGCAGTTGTTTTTGGCCGCCATGTAGAGTGGAAGTGGCCGAAAATAGGCCAATCATGAAGTTCAAGACAAAACGCCATGATCCATAAGATACAGGTAAGCATGACCGAAGATGCCGTGCAAGGATGATATTGGCGTGCAGCAAGACCGCATGTTCTCTCCGAGGAAGATTTTAGTATACTTATGTGCGCCATACGGGTGCTCGGAAAGGCGTGCAAGTGCTCTCCGTAGGCCAGAGCGTAGGAACTGCCGAATGACAATATACGCTCTACCGACTCCGAGGCTGACGAAGTTGTTGCTCTCGATACCAACCGTCCGGTGTACTTTGCTCACGGCGATGGCAACGTTCCGGCAACCGAGAGGTTCAAGCTATACGGGAACGGTGAGGGCGGCAGAGCGGACGGCCACGGAAGCTTAGAACAGCAAGAGCTCGTATAAATCGTATTACCACCCTGTACACCTAGCGGAGTTGAGATACATGTTTGTGGTACCGATATCGCTTTGTGTAGATGTTTGCTCCGGCCGGAGATGATCGTCTTTCATGCAGTAGCCAAAACCCAAGATGCTATAATTCATGTGTAATTCACATGATTATGATATCACAGGGGGGTAACGATACCAACACGGCGACTGTCAGCTCCAAGGATGTACCCTAGTATCATGTTACAGATGTAGCAGCTACAACGATCCATGAGTGAGATCACCCACAAGTCTCCGCGAAGGCGCAGTAAAGAAAACCATTACGTTGCCCCAACGCCCCAACTGTCAGAGAATAAGTGCTCTCGCTATATGTCGTGTAGTCATCAATCAAACCCGCGTAAATGAATCCATGCTTCCAACGTTGTACGACATTCCAACTGCATCAACCCACCATGACATCAGCCCCATCCCTAACCCCAGATTCTCAATCAAAAACCCCCTCCCCCCATCCATGCACCCCACAAAATACAAGAAACCGGTAGTTGGACCTCGCAGAATAAACGAACGGGACATGCGCCATGTTCAACGAAACCGAAACAATGAAGCGGATAGTGGAGGGGCGCACAGCGGCCACGGTGCCGCGCGCGCGCCAAAGCGATGGTAACGTGTCTGTGCGCGTGATGCCCATAATCGCGTGCCGCACACCCCACCAATATCGCGACGACGGCAAAGTTGAGGCTGTGCAGCCACGTACAATAACTATTATCGCGAGATTTTCCGGTGTATTGATCTATAGACGTAGCTCTACAACTTTGTCTATCTATATTTTGCCGGAGTATTGACGGCCCGGCCGCGTCGGGTGGTTGTTGGTGGGGGAGCCGGTGCAGCCACCTCAGCCAGAGTGCCACCGCCAGCACCACCCACGCGTCGTTTTTTTGGCTGTTGCTTTGCAGCGGGCTTTGAAGCCTTACGCTTGCCCGATTGGGGTTGTTGTATAGCCTTTGCAGCGTCGCGATCGCGTCGTTTGGCGTCAAGTTCGGCAGCCTTTACAGCCTTGGCTTCATCCCGCACCTTCTTTGCCTCCTCACGCGCCGCCCGCGCTGCCTCTTTGATCTTAAGTTGATAGATCCTGTTGTTCTCCTTTGCCTCTTTCAACTCTATCTTATCAAGTAGCTCTTTCTCCTTCTCCTTCTCCTTCACTAGCTGCCTGAAGCGGGCCTCTCGAAGCTTGCACGGCGACCACCAAACTGCCCCTGAATGGAACGCTTTTCGCTGCTGTAGATCTAGGGGAGGTTCGTGCCGATTGCGGGGCTTCTGGTGAACGTGTAGCGCCGCGCGCAGTGCGTCCTTCTCGTACTCGGCGATCTCTTTGGCAGCCTGGAGGCGGAGGAGTATTTCTGAGAGGTTGTTGGCCGCAATAGAGCTCGGATCGTAGGCCTGATTAATGAGGTTCGTGATAGTAGCTCTACTCACGTTCACTAGTGGCGGCGGTGCTGTTAGTGTTGACTTTCGGAACTTTTTAAGTACTACTTCGGGATCTATAGGAGCTATCCCAGTGGCTTTAAATGCCTTCAACGCGTGCTTCTTAATGAAAGAGGAGTCCCAGGCAGGCTTGAAAAGACGGTAGAAGTCATCCTTCCTCACAGCTAAGAGACCGTGGCTCGCCTGGAGGTAGTGCTGCAAGCTGAGTGAGTACGCGGCTGCCAGAGGTTTGAACATTACCACATCGAGTGGCTGCAGCGTATGGGTACTATGGGGGGGTAGTATGAGTAACATAATATTGTGGGCGATCGCATAGTCAATAAACTCCATAGTAACATGACTCCCATGGCCGTCAAGGATGAGTAAGCGTGTGTGATTGCCGGCCTTCTCCTTCGTATGGCGATCAAACACCTGTTCGAGCCATGCCAGGCCTACCTGATCATTGGTCCACCCTGAGGGACTTGAGGTAACGTAGACTGGATCGTCAATTGCGATATCATCAACCCATCTGGCGTACATGTTGCCCGAAGTAGCTTCGTATATAATCGCGGGCGGTAACGTACTCCCATCAGCACATATAGCAGCGATAACAGTGATCCAATCTCTGTTGCCGTCCTGTATCACTTTCTTAAAGCCCCCAGTCTCATATTTCTGCTTACTAAACACTCTCTTACTCCTCCCCGTCACTCCAATAAGGAATCCCTTCTCATCCATATTATATACATCCTGCGCCCGAATATGGTGCTGAGCCATTTTAGTAGATAGTAGATCAAAGTACGACTCGTACTTGTATACAGAATCAGCCCGGTGGCGATTGCGGTCCAAACCAGTTGACCAACGTGATATAATCGCGTCGGGATGACGGTGAAAGAAGCGCGTCACCCAGCTTTGGGAGGTAGCCCTTCCGGCTATAGCACTAGCAAAGTTCTGGATCATAGTCCTCGTCGGTGGTAAGCCAGCCTCAGTAAGCTCGTCAATGTGCTCTAGAAGCTGTAGCTCCTGGTGTGGGTGAAGGAGTTGCTGATTACGTGATTTGGCTTCATTTGAGCCCCGGATCTGTTGATGGCGTCGCGACAACGTAGAGCGATCAACACCAAAGCGGCGCGCAACCTCAGAGTATGTAAATTTATCTCCGGGATCACGCGATTCAATAGCTTCAATCGCAGCGTTGATACAACTCATGGTTGTGGAGTTATGGGTGGTTGAAGTGGTAAGGGTGGATTGGTGTTGATGTTGCGGGGTGTGCGGCACGCGATTATGGGCATCACGCGCACAGACACGTTACCTTGCATGCATGAACCCTTCTTTTCCCCACCATACAACCTCCAGACCCAGACCCAGACACAGACACAGACACATTCATCTCCACATCTTGCCTGGTACCCGTCATATATATCCTGACTGCGTATCACGTTCCCAAGAGTTTGATACCCTGAACAAGCCAAGTGCCGAGTCCGAGACGGGCATTTAGGCGGATTGATTGATTGAGTGAGTGCGAAGACGTATCAGGGTATAGGCAGGCGTGCGATCGGTCGAGGGGTTATATTAGAACTACTAGAGAGAGAAAAGGCGAAAGAGAATACAGGATGCATGACGAACGTGAGTTTACCACGAGTTCATACTCTATCTTTCCCCGCGTTCTCGTTACACAGGCGCATACGCGCATGAACGACACCGCCATCCACCACCACCATCTTCTTCCCTCCCCTCCATTCTCTACGAACCTCACTAACCGGTACAACTTCTAGACCCCCATCCCCTCCTCGCCCAAGTCCCCCTAACCCTCTCCCCATTCCTCTCCCTACCCACCGCAACGCCCCTCCCCTACTCCTACAAAACCCTCCCCTCCACACTCCCACCCAGCATTCTCTCTTCACCCCCCTCAAACTCCTCCTCAGACCCCCAACAACCCCAACAACCACCCGCGTACGTAACCTCCGCAACCGGTACATCAGCCACGCCCGACCAAATCCTCACCTCCTGCATCGCGCTGCAGGAGCACCTCCGCAAAATGGAAGAGGATGCGAGAAGAACATTGCGGGAGTGGGAGGAAAGGAGACAAAGAGAGGATTTGGAGGAGAAGAGGAGGGTTGCGCCCGGGTGGTTGGATAGCGGTGTTCATATTATTAAGCCTGAGGAGGGGAGTACGGGGCAGACGGCGGGTGGGAATACAGGGCAAGGACAAGGACAAGGACAGCAGCAGCAGCAGGAGAGTTTAATGGACTTGGATCCGCAGGCGGAGCGCAAGGCCAAGGAGGGCGAGGAGTTGGATAGGGTGTTTGGGGGGTTGCAAGTCTGACGATTGTTGGAAAAGGCATACAAATATCACACACACAAAACAGATAGGGCAAAGGTTAGATACATCACAACGTTGATAAAACAAAGCATTATCCTGGCGACCAGCAGTCTTCGTAATAAATTAATACCAAGTTGTAACAACTATAAGCTCCGACATGCCTTTTTGGCACAAGGCCCCGAGACCGAGCCACATTTGCCTTGACGGTTTAGACCAGTGAACCCCCTCATCGCGACGCGACATTACACACATATGAGAACCGAAGAAACAGAAATCGAAGGGGAATCTTGAAGGAGGAAGAATGTCGGGAATTACTGCTGTTGCCAGACCCACGTTGCGTAATCCGACCCAACGCCGTATGTGCTACGAGCTTTCAAGCAGCAATGCTATGCCTTAGCGGCGACCGTGCGAGCGGTTGATGCTGCCTTGGAGGTTGTCCACCTCACCTTCGAGACGCTTAATCTCCGCATGGCTGGCCTCGAGGTCTTTGTTGAGACGGTCACGCTCGGCAATGAGCTTCTGCTCCCACTGCCTGAAACGCTGCTCCTCGACCTTGACTTGCTCGGTGAAGCGCTTGCGAAGTGCCTCTTCCTCCTCCTTGAACTTGGGGTTGTCCAGCTTCCTTGGTCGTGCCTCACCAAACTTCCTCGTCTCCATCTGACCGGCGCGGTAAGCCTCGTAGTGGTTCTCCTCGGTAGTGTGGATGAGATCCAGCATGTGGGTTCGGATGAGAATGGCACGCAGCTTCTTGAAGTCGCAGTGCTCCTCGTTTTCAACCTCGGCGACACCCCAAGCGTATTGTCGGCCCTTGACGGTGCGGCCGTCGTTGGTTTGAACGTCCTTTTCGGAGCCGATGACGGAGAAGGGCATGGCATCGATGAGACCGCGGGCGTGCTGCATGGCGGCAGCATCGTCGTCCTCTAGGGGGGGAGTGTAGATCTTGATGCCCTGAGCATCAATGACTTGGCGCACCTAATAGCGGTCAGTACATGGCCCTAGGTCCCATTTCGTCCGACTTACCCTCATCTTGAACCTAGCAAGGTCTGTAGGGCTTAGTGTGTCGGCCTTTGCCACGACAGGGATCAAGTTGACGCGTGTGCAGAGCTTCTTCATGACCTCAATGTCCAACGGCTTCAGGGTGTGGCCGGTAGGGCGAATGAAGTACAAGCAGGCGTGAACACGTAGATCGATCTTATCAGAGCGGCGCGGTTGTTGCTCCTGCAGCATGTACGACTCGTGCTGGTCGTCAAGGAACTCGATAATGGGCTGCCACGAGTCGCGGTTGTTCACGTAGTCGCCGAAACCAGGGGTGTCAATGACGGTCAGTCGGACTGGCGGTGTTAGCAATGGCGCTGCTATGGGAGGTCGATGTATGCGTACCCTTGAAGAACTTCTCCTCGAGCTCGGCCTTGGTGATCTCAATCTCGACTGTCTTGTCCATCTGCTTGTGGTGTCGTCGCTTGTGGTCGGCATAGTTCTTGATGGTGGTGGAGAAGAGGGTGTTGATGAAGGTCGTCTTTCCGAGACCAGACTCGCCAGCAACCTAGGCCAGTCAGACTATGTTGAAGATATGATAGGGGTCCAACTCGTACCATTATGGTAAAGGCAGCACCGCGCTTGGCGACAATCTTGTGCCTGTACTACGTTAGGCTCGACGCTGCGTGTCCGTTTGGAGGGTAAAGTACCTCTGGTTAGGCAACTGCGGTGGGAGTCAGTATTAAATAAACAAGAAGCTTCGCGGAGTATGTACGTACATTGGCAATGCCAATTGGGGACGCGGATTCGGCCATGTTGCGGGCGTGTGTTGTACTGTGAGGGTCTATGAGGACTACGCGGCGTTAGCGGAAGTAGTTGCAAGTAATGTGGTAAACAGCGGTAAACTCACGACAAGGGGCCCAACGAAAAGAATCAGCAATGAGGCTACTGAAAAGCGTCTGGTATGGGGTGCGGAGAGGAAGCGTGGTGTTGTTGGACAATTTGGCTCCCCTTTCTGCCAGTCGCTCATTCGGCAAGCACTGACCCTGAACGGGGAAGTCGCGCCCATGCACCTGGTCCACTAGCGCGCTTTGGAAAGTTCCGAGCTTCGAAAAAGTTCAAGATGCGCCTGTCCCCGCCACGACGCCATGAACGCACCGCCTTGTAATTATTGAAGATGAAGACTGATTTCCAGGTAAGAGCGATGCGCAGATTGATACATCAAGTGGCTAAAAATTGCAGTTCTCCAACTTGCTGGGTACAGTCTACAGCAGAGGCAACCTTCTATTCACACCTGATGGCACATGTTTGCTGTCGCCGGTTGGTAACCGGGTTACGGTGTTTGATCTTGTAAAGTATGCATGCTTCAGGCTGCAATGTCATCTCTACCTTCGCTAACCTGCATAGCTCCAAGTCACATACCCTTCCCTTTGCGCACCGAAAAAACATCACCCGGTTAGCACTAAACCCTCGCGGAAATCTTCTCCTCTCTGTGGACGAAGACGGTCACGCAGTCCTCACAAATGTACCTCGTCGCATCGTACTCTACCACTTTTCTCTGCGCGGAGAAGTAACTGCACTCGCATTTTCGCCATCTGGTCGGCATTTCGCTGTAGGCATAGGAAGGCAGATTGAAGTATGGCATACCCCGTCCACGCCAGATGTTGCAGAGGGCGACCTGGAGTTTGCGCCATTCGTGCGACACCGAGTTTATACTGGGCATTACAATTCAGTTCAAAGTATCGAATGGTCGAGCGATTCTCGATTTTTCCTTAGCGCATCCAAGGATATGACGGCGCGGATATGGAGCGTAGATCAAGAGGAAGGGCATGCGCAGACCACACTCAGCGGGCACAGGCAGGAAGTAGTAGGCGTGTGGTTCTCCAAGGACCAGGAGACGATATACACTGTCAGCAAAGATGGCGCCCTCTTCACATGGAAGTACATGCTGCGATACGATGCGCCAGAAGACGCCGACGAGGATGATGACGAGAACCTGCAATGGGGCATTGCCGAACGACACTTCTTTCACCAGAACAACGCACACGTCACCTGCGCCAACTTTCACCCGGAATCAAAGCTTCTTGTCACAGGCTTCTCGCACGGCATCTTCTTCATCCACGAACTACCCGACTTTGCCCAGATCTCCAGCCTCAGCATATCCCAAAATGACATCGACTATGTCGCAATCAACAAAACTGGCGAATGGTTGGCATTCGGCGCATCGAAACTTGGCCAGCTGCTCGTCTGGGAGTGGCAGTCGGAATCGTACATTCTCAAGCAGCAGGGACATTTCGACTCGATGAACACGATCGCATACTCTCCAGACGGCCAACGAATCATAACAGCGGCGGATGATGGAAAGATCAAAGTCTGGGAGGTCAATTCCGGTTTCTGCGTCGTCACATTCACAGAACACATGGGCGGAGTCACAGCTTGCGAGTTTGCGAAGAAGGGAAATGTCTTGTTCACAGCCAGTCTTGATGGCTCGGTCAGGGCATGGGACTTGCACAGATACCGAAACTTCCGGACATTCACTGCGCCTTCAAGGCTGTCATTTTCCTCATTAGCCGTCGACCCGAGTGGCGAGGTTGTATGCGCAGGCTCTATCGACTCATTTGATATCCACATATGGTCTGTCCAAACTGGACAGTTACTTGACAGGCTATCCGGTCACGAAGGCCCCGTCTCTTCACTTTCCTTTTCTCCGGATGCAAGCACGCTGGTCAGTGGAAGCTGGGACAGGACTGTACGCATCTGGAACATCTTCGCGCGCACGCAAACCAGCGAGCCTTTGCAACTCATGGCTGACATCCTCTGCGTCGCGTTCCGTCCAGATTCGAAACAAATAGCAGTTACAACGCTAGATGGACAACTAACCTTCTGGAACGTCTCCGATGCTGCGCAAGAGAACGGCGTCGATGCGCGACGTGACGTGTCCGGTGGCCGCAAAATGTCAGATCGACGAACAGCAGCCAACGTGGCAGGGACCAAAGCTTTCACAACAGTCAAATACAGCGCAGATGGAACATGCGTACTAGCAGGCGGCAACAGCAAATACGTCTGTCTGTACGATGTTCAATCTGGTGCGCTACTCAAGAAGTTCACCGTGTCCGTGAACCTTTCCCTGGATGGTACCCAAGAATTCTTAAATAGCAAGCTTCTGACAGCAGCCGGTCCTCAAGGCCTGATTGACGATCAAGGCGAAGCATCGGATCTGGAAGATCGCCGAGACACTACGCTTCCCGGTGCACAAAAGGGTATTGGTGCGAGACGGACACGGCCTACCGTACGTGTCCCAGCTGTTGCCTTTTCGCCCACTGGCCGGGCTTTCTGCGCTGCATCGACTGAGGGGCTGCTCATTTACTCCCTCGACAACACATTCCAATTTGATCCATTCGATCTCGACATTAGCGTAACTCCCTCCACCACTCTTGACACACTAGCACAGAAAAACTATCTAAAAGCATTGGTTATGGCGTTCCGGTTGAATGAGCGCAACCTGATCAGGCGAGTATACGAAGCTATTCCCGTCTCGAATGTTCCACTGGTCGTCAAAGACCTTCCTTCCGTGTACCTTGGTCGACTACTACGTTTTGTCGCACTCCAGGCCGACGAATCACCGCATCTGGAATTCAACTTGGTGTGGATTGAATCCCTACTCAGCAAACATGGTCGATGGATGAAGGAGAACAAGGGTGGCCTGGAAGCTGAGCTGAGAAGTGTCGAAAAGGCTGTTCGCAGAATACAAGCTGAACTTGCAAGATTGGCAGATGAGAACGTGTATCGCATTGAGTACCTTCTTTCTCAGCCGGTTGAGTTAAAACAGAGAGTGCAACTCGATTTTGGGGTAAAAGAAATAGAGAATGGGGTCTCGGACGAAGAGATGGTCGATGGCGATGATGACGAAGACGGCGGCGAATGGCTGGGTTTTGAAGAGTGATACCATTTCAATGTACGAATAAGAATATTTACGAGCACCTTTCCGACCACCAAATCGCATACGCACTGCTTTTACCACATTCGCATGGTCTCCAATGCCGCATATGAAATCGTACACGTCGCTCTTACTACACTCAGCCTATTATGCCTGCCTCAACGCACCCTACTTACCACGCCTAGAGGATCTCAGTTGCCTCAGCTTCTTACGAAGGACATGACCACCATGGTTCGTTCAATAGTCGCCGGCTAACACATCCACATTCATTGTCTGTTCTTCCTGCACCATTCTACTATCAACATTCATCCCACTTTGAGGCATAGTCTCCCCACTACGTTCATACCACAAAGTTTAGTTCTACCCCACTATCGCTATGACTAGTCCACCGCGAGAGCGAGGACGGACCATGAAGTCAACCCGCCGCAGTTTTTCGCGGACACGCAAGGCGAAGCGAAGAGGTACACCACTCAGAATCGAGACAGACATTGCACCTGTCGAGAAGGGCGAGTCCAGCAAAACTGCGTCAGCTGCCAAGCCCAGACCTCCCGTCCAAACCGAGGATTCTCCAATTCCTACAAGTCCGGCTTCAAATAACGTATCTTCTTGGTTAGAGGACTTGGACGATTACAATTGGTCTCCCGAAATTGACATCCCTCCCTATCCTACTTTTACCGGAAAAGGCAAACAGCGAGCCACAGACGAAGAAGTCGCTGCACAGGAATACTACAGTGGTGGTAAAGGGCCAGTCAGGGCCCATGGAGATAATACACCTCGGCAATCCGACAGTAGCGATACTTTAATGGACGACCTCGACGTCGACTCCGGTACGAACGACTTTGCCGAGACGGGCGACTTCGCCCCCGGCCTTGCTCCTGGTAGAGCTACCCTTTCTGAAGGAGATATCGCGCTAGTCAGACAGCTCGAGAGAATTGATCTGCAGTATTTCAGCGAGGAAAACAGGGTGAGGGGACCGGAACTAGAGCTCGTGGAAGAAGAACCTGAACCAGAGGCCGAGGAAGAACCTGAACCAGAGGCCGCGAAGAATTACAGAGTCAAGGGACTGACACTAGAGTCTGTGATAGAAGAAACTGAACCAGAGTCCGAGCAAGAAGCTGAACCGGAGCCTGCGAAAGAAGTTGAATCAGAGCTGGAGGTAGAACCCGAACAGGAGTCGATGGAAGAGCCTGAAAGCGAGCCAGAAAATGGAGCAGTAGTCGTGCCAAGGTCAATATTTCAGAATTACATAAGCCTTGACAAGCCCCTACTACCATTGCGCCCGTCACCACCATCCCCAACAACGGAGGACCCGCCCTTGTCGCCGAAATCGACGAGGTCGTCGAAAAGTCGGCAGTCAAGTATCATTGGAAAGTTAGGTACGTCTATCAAAAGTGATGGAAGACCACCATTACCGACGTCACCAACATCCCCAACAAAGGATGACTCGCCTTTATCGCCCACATCGACGAGGTCATCGAAAAGACGGCGGTCGAGTATCATCATGGGAAAGATAGGCACGTCTATCAAAAGCGGTGCACGGAAAGTTGCTCGTCGAAAAAGCGAGGATGAGGAGTCATCTGGTCGCAAAAGCGACGATGGGAAGGAGTAGAAAGGGTTTGGCTCCCCTGAAAAAAAAATGAAAAAAAAGAGAACTCTGGGTACGGCATTGAAGGATATTTGGTTTGGGTTGTTGGTATTCTTCATGGATTTGGTACTTTGATTACTGCAAAGTGCTGAAATTACAGCTTTGTAATAATTATTACACCCATTGGCATAACTACATTCTTTACTGTGATGGGTATCTACACCCACTATCTCAGCATCAGCTCCATCCACACAATCTTTACCTTCACATCTAGTATTCCCCTCCACGACGTCTACCTTGCCGTCCACTATGTCCAAATTCATTCCCATCCCCATATCCACCCTCACGCCCACTATCATCACCAAACTCCCCATCAAACTCATTATGCCATCTACCCTCATGCCCATCTCTAAGGTACTCACCACTCGCCGGATCCCGCGTACTTTTCTCAAGCACCGATTGCCGAGGCCCGTTTGCGAACTGGCCGCCGCGTTGCCGAACCGACGGCTGTGTTGTTGTGAAAGACTGAGTAGCAGGGCGGTGGTGACGTGTTGAATGTAGAGTCATTCTACTAAAGCGGTCGGTTAGTGCGGTCATGTCGTCGGGGTGGGAGGAGGTATTGTGGTTGCGATGATTGTAGGTTGGAGTGTGAGAAGGAGATGGAAGTGGTGCATGGACATGGGTCTGTTGTGTACGCATACGCCGCTCCTCCTGCCGTCCACGATCATTCTCCCACACACCCGGTCCACCGCTCTATTGCTCCCGTTGCAGTCGTTCCCGCTCCTCCTCCTCCTCCTCCTCCAACCGCGCCGCCAACGCCTCATCCCCCTCCGTCTCCATCTCCACCCCCAAACCCTCCTGTAACTCCCTCGCCATCTTCTCATCGCCCTCCGCCATCTCTCGCACATCACCCCTCAGCCGCTCCTCCTCCTCTTCAGCCAGCCGCCGCGCCATCTCCTCGTCATTACTAGTGTCCATGTGTATACGACGCGGTATATCAACTACGCCCTCGTAGTTGTCGAAGTAGCGCTCCATGAAGGCGGCGCGATCGCGCGGTGTGCGTAGTTGGGGGAAGGCATGGTGGAAGGCGGTTTGTGCTGCGGCTGTTGGAAAGGAGAAGCGGAGGATGGGGTGGGTGAGATCAAGGGTGTCGAGACGGTTGGGTGATGTTGTTATCGTGCCTGGGAATTGGGGGTCTTCTTCGGCGGGTGGTGTTGATGGAGATTTGGAGGATGCGTGAGCGGGGATGAGCCCGCGGGTGGGGATTGAGACGCCCATATCTCGATCAGCCAGTGGGTTTGTTTGTCACAGGCTATGCCTGTATGTCGGCGTTCGGCGATGCCCTCAGCCTTGACACCTCGGACCGATGTGAGCTCAGGCCACCGAAGCTTCCACAAGCTTCACGGCAAGCTTCGAGATGTTTCTTGGTATGATACGGCTTCTTTTTACAAGGTATAAATGTTCCTCAACATTCTGTATCTAGACGTTTTCTCTTCAAGTTTGCTATACTCGTCTAACGGGATAGTCAATTGAAATCATCATTGTCCAAGCCCCTCACATTGTTGGTTGATTAAGTTTCGAGTGTTATGATTGTGTTGATAGTGAAGGTCTATTGGGGAATAACTGGATGATTTCAGTACTTGACGGAATCGCTCTGCAAAATTATCTGACACTCTAGAAAGTTGCGCAGACGTAGGCGTGAAGAGGTGAATCATCAGATTGCTGGCGGTGCCGTTGTAACCCTGTCGTATATATTTGCGACTTCACCCGACCCGCTAATGTAACCATTGCATGCCTTCACGTGAGAAGTGAAACATGAGGACCAAACTTCACCCAGCATCCCACTAGTCAGCAGCAAAGTGAAGTAGCCAACTTCGCTGATCCAGGCAAACACACTAGCGTTGGCACTGACACGTGATTTCTCTGTTTGCCCAGAAGGCATATAAAATCTCTCGGCTTTCCTCGCATATCCCTTCTTCCCCCATCATCCATTAATTCGATTTTTTAAAAATATGCGGCTTGTTGGTTTGATGTTTCAAAATGACCCCTCTACTCTCTATATTTTCTGTCTCGGCCTTGGCCTCCTTCCTAAAATCTACGAGAACAAGTTTATATTCCAAAATACGACTTTTTTCAGCTCATGACTTTGAAAATCTGACGGCGATTAACGAAATGAGTCGCTTTTGAAACTTTCTAAGCTATTTCTAAAATTCGGTCTTTTTTTTAAAAAAGAACTGTCGGATTACAGATGTTAATCACGGGCCGCGTCGGTACTACTTCGGTCTGACTCGTACTACCCCGCGTATATCTTCATAGCAACCTAGAGATAGAATCAATCAGAACCATCACCGAACAGAATGCATTCCTAGTTATCGTTATTTCCTTTCAGCACTAGTGCTACAGCCCTACTGTTGGGAATCGAACCTGCGGTAGATAAGGCAGCTGGTTGCTGCATGCACGAGCTTGGATTACACGGCTGACTAAGCCGTGTGGTCCGAGCTCTAGCTGCTGCCTTACTGCCGACCTCCCTCCACCTCCATAGAACAACAAGAACAATCACAATCATTTCAACTCGTTGCAACGAAGGTGATTCCGATACCTTAGCCGTATCAACACCTACCAACAAAAACTTAATTTCTTGCCGATTTCTGCTGGGTGAGCTGATGAGATCAGACGAGAGCGGGCAGTATGTTTTCCGGTCGCGGATCCCATATAGTTTATAAAATTATCAAAAACGTAAAGACAGGCACAAATGTGGACGCCTAAATAAAGCTTTCAAAGATCTGTAGTGTGTATGCACTCGGGTGTCATAAAATACTGGACATACGAGTGTAAAAAAGCCACTGTAGTCGCCAGACAGGTCTATTGGGTGCTTACCCATACTGTCCAGTATTTTATGTCACCCAGGTGTATGGATGGATCTGTGGCACATGATGTCTTTCAAGATTGTAAGGATGGTGTCACAAACATGTGACTTGCTGGGCTAACTAAACACATCTTTCCTAGTGATTTGAGAACCTGCCTTTACTATCTACTTTTCCTTCTTTCTAAATAATATCCAAGAGAAACCTGGATGTATGGTATGTTCGTGTGTGCTTGTTCCAAAAAGACCAAACACTTACCAAATGTCCGTGGATTTGGTTGGTAGATCTTAAGAACAGATTCCAAACGAGTTCATGTTCGGGTTTTCTTCATTTTTCTCGTTCTATCGATAGAAAAAATGTTTCAACTCCTGATATATGAGGGCATAGCTTTCATGAGATACTATAGGGTTTTTGGTATGACCGAGAAAGAGTCCATTGATCAAGACCACATGGAGCAGCAGTCTTGCGCTAGCGGCGTGGTGGATATTTAAACGCTTCTTCTCCTCTTTACTTTCCTTCCTACTTCTACCCTCTGCAATCCAAAACATTACTCAAAAACCCATGGCATATCATATATGGAGAGTTTCTTGAAATCGAATTCCTACTCCAAGGATGGTCGAGCACCGGGCACAGATGGCAACAATCCAGCCAGCCAGCTTTCTGGCTATAGGCTGGATGGCTTGGTGTTTTGTGGGTCGTAGAACCGGCTGGATGGCTTGATTGGCTACGGGCGCTCGGCTGGCTGGATGGGCTTGAGGAGCTTGTTTCCTAATTAGGCAAATTGTATAGAAAGCTTGGTGTTTCAACCTTCGTCCCATGTGTCCACATGGTACTTTGAGATGAGCTGTTCAACCGTAAGCTGCTCCTTCTCGTCGATCTCGCTGCTGCCAAACCCAGCTTTTCTCCACCTTCTGCTGCAGTGTATCGCTGCCAAAAGCTCCGGTGAGATCTTCCGTCTCCGAGGCTCTAACAGGTCGCCTAGCTCGCTGAAAACTCGCTCGCACTCACAGCTTGAAGCCGGTATTGAGAGTACGTCAAGCGCAAGCTTGCTGAGGTTGGGGTATCGATCCTGCAGCCCTACCCAGTATTTTGTAGGGAACTTTGCGCTGTCGCTACCTGCTTCAACCTGCGGCTCGCGGCGCTTCCATATATCGAACTCGTCCTCCTCGTCAACTGCCCTGTTTGGATCGATCAGGCTGTTGATCGCGTCGTCGATATTATTGACTTTGGCCCTCGTGTGTGTACGTGGCTTCGGTAAGCTTCGGTACTGCGCCCACAGTGCTTGAAAATTGCGATTATTCAACTCTAGCCAGCCTGGCTGGTCTCCCCATGCCACATCGCAGTAGTTCTTGTATCGAGGATGGAGTATCGTAGCAGCGTAATAGGCAGGCGTGTTATCAAGCTTGTTGTAGTAGTCGCGTGCCTTTGAGATCGCAGCGCGGAGGTTGATCGCGAGGTGGTCTCCGGGCGCTTCGTCGTGCGCGTCGTGTACTACGTCGTCGTAGCTTTGGAGTCGCGATTCTAGTGTAGTAAGTAGGTATTCAAACACTGGGATGATCTCAGCAATTGCTCCAAAGCTGCCGGGCTTGCTGTCGTTGATAGCCTCATCCTCATCCTCATCCTTTGCCTTGCCGCGACCCTCGAGGCGCTTTGTACACTCCTTCAATGGGCTGAGAACGTCCATGTACTCAGTAACGACCTGCCAATCGTCAGCAGTAAGCCCGTTCGACCTCATCCACTGCGGGCAATCAGGCAGCTGATTGCCCTTGCTAATTGCGTACGTAGTCTCGTTGTGAATGCGATCGATGTGGTGGCTGGCGGAGCGCTAGTACTAATTGATAAAAACTCAAAACCAAGAAAGTATCGTGAGATAGCTTTTACTGCACAATCAATCGCCTCACGCCCTATCGCGGCCCCCATCTCCCGCCTGCCTGCCCGCACATCAAGCCTATCAAGCCTATCAAGCCTTCAAGCTTTCTGCTTGTGGCTTGCTGGCTTGATTCTACTTTTGCTCACAGTTTGGCTGGCTGGATTGAATACCTCAAGCTTCAAGCCAGCCAGCCAGCTATCAAGCTTAGCTGGATTGTTGCCAAGTGTGGCACCGGGTGCCTTCGAAAAAGCGATCAGCACCCTAGATGCCTGGGCTTTTTCCCGCCTCTTTTTCAACTACTCCTGCATTCTGAAACTCCGTACTATCGAAAGAAAATCAGGCTCAAGCTTATGGGGAGTCTAAATTATTCAAGAGTACCACAGCAGACAGCTCTATTGAGTCTTTCTTCTAAAACAGTCGATAATCACGAGAAGAGTCGACCCTCTCCTGTGTTTCATAGAAACAAAAAAACAAAAATCGATACATGGCTGCACTGGCGGATTCCGAATCGTGATCCATGGAAATTACATGAGTAACTAAAAATTAACACCTTCTGGCGGATGGTTGCGGCACGAAAACGAAAGCTAAAAATCATGTGTTGCATCAAAATGCAAGTTGAAAAATCTAATTGCCAGAGCTGGGACCCAGAGCTCGTCAGTCAAACTCACAATGGGCTGGAGCGTGTGAGCCTCCAGTCACGTGACTCTTTCTCATATAAAAGCCCTTCTCCTCCTACTTCTCTTCTTTACTTCTATACTATACCTTCCGGGCTTTCTCCAAAGAAACACGCTTTTCTCTGATGTTGTAACCTAAAAGTATCACCTATGCCTTTCCATGAGCGGAGTGTTTGTCTTCTTCCTTCTATTGGGAGTCTTTTGTTCTAAAATTGCGGTACTAGGTCGTTTGAAACTAGGAAGCCCACTCCTGATCATAGTGGAAATTTCAAGATCTCATCTAAAAGTAATCTACTGTGGAACCATGTCGCTTCCGCCTTTGCCCGATTTGTCCATAATAAACGTCTTCATTTTGGACAAATGTTGCCAACTGTTGATACGGCTAAGGTATCGGAATCACCTTCGTTGCAACGAGTTGAAATGATTATGATTGTTCTTGTTGTTGTATGGAGGTGGAGGGAGGTCGGCAGTAAGGCAGCAGCTAGAGCTCGGACCACACGGCTTATGTCGGTAGGCCTTGTACGATCGTACGGGTGAATAACAACAACGAGGTTCTTCTGGTGACTGGTATTGGTATTTGTTGTCTACGAACATAGCTGCTACGAAGGTACACCTAAGCTCTGCGCAAGGTGGGCCGAAGTCGGGCCGAAGTGTCAAGCAGCCGACGTCTCTACCGATACTCACGATCCGACAGCTTAGTCAGCCGTGTAATCCAAGCTCGTGCATGCAGCAACCAGCTGCCTTATCTACCGCAGGTTCGATTCCCAACACCAACGGCAGTCAAAACAAATACTAGACGTTGCTTGAGTGGTTTTAAAAGGAGCGGAGAAATTTTTATGGAGCCTTTCGCAAATACAATTGTGTACTCTGTGATGGGGAGGGCGTGAGAGTGCTTTTTATAAAAAGGATGGCGACAAGCTTATGTGGAGAGAGGTGTTTTTGCAGAATTTCTAAACAACAACCAAGAAGACCATTCGAAGATTAGATCAAGAGTTATGTATGATCAGCAATGCTCTGTGCGTAGAATATCAAAACTTCCGAAATTAGTTCAGTTTTCTGCGCTAAATTGTCCGCGACGTCTATATAAACCTCTACTGTTCTTCTTCTACTAATATATCCAAGTTGATTGGATTTCTTCAAAAAAAACTATGGAGCAAGCCGTAGATGGAGTCTAAAATGTTGCTGGCACGACCGTTATGTTCTGGTCTCGCCGTTTTCCAAAATCCCGTACATGGTTTTTGATGTTTCTGGCAAGCGCTGGCGCGCTGAAAGTAAAGAGCGGATAATTTTGCTGTGTTGATGGAAAAAGAAAGTGTGGCAAAAAGTACCTGCATCGATACCTTTCAAAATATTTGATTATAGCTTTCGTGTGGCCTGTGCTCTGAATTCTCAGAGAGCATATGAAACCGACTCTCTTTCTTCTTCTTCCTCCTTCCTTCGATACCCTGCATACTTTATCTTCCAATTTCTTAAATTGAAAAAGGGACCTCTCATGAATCTTCCCATATTCTTAAAAAATTTAGTCCCTCTGTTGTCCGTCGAAACTCAATCTTTCAAATTTGCAGATAAAACTTGCAGCTAAAACGTGCATGGAAGAAGACGTTTCTGCCAGAAGACATACGTGTACCAAAAAATACTACAATATCTTAAAACGGTGCTGGAAACTTTTGAAACATATTCACAATTATCGTGTGCTGTGAGACAGCTGTCTATTTATTAGCACCTTCTCACTTCTCTCTTTCTTCCTCCACCCTCACGCAACTTCTCTATCCCCCAAAACAAGAGGGTGCAGATTCCAAATCTCATCAAAATAAAGATTACCAAGGTCTATGTCTCTGTCCCGGGTGTCCAGTGTTGCTAAAATTCCCGCAATACTACATCTGCACTCTGTTACAGAAACCATAATACTCCATACAACTTCCTATTTCAAACTCGGGTTCTCTACTACGACACTTATATCCCCTCTCTGCGAAAAAACAGACCTCAGATAGCCTCATGGGGTCTTCCCCTGACCGAAAAACGAACGCGAGGGAATTGATGGCGTTTCCGCCGCCTTCGGTTTCCCAAATTCCTATCATTCCCATTATCTTTGAAATAGTAAAAAAATGCGAAGGGGTCCGGAGCATGAGGGATCCGGAGCCCTTGATATTCTTCTTAGCTTTCTTTTCCTGGACTTCTATCTGACATCTTCTACCTCATTCTTCCTATATAAAATATTAGAAATTCTACATACCTTGGAACATGGGACTGCGAAGCTTCCGGGCTTTTTCCTACTTAGCTCTCCGGAGATATTAAAAAATCGAGGCCCTCGAAAATTTCCTGTGTGTGAGAGACGCTGCGAAGCAACAAAAGAAATGTATGTGGGAAAGGCATATGCCCGAAATCTTCTCTCCATGACGCGCCTTACTTCTCTTGCCACCAACTTTTCCGTCATGTAAAACTTAAATGCCGGGAACGCTATCCTCATGGCGTTTGCTCCTCTGCCACGGTATAAAAGCCTACCTCTCTTCGTCTCTGCCTTCTACCTTCATCCATTCCAAGGATTTCAATCTTTCTAAAACTGTACGGGGTATCATTAATAGAGAGCATAAAAAACACGTGACAAAACGTTCGATGTTTCTTTTCTTCCAGTTCCTAGCAAGCGTTTTAAAAAAACCAGAGGCGACGCTTCATGTGGTGGTGTGGTTATTTTCTCTGAAAATGTGTGATAATAGTACCCATGGAATCTTCTCGGAATTCCGTGTTAGAATCTGTTAAAAATGTGTTCATATCGTACCCATGGTTCCGCCGTCTTCTCCCGGGGCAGCATATATAAACTCCTGCTTTCCTACCCTTACTTTCTTCAACACCCAAGATGTCTTATATCATGTGTTGAAGAAGAGAGGAAATTCCAGTAAATCAGAGTCAGGTCTGTGTCTATTCATTTCTTATGTATTGGTGCAGCTGGGGTGGGGTATTACTATAAAGCCACGTCTTTCAATCTCTGTAGCAGTGACACCTACTTCCTTGCGCAGAAAGAAACGCTCAAATCCAACTAGGATGTGTGCGCTTGACCAAAAAATCCATGGAAAGACGACATGTTTTCTCTTGTCGGACCAAGACTGTGATTGAAATGAGGAATCTAAAACTCATCGAAAAGTTCTGTATGTTAGAAGCTGTGGAGTGGTCTGACTGCGGATGCACTAGAAATGTGGAAAGGTTCAACCTATGTGAAATTCTCGCCAAGAACTCGTAATGAGATAGAAGACATTGTTCTGCTCGTGGGCATGCGTGGGCCTCTGCCATTTGTTCCAATAGTATCTACATATATCATAAACACCTTCATCATACATACAAGCCACCCCCGTGTCATCTCCAAGCTTTATGCCGGTGCCTTGCACTGCTCCAGTGCAGACTGGATGTAACCCGCTAACTTGAACTCCAGTCTTTCCCCGTTGTAAGTCAAAAGCTTATCCAGATTGTCAATGCCCTCGTTCAAGACAGCTTCAGTCCTTTGCTCAAAGCCAAGTGCGACGTCTGCCTTGGGCATATCGGCACCAAGCACCCTCCGGGATGTACTGAGCGCGTTCCAGACCCAGATCTGACTCATTAATTTGTATACATAGTCACCTACAAAGGCGGATTGCTGGCTTTTCTTCTCGGCCGGTTCTTGTTGTGGGAGCTTGGAGATTTTGTCGAGAGTTTCCTGCACAGTGTGTTAGTGCTCATTCCTGCTCGTTTAGTGATAAAGGTCAGAAAGCTTACCATGTAGTTCGTCTGTTCCAACGCAGCCACCAGTCGTTTACATAATTTCTTGACCTCCTCTATGTCGCCACCGTGACGTTCAGCCATGACAGCAGCTAATTCTGTCGGCACCGCAATGACTTCTGGCCTTCCTCTATGATCGTATTCCTCTTCTACGAGGCCACAATGTTGATCCATGTTCATGAGATCTATGACCTGGGTCGCCATTTTAAAAGCCTGGGCCGTCTCCTGTTCATCCCAGCCAGTACTGGCAGCCCTGTCATGCAAACCCCTAAGCACCTGGCGGGTCACAAGCCAATACTTCATACTGAGATCGGTTTGCTTGACTCTTTGCAACCCTTTCAGCAAAATCCGATACATGCCTGCCTGGTTCAGCACCCTGGCAACGTGCTCTTTTGTATGCATTGTTATCTTGAGACTCGCTTCCTTGAGGCCCTCCAAACATCTCAAGACATTTTCCCAGTCTTCAGGTGTCTTAGACTCCTTTATGATAGTTCTATACGTTCTGGTGCGGTCAGGCAGTTTGTTGCGGTCGAGGTGCTCGAGTGGGAGGGTGACATCACCGAGCGTGATCTCGACAGGCTCAGCTTCAAGTTTGGCACGCGATTCTTGCGAGTAGACTAGCTTTTGTTGCTGCTTGGTCAAGTGCGCCGGGAGGAGAACCTTTGAGTTGAAGTTTGCGAGTAATTGGGATAGATTCGGCGACGAAGGTTCTCTAAATACAGGTAGAGCGCCTTACTGTGTTAGTAGTCTAAGGTAGGAAATATGCATTGGGAATAATGCCGACCTCGGAAGCGCGGAGAGGAGAGAGAAAAAGCGCGTCTTGAGCCATTGCCAAGTAAGTAAGCATAGCGCGGGGTCTCGAATGCCAACTGGCCGCTTTTTCGTAATGAATGCATTGTGTGAGGTGTGTAGATTGAATGTCGCATTGATTCCCGACGTGTACAAAAATGTGTTAGAGCAAACGCGACAAATGCGCCAAGCCCATCGGCCATGTCTGCCCCTCCCCCGACATCATCAAGCCACGCCTCCAGCCTCAAGTTACACAGCCACACCACGTCCCCTCTTTTTTCCGTTGTTAGCAGACAACATGTTAGCCCCAAGACGATCCAACCGCTATAGCTGGCTCTTCCCACGAGCCAAGAAGCCTCCCAAAATGGACAATGAACAGGCGACTTTTTGGCTCGATCAGTTCATCGGAAAGAACCTGCGTATACATGCATCCGACGGTCGCGTCTTTGGCGGCCAGATGAAGTGCACGGATAAGGCAAGAATCTGCGACTTGTCGTGACTGCATACCCTAATACGTCTTAGGACCGTAACATCATTCTTGCTCTTGCACACGAGTATCGTGCACCGTCAGCTGAGACGATTCGCAAGGCAGTGGAAGAGTCTGGGAATCCGTCTGCGCCGGTAGCGTGGAATAGTCGCTATGTTGGATTGATTGTTGTACCGGGGCAACACATTACTAAAATCGAGTACGAAGAGAGTACCTTTCCGGGACAAAAGAGTACTGTTACCCTATGAGCTGGACTACAGTCCCTGAAGTTCAACTGCGTGTGCGAGACACATTCCGAAATGCCGGCGGAACGCATGTTCGATGTGCGCTGTGCTCGTAACGCTGATTGGCGTCGAGAGCACGTTTGGCATGTGAATGTGAAGCAAGCATAGGGTAAGCATGACTTGAGTGCGAGCTGCTCATGGCACTGACTATTATAGTTGGCCGCAATAGCAAAGGTGAACGCGACCCTGTCTGCACCAGCTGGTAGCGAGCAGTCACCCACCGAGCTATTGTCCAATCCCAATAGTAGCGATTACAACATAATAGCCTAGCCATCCACCAATATACGAGTAACCAGTATCTCATCTCTTACAAACTCCTCTGAAGTCTACATTGTTCATTTTCCCCAGTGCGAGCTCGTCATACTACATCGCGCCCCTCCAGCCAGTACCAACAGCAAGCATATACTGCCCAATCTAAGTCGACGGTCAAATACATGGCATCCATGGCGCATACAAGAGCTGTCATAAGTACACCGTGTTCTCCAAGCGCTGTCAACACCAGTCCAGCCGATGCCTCAAACCCCCCCAAAGACGACGACAGCGCCCCCACGCCCAGCGAAACAGACCTCCAGGACGCCTTGAATACAGGCAGGCGCCCGAAAAGAGCCAAGAAACACCACTTCAAATTGCTCGGTCCCCTCCAAGACGACGAACCCCCAAGCCGCCAAAACGACACCTCCCCCCTCCTCCGCCTCCCCCCCGAGATCCTCCACCGCATCGCCACCTACGCCCTAACCTCACCCACCCACTCCCTCACCTACGACTTTACCACCAAGCGTTTCGACGTCTCCACGATCGGAGTGGGGCTCATCGCAACATGTCAGGCGATTGCGCTTCAAACACGCTTCTTACATTTCAGCGCCAACGCTTTGGTGTTCAAAGTAGACGACCCGTCCAGCACTGGCGCAATGAGGGATTTCAGGGTTGTGAACCAAGGCTTGCGTAGCCTGGCGGAGGCAACTGGACGCTTGTTTGCTGTGTATTTGTTTGAAAGGGGGGCGAGGCACGTTACGGTGTGGTGCTGGGGGCTAAGGGGTGAGGGGGGTTAGGAGGTCGTAGGGCGTGTGTTATTTGATAGCATTGTCTTTCATTATGTTCAGCGTAGTCCCGCACACAGCATCTAGGGACATGTCTAGGAATGAAACAGCAATCAAAGCAACGGACAAAGTTCCATGCAACACCACTGATTTGCACCTTTTCCTATACCTGGCTCGAGACTTTATTCGCACCGGCCCTCATTCTAAGACTACGTTCATAACTGCTACATCGCCCTCCTGTAAAAGCGTGGAGCTTACCGAGCTCGACCCAGCCGGAAGGTCCACCCACAACCGCGGAGCCGTGCCAAGAAGGTGCCTGCATTAGCTGGAGCCGCAAGCCTTGCTCTGGGTGCTTCTCACCCTCACCTTCACTTGCACGTCACCATCATCACCGCCCTAATTCAGCAAGCCTGTCGGTATTTGTCATAGGCAAAAATTCGTGGTGTTCACTCGAAAAAAGTGGAGAAGAAGATGAGGACTGCTGCTTTAGTAGAACGAGGGAGTGAGATGCGTGATCTACGGCTAAGACAGACTGTTGAAATAAAAGAGTGAACTTCAATATATCTATGTCTTTCTCTAGCATTGTCTAAAACTTGCCGTGCTTATAGACTATTGCGCTACGATCTTAGAACCCTCAGATGTCGAGATAGACCACACTACATGCATTCGCCCAACGCCCACAGTAAACCCGCTATCATCGCTTAGTACCAAAACCATCAACATACCTCACTTTCACCGCCCGCCCAGTCACCAGATCTTACCAGTCATGTGCCCATACACGCACGTCGTCTCCCCTCATCACCTTACCACACGACGCGCATTCACAGATGTGGGTGCTACATATGGATCTCGCCTGCTCTCACCGTTGCGCTTCATTATGGTCTTACACATCTCCGCTTAATCTGAACTTTCACCAGCACGCTAGCGTACCTTCACACCTCCAACAAAAGCCTCCACAACGCTGCTCGAACGTTGCAACAGCAGCACCCCAACACCTACATAAGACTCTGTTCTCTTCTTCCCCAGTCGCGTTCATCATCCCAGACACACTTGCAACTCTCAACTCTCAACTGCAATCAACCTCGAACCTCGCGCTTTCACCACGTACCCAAAACCCCAAACAGCACTACACAGCAACATGCTCGGTTTCGGCAACGGTGGTGGGCGTCGTGCGCCTTTCACAGGCGGCCTCTGGGGCTCCAATCCATTCCGCCGCAGCGGTAGGGGTGGCACTACATCTCAGCCTCCGCCTCAGCATGCCAACCTCCCGACGCTCGGAGAATATGGCTACGTCGGCGAAGACCATCCCGAAGGTCAGCCCTCCTACGGTGCGATGCGGCCAGGAATGGGTGCCTACGATGGCGGCAATACCCCGATGGGTCCGAACATCTCTCACACCTCTTACCAAGAGTCTGATGGAAACGTTCATGGGTATCGCTACCGTCCAGGCGGTCCATATAGCAGCCCCATGCATGCCTTTCAGATGTACCTGGCGTCAAGCGGTGAATGTCCACCAGTCGGTGGTCGATTTTCTGCATATCTCGCGGGCGATGTTCCAGGACCTTTCATGTCAGTTTTCCCGACAGGTGCCAATTCTGTCCGTGGCCTCAACGGTCGTGAAGGCCCTATTGGCTTTTCTGGCCAGGAGCGCGGTCTTCAGCCTGACGGAGCGTTTGCTTTCGAACTCCAGCCTGCGCCGCTTCCGCGCGACAATGGCTTGTCGGAAGAAAACGCGATGGTCATAGCCGACTTCATACAGCAGCATACCCAGCCTATTGGTGAGGGCGGCACGAATGCTCCTCCAAACTCTGAATGCCCAATCTGCCTAGAGCCACCATCCCTCTCGCACCTTTGTGTTCAGATCAAGGGCATTTCGGGGTGCAATCACATGATCGGTCGCGACTGCCTCAAGGAGTTGTTGACTCACGACTCTGATGAGAAGAAGGAGTGTCCCCTTTGCCGTGCGGAATTCCTTGCTTCAAACTACATCGAGCAGGGCTCCGACGAGTGGAATTCGTTGGCGCAGGGGCGCGGTGGTCCAGCTCGCGGTTCTTCCAGGATGCCTGCTGGCTACGGCGGTGATCCTTTCGGGTATGCTGCTCCTCGTGGTCCTCCTCGCGGTTCCCCGGGCGGCATGTCCAATATCCGTGGCTTGGACGATGTGGGCATGGATGGACAGGGCGGTGGTCCTCCAATAGCGCGCGGCCAGGGCAACTTCATCGGTAGCGGTCAGCGTCTTGGAGGTCCTCAGTCGGGCTACTATCAGCAGCAGGTCGCGCCCAACTACGGCGGAGGCATGGAACACTATGGTGGCGCGGGCCGTCTATAGATGAAGTCAGCGTACCTGAGTCGATGGTTCCGTGTTGTTTTTCTTCGTTTCTTTTCTTGCACGAATGGCAAACGACCAAATTGTCGCCATCTTAGTCGGTTTGCAAAAATCTTGCACAAGTGCAAGGCTTCGTTCGGCATCACAGGGGTGTAGGCCCGATGTATAGAATCTGGTTACTTTCGCGATAGCTCCATCACGGGAGTGTGGCCTCACTCAATCCAGATGATCTTCATCTAGCAGATCCCAAAAATAAATAGCTCAACTAGATTTTCATCTCGCTCGTACAATGATACCCAAGCATATAGCTCATTGTGTAAGCGTGATATGTAGGGCGCACTTGACATGTACAACCAGGTATGTCGTGACGACTCACAGAGGCTCTCCCACAATGATACTTGGCGACACAAAATTCGCGCAACATGTGAAACCAAGGTGCATATCGTGATCTCCATCGAGCAGATTCATATCGTCGGGCGCACGATGCCGTTCTCGTTTACCAGTCACAGTCGCATGTGGGTAGCCGATTCGTGCCCAATATGCAGGGCAGGAACCCATTTCATGGTCGAGAGATAAACTTACATTATAGCGGTGAACAACAAGGACTGTAATAATTTTACACCTTTGTTGATGCCAAACGTCGTATTCTCTTGTGGAAGCTGTGCCGGTAAGTGACGTTGCTTTAGAGTTGTTCATTGGGACGGATCGACAGGCTCCACCACGGAAATCAAGAAATTTGGTGGTTCGAGGAAATGGCGCGGACATGGCACATGGACTTTCAGAACCCCGTCTTTGACGCGTATGGCCCTAGGCTCAGCTCGCAACAAAGTTAATGTCGTGCATATCTTGAGTGGCTGTGTGGCAAGGTGCGTGATAGTAACATGCAGTCCCCTGTAGGCCAAGTTTGGAGGAGGAGGAGGAGGAGGAGGAGGCGGACAGAAGACGCTGCAGCCACGGTAGCCGCTTTCCGAGTGCTGACGTTGCAGGCAGATGGAAAGTCCGTCATCAAAGGGTGAGAAAGCCACGATGATAGCAAGACTCGGTGCAAAACAAAGAGGGAAGGTGGAGTGCGGCAATCATTGTGCCGGGCCCAAAGGCTGTACCTGATGACAGATGACGGCTTTGAACCGAGCTATCCGATTCTGATGCATCGGCCCCGCACATTGTGGTCCCGCTTAGGGTGTTGCCCCTCACCGATCGTCACGACCCTCATGACTGTTGGCTCCTGCGTAGAACATGTAGTAGAAGGATCTGGCGAATCGTCTTTGTGACGTTTCTTGTCCGTGTCAGCTGGTTTTTCGTACGTAAATTAGAACGTCTAGACCACAATGTTTGGTGGGAGAGCATCATGCATCTTGTTGCATGAATCTTGAAGCATGGCTGTGAGAGACACGATGGTCAAAAAAGTTGGAAACGTTTGCGGTGGGTCCGGTCTGACGTGCGCAGAGTGGGTAAGAAACATCGTATGCAGCAAGTTGCATGGCAGAGAAATCCAAGGTGTTTCTGCCTCCGCGGTGTCTAATCTTGGCTGCGGTTTTTTGCGGTTCAGTGGACGTTTAGTTGCAGATCGTAAAAGTCTAGAAAAGGTCTCCCCGTCTCCTTGCATGGCGCCCCATAGTAGTATGCAGGAGTCGGAGGAGAAAACACAGACGTCTAAGACGACTCGCGACCATAACGTGGCGATTGTATAGGGCTAGCTGGTGCAGGTGCAAGGTGCGCTGGCTAGAACCACACACAATAAAGGGAAAGTCAGCAGCTGTCACGGCCGTGTCATGGAATTGGCTTGTTCAGGCCCAGCTGCCGATGTGGATGGTCTAAGACGACGCACGGCCGGTCCACTATAGACAAGGGTACTTGGGCCATCGTCATCTTCAGCGCGGATAGCGAATATTGATTTGTGCCATCTGTTCTTTCAAACAACCATCTTGCCGGTTGTCACGGAATGTGGCGAGTGCTCCGCAGCTGGCGCCCTGGCGCATGTAGCGGTGCTGGCTAAGATAGTCATGCGGTTCCACGCGCAGCAAATGCGTCGAACCAAGTGCGTCACACAACATCAATACCGGAATTCATCAAGCAGAAAAGTCTTGATACACGGCTGGAATCATCGAGGTAGTCGCCATGGCAGGGACATGTATGCATGGCGCTTGAAGAGGCCTGGCGCTCCGCTTTCACTACACCGCTCAAACAGGCAAGCACGAATGAAAAACCTGGGGAAGCGCTACGGGTACGCAGTGGTCCAGGGGTAACAAGGGAAAAATAGCGCATGTCTTCACCGGCTTGTATCAAGGTTCCGGACTAGGAAGTAATCTACTTGCTAGCTACGTTGCATTCCATCGGCCTGATCGGGGGCGCATGCATCGGTGCCTCTCGCGTGTGGAACTCGTCGTGACGGCGGTGCGATTCGTGCTGTTTCTGATGGTGCCGTGAGACTGTCCGATCGTGATGCGCAGCTTTGTCCAAGCCTGCTCCCTAGTCTCAGCCGCGTATAAAGGGATCGCTTGCCGCCCATTGTTCTCGAAGCAGCAAAACATCAGCAGCTTGCTAATCAAGAGTTCCAACCTAAGCTCATTGCAAGACGGGATCGACGCCAGAGAACTATCCTCATACAAACCTCGAACTACCTCGACCCCTCCACAACTACCGACTACTGTCGCCTACACACCAACCACCGACTCTTTCTCTACTTCCATTAGAAATCAGACATCATGCCTGCTCTTCCATTCAACACTTCTGCTTCTTCTTCTCCTTCAAATTCGCCAACTTTGTCGCCTACCGCCACGCCTTCAATAGTTCTCCATCCCGCATCGGGTATATTTGATCAACCAAAATAAGGCTTCCATCTAATCTGTATACCAGGTGCTTCCCATAAGAAGGAGCTTCACAAGCCGAAAGAAGACCCTGCGCAGGCCTACCGCATCCGTTATGCGCAATACCTCGCAGCCACTTTCGGCTTCTCAATGCAGGCCGCCATGGCCGAGGCGGATAGCCAGCTCGCGCCGAGACGTTCGTCGGGCTCGAGTATGTCCGAGGCTGAGTCGTTACGCTCGATTTAGCCCGGCATGAGGAGGGCGCCGTGGTTTCAGAAGGCGTGATATGACTTGATGAAAATGCATGGTTTGGTTAATGGTGTTATAGGCATTGGGATGGGGTTATTTGGCGTATACTCCATACGCCGCTTTCAAGAGCGACAGTCTCTTCCGACAATTTATTCTTTTCAAAGCTTCTTCGTCTTCTGTGATTTTGCCCAAGCATGAGGGTTAATGTTGTGTTGTGTTGTGCTCCCCACTGCAGGAATCATGTCCGCCTCGCGCACATCCCACTCACGAGTCGGCCCTCAAAGGTGAGACGGCCACCCCCACCACCAGATCTGTGGTTCACCAGCCACGCCAGGACCAGGTCTCCACGTGGAAGGCTTACTTATCGATAGCTTAGGGGCTCAATTCCAACGACATGCGAAGCTTTGCATTGCTTCTTCACCTTGATAGAGCACTCTGGCTTTCCTACTTCCCTCCCCAAGCCACCAGCTTGCTGACTTCGCTAAGCAGCTGGCCACCGGATTCCCCGCATCCCCACAGCCGTCAGCGATAACGCCCACACGGCCTCGCGACAACTTCTCGATCAGTTGCATGTTTTAGTGCGGCACACGCACATGTCCGCATTATCCCATATCAGGTCGTCGAGTGGCACCCAATCATTGGCAGTGTCACATGAGCAGCGGATAAGCGGTATACGTGGCAAACATCAGCCTGTCGTTTGCTGCACCGTTGCTTGCCATCACACCTCAACTTGCGCAGTGTGCCATGTATCAACAGCTTCCTTTGGCGTCCAGTTGCTCCAGTTGCTCCACATGGAGCGCACATGGAGCGCGCAAGGCGCGGGGTCGGTGACTTCGTGCGAAAGGCACATATGACGAGGCTTAATGCCAACAGCCCAGATGTCTCGGCGTAGTAGAAGATTGGCTAAGAACAAACAAATGGACACCTAGATCCGGGAACCGGCGACGGAATTTCTTGGGCCCGCAAGCCAAGAGTCTTATCGTTCTGTCAAAACCTACCTCCAGCCTGGTCTTTATAACGTTGATGCTGGCCTTTACCACCAAAGATCTGTATATTCGTTTGTTAGGCGTTCGGAAATGGCTACAGCGATCGTGTATGCTAGTGCAGTTGTGTTGGAAGACGCTCGTGGCTGTTGGAAAGAACGAGGCGTGACAGCAGGTGTTCCAAGACCTCTCCATGCTTGGAAGGACCCACGTCGTTCGACTAGCGTGCTAACCCCGCTTGAGCCTGGTGATTGAACGACATATAACTACCCCCGCGCAAAGCCTACATTTTATCTCTACCGCCAACACTCCCAGTGTTATCACATATACTTGAATGGGTGAAACTGTGCTACCTACCGTCGAGGAGACATCTCCCAACGTCGATGAACCCCCTATATGTGGTTTACAAGAGCCGCATACTACACCCAAACAAAGGCAACTTCAGCCGAACCCTATTGATGGCGACATCTCGCCCGCACTCCACGCGCCGCACACCCTTAACCCCAAGGACGTTGCAGAACACCTGGGAGTGGACATCCAGTGAGACCCACCACTTCTTCATTCATCCTACCCGATCCGACTGACCGATATAGACATGGCCTCTCTCACATTGAAGCGCAATCTCGCCTCCAGCTCTATGGCCCTAACAAGGTTAAGGGAGCTGAAGGGCTTTCCATGTGGAAAATTCTGTTAAGACAAATCTCAAACAGTCTCACCTTCGTTCTCATCATTGTCATGGCCATAAGCTTTGCTATAGGCGACTTCATTGAAGGCGGCGTTATCACCGCGGTCATCGTCCTAAACATCGTTGTCGGTTTCTGGCAGGACTACCGAGCCGAAAAGACTATCGAATCTCTCAAAAAGCTCACCGCACCTGAAGCTACCGTCACCCGCGATGGCACAATGGATATCAAGGTCAAGGCAGTGGATCTGGTCCCTGGCGACATCGTCCAGCTGTCTGTTGGCAGCATCGTCCCCGCCGATCTTCGCCTTATCGATGGTGTCAACGCATACACCAATGAGGCCTTTCTCACGGGAGAATCCGCGCCTGTAGAAAAGACACCATGGAAAACCTTCGATGATGATGACCTGGCTACTGGTGATCGAACCAACCTTGCTTTCTCTGGTAGCGAGATAACATCTGGTCGCTGCCGCGGCATCGTCGTCGCCACTGGTATGAACACTGAAGTCGGAAAGATTGCTACCATGCTCCGTCAGAAGAAGGATGCCGGTCCACAATCTGCCAACGTGGTTGGTAGACTCTTCCAGCGTTTCATCAGTGGCGGTAAGACTATCCTAGGTCTCGTCGGAACCCCACTGCAAATCACACTTAGCAAGTTTGCTCTCCTACTCTTTGGTCTTGCCATACTCCTTGCCATTATTGTCTTCTCTGCAAGCAAGTGGCAAGTGGGGGGCGAGGTTCTCATCTACGGTATCTGTGTCGCCGTCGCTGTTATCCCAGAGTCGCTGATTGCCGTTCTCACCATCACAATTGCAGTCGGAGGCAAGGCGATGGCCAAGGCCAATGTTATCACCAGGGTCCAGTCAGCCATCGAAGCCGTCGGCGGGGTCACGAATATCTGTTCTGATAAAACGGGTACCCTCACTCAGGGACGCATGGTGGCAAAGACGGCCTTGATACAAGGCGCTGGCGTTTTCACTGTCGACGCCATCACTGACCCCTACAACCCTGGTAGTGGAAGTGTATCCATGAACAGCCAAGGTCTCAACCTCAATGACTTTACGCCCAACTCCGATGTTGCTCGTTTCCTACGCACCATAGCTCTGTGCAACAACTCCAAGGTCATACCGCCATCAGAATCGCGCTCTGTCTCCCCAAGCGATAGGAAAGCTGGCATGGATCAATCGACCATTGGAGATGATCGCGATACCGATGCTTCCACCATCGACACTATCTCACGCCCGCCCACTGCCATCGTCGAGAATATACCGAGTGGTACCTGGGTCGCACATGGGGAGCCCACCGAAGTCGCTTTACACATTCTCGCCTCCCGTTTTAACAAGGGCAAGGAAGAAATACTAGCTACCCACAACATCCACCTGGCTACCGAGTTCTCTTTTGACTCCAAGGTCAAAAAGATGACTGTAGTCTACAAGGACAACTACACTGGTCACATGGATGCCTACACCAAGGGAGCAACAGAGTTTATGATGCCTGCGCTCAACGTCTCTGAACAGCAAAAAGCCGAGATCCTCGAAGCCGCCGAAAGCATGGCCAACCAAGGTCTTCGTGTTCTCTGCATCGCCCACAAACCGCTCCAACCTGGCACCGACATTTCCGAACGTGAGGTCGTCGAAGCCAACCTCAACTATCTCGGTCTTGTCGCCATCTACGACCCACCTCGCTTGGAAACCAAGGGTGCGGTCCGCGAATGCAAGATTGCTGGCATCACAGTCCACATGCTCACTGGCGACCATCCTGGTACGGCCCGAGCCATTGCCAAGGATGTAGACATCATCGACGATCGCACACCTGCATCAGCCGTTATGGTCGCCAAGGACTTTGACAGAATGACTGATGAGGAGGTCGACTCCATGGAGACACTGCCTCTTGTCATTGCCAGATGTAGTCCAACGACCAAAGTCAAAATGGTACAAGCTCTTCACAGAAGGGGTCGCTTCTGCGTCATGACTGGTGACGGAGTCAACGACTCGCCAGCACTGAAGCAAGCCAACGTTGGCATGGCCATGGGTACTGGTAGCGATGTCGCCAAGGATGCTGCTGAGATGATCCTTACCGATGACAACTTTGCTTCCATCGTCAAAGCGGTTGAAGAAGGTCGACGCCTGTTTGACAACATCCAGAAGGTATGTATCCCTACATTCACTAAGAACTGTTCATGACTAACACACAACTCTCACAGTTTCTCATGCATCTCCTCATATCCAACATCGCTCAAGTCATCCTCCTACTCATCGGCCTCGCCTTCAAAGACCGAGATAACCACTCCGTCTTTCCGCTCTCCCCCATCGAGATTCTCTGGGTCAACCTCATCACCTCCTCCTTCCTCGCCATCGGTCTCGGCCTCGAGGAAAGCCAGGAAGACAGCATGTACCGCCCACCGCACGACAACAAAAAGGGCGTCTTCACCGCCGAGTTGATCACTGATAAGTTCATCTACGGTTTCTTCATGGGCGCACTCTGTCTCTTTTCCTTCGCCATCGTCGCCTACGTCGGTCCTGGTGGCGGAGACCTCGGCCACGGCTGCAACGAAAGCTACAACAACACCTGCAACGTCGTCTTCCGTGCTCGCGCTACCACATACGCCACCATCACGCTCCTCCTACTCGTCACAGCTTGGGAAGTCAAACACTTCTCGCGCTCCCTGTTCAACATGTATCCCAACACACCAACGTCGGCGCCACCCGGTCTGTCAATCTTCCCCACCTTGTGGCGCAACCGCTTCCTCTTCTTTGCGGTCATTGCGGGATTGTTTATCATGTTCCCCATTGTTTATATCCCGGTCATCAATGAGAAGGTGTTTAAACATGCTGCTATAGGTTGGGAGTGGGGTGTGTCGTTTGGCTGCGTCGTCATCTACATTAGTGCTATTGAGTGCTGGAAGGCGGTCAAGCGCGCGTTGGGGATTTGGTCGGGGGCGCATCGCGTTATTAGTCGCGAGGATGCCGAGGCGAGGGCGGGTTTGAGTGGAGGTGTTGCTGCTTTGAGGGAGAAGTAGGGATGATAGGGCTTGGGGTGGTGGATCAAATTGTTCATGGTTGCTTGCTTTTGTTTTCCTTGGATTGACCCTGGTCTGTCGTTACGCGCTTTATATTCTTCCTATGATGATACACTCGTTTTTAGTTAGGTTTATTGTTAAATTAACTTAGTCGCTCGTTTGATCATCAGTTTTCGAAGACCGTCATGATTTCATCTCGTAAAGTTGCGTATCTTTTCGGCTAGATGGACCATCCTGCTCGTGATGTAAGAGAAAAGTACTTGCGTATGTCGATCTTTTGATGCTGGTATTGTTGGGATCGGTGATATGATAGGGGGTTGTGAAGAAAAGGAAGGTGTTGGGATAACACCTTAACTGCTTTTCTTAGACTGTTGTCACCAATACTGCGTTGTGCAAATCCGCTGCTAAGCATTTATATCACTTCTTTATATCTACGAAGAAAAGGAAGTCAACAAAAGATAAAGACTTCATCCTGCTGTTTAAATTCAATTAGAGAAGTCTACGATCAGCACGATTATCTGCGCCCTATCATTGGAGGAACCGGCCTGTTCTTCCAGTTACCAAAGCTCGCCATTGTCGGTTATACCAGTAGCCTCCTCCGAAGGATCCAATGCTACCTTTCCTGACTCTCTACCACAATCTCTATCTCGGTATCCTTATAGCCTTCCATTTAGCCTTGACATCCTCATAATTTTCCACAAACTTGCGTAGTCTTCCACCAATATGAATCTCAACAACCCCATAAGAATACCCAATGTACTCGTTTCCCGGAACATATTTTTGCCTAGCTTTCAAACCTGGTTCCCTAGCCTTCGTATTCTGCCAGGCCTCAAAGAGTAGCTTTTTCAAATTCTTATTTTCATTTTCACATAGAAAAGACGAATCTTCATATAATTTTTCGATCCGTTTTCCTAACTCTTCATTTTATTTCCTAATGGCATTGACTGTAGAACGGCTTGCGCTTGCTCGGGGCAGCTGGAATGTGTCAACCTCCCGTTTGCAGTCCTTGAGATGTCTTTCTAGGTGTGAGAGAACATTGAAGAATATCATTATGGTGTTGATAACAATTTTTGTGCATTCTTCATGTTCAGTGGGGAAGGATGGTGATATCCTCGAATGGCTGACTGAGGTTTTGAAGATGGGGACAATGTGTTGTATAATCTGCTTTCTAGTGATCTATCGGTTTACAGCTATTAGCTTAGTCAAACTGGAGCCAGTCGCCTATTACGTGATGCGCAACATGGACGGTACCACTTACCGACGATGCTGGGGGTATGCAGCAGTGAGAATTTTGTAGCAGCGATGATATTTCAAGAATACAACGTACATACAATAGTATGTGGTAGTAGCTTCTGATATTTCGAGTCAAATATTTCAGTCAGAACGTGAAAGGGTCCGTTTTCGAAAAACATCAAGGTTCGACAACGCTCTGTATCTTGATTGTCGTGATGATCAGCTATTAGGAAAGAGAATAAACAACAAGCGCTTCGTAGGATAGGCATTATATAATTTCATTACATACATACATTCGGCGGTGCGTTTCTAGGCCTTTTTTAACTTTCTTTTGAGCCCTTGCATGTATTGCGCTCATGATTTCAGTATCCGGACTATTGTCACGTTTCAATAGACTGATTTCGAGAATCAATAGGTTAGAGCTCTATCACTCTTCTTGAGGCTGTAGAATCTGATAGATACTCAGTTGGAACTATGATTCTATAGAGATCACTCAAGGTCGACGGCTTTTGTATCTCAGACATGATTGCTCTGCTCTTAGGAACTCTACTACTCACTATCAACTTGTACACGAGTGCTTGACGAAGAAAGTGGTAGGATTGCGAGTTGTGAATCCACCGGAGTTAGCATTCTAACGACTTCTGCCGCTGTACGACTTCATTGCACATTTTAGTCAAAGCTGAGCCTGTGAGGTTGCAGAAATTAGTTGAAAAGCACATTTGCCTGTCGGATAATGATTTGGCCAATCAAAGGAGGTGCAGATCATCCTTCGGGTAATGATGGCACGATCAAAACAAAGTCCACAAGCTTTTTATTCTTGATGGTCCATCAGAAACGTGTTTTTCAATACGTGCTCGCTATAATGGCGCCATACTAAATGAGTGACGTTTCTTATTGTAATTCTATGGAAGCTATACTTTGATTCTCTCGCCAGCTATAATTGAATTCATCTGTGACCGAACTGTCAGTGCTATCAGGTTTTTTCGGCCAAGCTTGTACAGACCTTGAGCTTGGCTGAACCTGGCTTACTACCTGCCTTATCTATGTGTTTGCAATAAGTGCGTGTCTCTTTCTATGTGCATCATCTGCCTCTATTAGTTCCTGCTTAATCCGAGCGACCCTATTCTGCGCCCCAGGTATCACTACTGTGTTTTGTTCATCGAGATGTTTGATGAGTTCTTGTTCAGCTTTTTCTAGTCTTTTATTTAGGATTTGAATTTGTTCTCCAAGTTTGAAATTCTCTTCTCCGCGCTCAACAAGATTTCGTCTATCCTGTGGATCCATATCTATGGTGTTCTTTGAAGCGTGTGGTTTAGGTAAAGAAAATTCGGCGAGAGCTCGAGAGGTATTAATATGCTATGGATTCCATGTGAGTTACAGACTAATTAGTCTAGTTCAAATAGTTCTTAAAGTTGTATCGCAAGAGAGTAGCAAAGTTCGAAAGGAAGTAGGTATGCTTACTGTATCTCAACACGTAGAGACTCCGATACAGTTCTGAAAGCAGAATGTCTTCCTCTCTTTGGTATCCGTATGTGGTAGTTATTAACTTTAGTCGAGATATTCGTGCGCTACTGGATGGATGTATAAGTAGCTTAGATGCGATGTTGATGATATGCTACCATTAACTTTGAACCGCAGTGCCTTTTATACATCTACTCAATGACTTGTTTCTCATATAATCATCCTCGTTATAATGTATGAGTCTTTGATATCACGATTTATGACGTGAATATCGGCTCGATCTCACTGTGCGAAACCATTGGAGCCATGTTTTCCATAACTGCTGACTATGATATTGCTGCTGTGGGTGTAGTCATCGCACGGGAAATTATTCACTCTATGATCTGAGTCCCACGACACTCTTCATCGGTAAAGAGAAAGCTTACATATACCGAATGTTGTAGAATCTGACATCGAGTGATTGAGCCGTGCTGCACCTGATTGTTTTCTGTGGACGCATTGTTTGTTGGATTTGAATCTTTGCTAACACCCGAAACAATAGCTGTTGATACTATGACTGTTAACGTCAGTTATGACTCTATTCATCATCCGGTTTGTACTTCCGTTCAGTCAGAAAAGATGAAGTATCAGAGATAGAGATATCCGCGTGCTTGCGGAGATTCACTATCTCCTCTATACCAATACAGTATCTATCCTTAGCCTACTAAGCTCTAAATCTGGTAGTTTTATAATTCAATCGAGAGATCTACCAAGCTTTTTAACATTCCCAAGGTTGCCTGTGATGCAGATAGCAGCATTCATCTACCATCCAAATAAAATGCTCACCTACGCAGAGTTCTGCAGATATCTGTGTACTGAACTTCAGTGTAAAAGCTCCCGATACCGTATTTCTATGAGTCAAAAATTTAAGAAGTTGACGCGCATCAAGGGTCTCAGTTATCCCGTCATCCAACAAGGTCCCTGCGTTGTGCGCCCCGTGCATGGAGTTATCCACGCCTGCCGACATGTCATAGCGGCCGCCAATGACTGAACCTCACCCGAACATCACGGAAAGACCACTTAAGGGCATGTTTCATGATGGATCAGGTACGATTACCCTGACAGACGGTTTTCCATCTTTTCCCCATACCTTTGGCTGAGGACGTATCCCCGAATGACTAATTTCAAAGCTGTGTCTGGGGATGCAGGTTCCAGGTCCTGTTACAAATTTGGAACATACTTACACTTAGAACTACTTACTTTGCACAACACGACCTCTGGTAAGGCCCGGTTCCAGAAGAATTGCGAGCTAATCCATGAGAACAACTTCGGATAGACTCTGGTTGTACGACAATACCCTTGGTTTTCTCAACGTTGCAGCCAAACGGGAAAGGGGATTCTGGACTGAAATTGCGAGTCCGAGAGCGGCCATTCAGGTTGTTAAGATTATTCCGTGTTATCAAAGCGGATTTCTATGTCTCTCTATGTCTCACAAGTTGATTCTGTATTTAGAAAGGCAGCCGCCTACGGATCCGCGCTCATCCAGGATATCACAGACCACGCCAAGGGTCAGAATACCGCACTGTAGAGGCTGACGGGATATTGAGCATCTTCTAAGAGGTTGGTAAATACCTTGGATAGATACCTGATCATGCCCTTTGTAGGAAGTCGCTCAAAGATTGCAAATTACGGTTGTAGCGCCGACGACCGTCCTGTACCCCCCGTGGTAGCTTATAAATACACACGGCGATTTGTGCAGCAAAATCTTGACCGTCGTGATTGCATTCACCGCTTCACAGTGATCTGAAGAGGCAAGTGTCGGTAGGGCTCTCGTCATTGTAAGTCCGAAGACGTTACTAATAGCCGACTAGCTAGAGGTTCTCCTTGGGTCGCGAATTTGCTGCGTCGATGTAGTCCTTTAGGTGTGGTGGTTTTGGATGCGTCGTCAGGTCGACTGTACCATGGCCGATTGGTCTGTTGGTACCGCGGCATTTTCTCTTTCCCACACCAAGCATTACCCACCGTAACGACGTCTGGCGTGAATTCTGTCGCCTTACCCAGGCCCGCAATACCTGCCGTACAGCCAGTGTTTTGATTGGCGCAAACCCATACCAAGGCCGTGGAACACGGGAAGAGGCGACCGTTCCCGCTATGACTCAGTTGCAGAATCCACCAAGAAACCAACCAGCAGGCCGCACATTGGTTCCTCTGTGAACGACTGTCATGCAAAATGGGCGATCATGCATGTCACAATCCCACAGGCTAAATTAGCCGTTTCACCCTCAGGTTCTCGAACGTCTCAAACCTTGTCAATGCGCATGTTTGAGATGGGCAGTAAGCGTTTCAAGTGCACGACAGCGCCTCAGTTCGCTTGTCAACTCAGGTTTGACGGGTCTTGCACCTGTCTGCCGTTAGTCCAAGATGCACTGCAACAAGCTTTTGTGCCCACCACCGATGCGCGAGGTTAATCAAGAGCTTCATCATAGCATACCCTATTCCACTCACAATAAATAGCAGTATGCTTCCTACATGGTGATACTGCGCGATAATCATTGTTTTGACGCTTTGCTCTGCGATCTGGTGGACCCGTCAGGGCCCGGGCCAGAGGTTTTAGATGTGCATGATCGACTGCCTCAGGAGCGGTTACCCAGCACCCCTTCAATGGAAAGCGAGATAGTATCAATGCTGCCATTTCTGAGCAGCATAAAGAGAGCGCATACGCCTCATCATTATTGCCTCCCAAGCCAGTCTTCTCATTCACTCTTCACATCTACATTTGTTTATTCCTTCCCGCTGTGCGGATCACTTTCACTTATCAACACTTCCAATAATCAACTATTTCAACACCAACTCTACAACTCCAAACCGCCAATATGCAGTTCTCCATCACCGCCGTTCTCTTTGGCCTCGTCGCCATCTCCTCTGCCGCCATTACCGATGTCGAAGGCGTTCGCAACACTCCCCGCAGCGAGCTTGAGAACCGCCAGGCAGCCAACGGCGCTTGCTGTATCCCCAACCAATCTTTGAAGCAGGATGCCTGCACAGTCAACGGAGCGGCTGGCAAGTGTGTACCTGGAGGCCCAGCTCAATGTAAGTAGAGTCCCACCGGTTCTCGAGACAAAACTGACACACCCCTAGGCAACGGTGCTCTGAACTGCGTTGCAAACAACCAGTTGGTGTGCGACAACAACGTCACGGAGCGGTCCGGCGTTCTGTGCCGCTTTCAGGCAGCCAATGGCAAAATCCAGGACGGTGCCGCGCAGATTGACAGCCTTGCCCAGGCCAAGGTCAACTAGAATGGGGTGTTAATAGGTGGAGTGGGGTCTTGAATTGATCTGTAAATTTGTATAGCAAGCCTTAGACCATAACAACTTGCTGTCGCACAGCAGGTGCGTAAATACATGTCTTTGAAAAGGAGTAATTGGAGTGCTTTGAAAGAATTGCAGTGTTGAGTGAATGTGACTTCGTCTTCGCAACGGCAACAGCAACATGAGCCGAACCGTAAGCAGGGGTACTGTTAATCCCTGGTTCATGGCATCGTTCGGCTCGTGCTGACGGTAAGCGTTTAACCACGTCGGCAGAAAAAGCCGACCCTTTCTGCCCGGACTGCTCCACTTATGGTGATAAGAAACCTTGTAACGGTAGGATTGAGGAAGAGTGGGGTTGCATTGTTGGTGTAGCTACGAAGGTGGGCAGCTATATATATGAATGTGGGATGTACGAAGTGTGGTAGCGAGAGTAGTACCCAACTTGTACCAGAATATGTCTTGGCAGGACCCAAACCGTTACACACCCTCTCAGATACGGCTCTCAGCAAGTAGCTGACCATGAATAGAGATGTGAAAATGACGGAAATGAAAAAAAATACTCTAGTTCCACGCTGAAAGCTGAACTCCCTTCTCTGCTTCCTCTTTTTCTTTTGGAGTAATGATACTCCGGACATCTTCAAGTCCTAATTGCTTGACAAAACTCTCATGCTTTTGACGAGGTAGTACCTTGGTCAAACCGTCTGCGGGCATCTGATCTGTAGGCACCCAATTGACCTGTATTCGCTTCTGCTCGACTTCCTGGCGGAGCCACAACTGATGAGTATCCACATGACGAAGCTTTGTCTGAAGCCGATCTTCTCTCTTAGTAACGATACTAACCGTGGCTGTGTTATCACACAAGAGCTGTGGCGTAAACTCGAGCTTAAACTTAACGTTCTTAAATGCGCGTTGCCACCATTCCATCTCAGCCCCTGCAATAGATAGAGCCATCAGCTCTGCTTCGGTAGTTGACTTTGTGACTGAGCGTTGCACTGTAGCCTTCCAGTCAATTGGCATCCCGTATAGCTTGAATATAAAGCCATGCGAGCTTCTGCGCGTCTCGAGATTGTCAGCAAAGGCAGCATCAGAGGCACCAAAGAACAACGGTTCTACTCCTGCCTCATTTGCTTCACCCTCTGTGATATACGACGCAATCTCGGTTCGAAGTGCTGTAGCGCAGATAGCGTAGTACTGAGTACCAATCAGGTACTCCCAAACGTGCTTTGCGGCAGCGAGGTGCTTCTGGCTTGGATTCTGAAGATGCTGTGCTAGCACTGAGTGCGCTTTCGCAACGTCTGGTCTGGTGATACATGAGATAAATGCTAGTGAGCCAGTAAGACTCTGAAACTCCTTCGTACGCTCGGCGTTCGGTTCTTCATCACTCGGGCCTAGCCCCTCATTCAGCGGAGTTGCTGGGTATCGTCCGGATTTCTTCTGCAGTTTGAAGTTGGCAGCGACCTTGTCGATAAACGAGTCCTGTAATAGCCAAACTTTCCCTTGCTCTTCATCGCGTACAACGCGGATGCCTAGGAACCAGCTAAGCTTACCTAAGCAACGTATCTCGTATCGATCCTTAAGTGCACGCTCAAACTCTTCATGAGCTGCGAGATCTTCTGGTCGAACCAGAACCACAATATCGTCAACGTAGAAGAAGACAATAAGCTTTTCGTTTGTAAACAAACATGGGATGCCTGGCACTGGCTTAAGTCCCATCTTCTGCAGTGAAGTGCAGAGATCGTTGTACCATAACAGCGGCGCCTCTTTTAGACCATACAAGGCTCGCCACAACCGTAGTAGCGGACCAAACTGATCAATGTAGCCCTCTGGTGTCTGTACGTAGATCTTACGGTCGACTTTTGCGTTTAGAAACGCATTCAGCACATCATACTGGAAGGCTTTTAGGCCAAAGGCAGCCATTAGAGCAACAAGGAATCGGAAGATCCGAGCTGCTAGCGTAGCCGCATACGTGTCCTCGTATATCTGTTGTAAGTCTCCTCTTACGACTAGGCGCGCCTTGAACTTCATGAGGTAGCCGTCTTCATCGAATTTGTAGGTAAACACCCACATCAGAGGCAATATCTCACCCTCGGCGACGCCTTCTTCCTGAGCTTCTGGCTTAAAACAGCCTTTTCTCACTATATCGTCGATCTCAGCTTGCGCTGCAAGCTTAAAGCGGTTGCCAAATGGATGGTTTTCGAGATCTGACCAACGCTTTGGTGGAGGTGGCAAATAATCTCTATGGAGGCGAACCTTCTTAGGCTCGTGAAGCTCTCGTACTTTAACCGGATTGATTGCTGAGGCAAAGGTCGACAGATACGTTACTGCGAAAGTGGAGAGATACGCCGCATGAGCGCTGCCTCTAGTACGTTTACCGGCAACGATGTTATCTGAAGTGATTGCAGGATCCGTTCGCTTTGGCGCATTGTTCTCGCGACGATTCGGCGCCTCTTGATCCCCTTGCACTGGCTCGTAGCCCTTTGGCAAGCTGATCTCTTCTTCAACACTCGCGTCCCTACTTCTCCTTCCTATCGTATTAGGCGAGACTAGTGATCCTCCCAGGTCAATCGATCTCACTGGGTTTGCTCTGTTCCCCTTTTGCTGACTGCTGTAATAGCTCTTCTATCAACTGATCATGTGCTTCATCCTCTTCTAGCATCTTAGTGCCCTGCGAATCAAGCGGAGCAGCGAGCTCTAGAAGCTCGCTAATCTCTAGTTCCTCTACCTCGCCTTCGTAGTCGGCAATATCAAGTACTGTCTTTACTGTACGTGCCACCCTCAAATCTGCGTAGACTGTGCTGCCGTCGTATCTCGTATTCGAACGAAACACGACGTCTCGGGTGCGGATAACAGTGTGTGACTCTGGGAGCCATATCCTAAAAATGTTGGTGGAATCGTATCCAACCAAATGACCAATGAGCGCTCGAGACTCCATCTTGTCACCACGCTTCAGCTTGTTGTTGAGGTAGTACGCCTGTGCGCCTATCTTGCTTAGGTGAGCCATCGAAGGCTTGTGTCCACCTGCGACTTCGTAAGGCGTCTTCCAGCTAAGAGACTCGACTGGTGTTCGATTGAGCAGATATACTGCGGTCATGGCGCACTCGTTGGCCAGCTCCTTGGGCAGACCGGATCCAATTCGGATTGCGCGAGCTCGGGCGATTATTGTCGAGCCAGCGCGCTCGATGAGGCCGTTCTGCTCCTCCGTGTACGGAGCTCTTGTTTCAATCTCAATACCTCGGTCAAGAAAGAGCTGGTGTAGCAAGCTGTATCCTCGCTCGCCGTCGATCTTTATTGCGCGGACCTTGACACCATATTGAGTCTCAATTCGTGCTAGCAAGCGTTCGATTGTCGTTAAGAGCATTGGTGCTGACTTGTTTGGTAGGCATGCGGCTAGGTGGAGCTTGCAATTCTGGCACACCGCATGTAATAGCCAAACGTCACCGTTATAGCAGCGCTCGCCTGTCTTACGCAGCTGTACAAGATCGATAGCCAATCTTTCGAATGGTCGGGTGGCTGGTTCTCGCGGAGGCCTTCTGCTCTTAAACTTATGAAGCTTTGCTTCAATACATGTCGTACAGGTCTCCCAAGTTGGCGCTATTGTGCCTTCTTTAATCTTTACACCATCGACACCCTGCTCGAGCTTTGAGATAACCTTAGCGCTCGGGTGGCCCCAAATCTCATGGGCTTCCTCCGCCGTTAGCTCAAGCGGTCGTCGATCAGCGTATGATGGTTTCACCGCTTGAATCCTTCTCTTTTCTGCTGCATTAACAGACTTTGCTACACTAGTAGACTCTGCTACAGTCGTAGACCGCAGGTCTTCTACACGCGGTCTCTCATTTTCGTCCGAATCCATCAGCCAATGCCCTCCTTCGGGACTAAGCTTACACACGACGTTCTTTGGCGACTTCTGGTATAGGCAGTCTCGACCTGAGTCGAACTCAATTCCCATCGTACGGCATCGTGAGAGAGCGACAAGAGAGGTAAAGAAGCTCGGGATATACGCTACCCAAGTAAGCTTAATTGGAGATGTTCCGTGCGGCGTGTTAATCATGATCTTAACCTCACCCCATTCCTTGATCGGAATACGCTGACCTCCAGCCAAGATCTCATCATGGGCGTTGGCATCTGCAAGCTTGCGCCAAGTCGAATTTCGATGATTAGACACGTGTAGGTTCGATCCTGGGTCGAGTATCCATCGCGTTAGTAGCGATGAAGGCTGCTGAGTAGCCTCTACTTGGAGACATGCATTTGAGCTCCGACCACTCTTCGTGCTTCCATCGTCAAAGGCAGCTGACTGAGGCTTACTCTGCTGACCTTGCTTAGCGAGCTTTGCTTCTACTGATCTCAAAACGGCTGAGATTCTGCTGCCTTCGCCTCTGCTTCGGATGGTATCGAATTTCTTCTTCATATCTAAATCCGCCTTCCATCCAGAGCTACGCTTTGCTGAGTTGACGTACGGACAATCAATAAAGCGATGCTTCTCTCCACACAGGCAGTTAATCTTTCGAAACTTATCAGTATCCTGGGATATCTGAGATTGTTGGGATACTTCCTGTGGGTCGCCTAACGCCGCAAAGGTTCCTAGCGTTGAAGCCACTGGTTTCATTTGACGATAGTACAGTCGAAATCGCCCCACAAGATCAACTGCTGGTAAGAAGGACTCTCCTTCCTCTTGCTTTGTGATCATGCTAATCCTTTGTGATGTAGCCCATGAATCATCAGTCGATTGTACTGAGTCGAGAAAGTCCCGCTGTGCCCTTGTACCCTTCACTTCTGCCATCTCAGCCGCGGCCATGAGCTCAAGGAGCTCCTCCCAGCTGTCGAGCCAGGATTCGATATTAGCGCGCTTTGGCATCTTGCGAAGCGCTATATATTGCGAGAGTAGCTGAGTCTCTCGCTCTGCTGTCGATGGACAGAGCTGGTTCTTTAGTTTCCTCAATCGTGCGTGCGGCGTATCTAGATTCATGATCCAATGTAGCCGACGCTCTGAGATCGTTGTCGCGATCTCGCTGTTGAACTGCCTTAAAGCAAGTTCTTTCTTTTCGAACTTTGTTAGTTCCTTCTGGTAACTAGTGTACCAAGCTGAGTACTTCCGGTATTCGTGCTCATCGAGATGCTCGAGGTCGTAAACTATGCCGACCTGTCGCTCCCGTCCGTAGAAAGCACCTGCTTCCTTCTTTGCGGGCTTCTCATCTTCGAGCTTAAGTACCGTTTCTAGCGCAACGTTAGGGTTAACGTACGCCCATAGATCGTTCCGCTGCGCGCTATCTTTGCGCAGGAAGATCCACTTCTGCCAATCTGACGGTTGATCGAGAATCACCGTCGTCTTCGTAATCAGAAGATCACTATTCATTGTAGCCATGGTGATAGCTGATGATAACTGCTGTCGTTAAGATAGACGTCTACTGTTAGACCGATTATAACAGTAAGTCTTAACTAAAGCGGGATGTGAATGCAGTCGATTAACGGCAAGCCGGGCTCATAACTGTAACGGTAGGATTGAGGAAGAGTGGGGTTGCATTGTTGGTGTAGCTACGAAGGTGGGCAGCTATATATATGAATGTGGGATGTACGAAGTGTGGTAGCGAGAGTAGTACCCAACTTGTACCAGAATATGTCTTGGCAGGACCCAAACCGTTACAAACCTCATTCCGCGAATACGAGATTTAATATTTAGTGATTTCCGAAAGCGACGCCGATCAACATGTGGAGGATGGCATATATTACCGACATTCAGGACGATTGCCATGGTAAGTCGAGTCATTCCCCTGGTGGCTGGAAGTGAGAACGATAGCCGAGTTCGACCAGTGCAATACAATGATACAGGAAAAATTGACTTGTAGCGGCGAAAGATTTGGGGAGACTCAGAAGTAGGCCGTCCACAACATCATATCTCTCTTCCCCATTATGATGGGATCTAGACAGGCTCTCAGTCGAACTTACATTCCAAGGCCCCCTTGCAGGTGAAAGGATATGGCCTGTACGTGTACCTTTACTTACTCTACAATGCTCACTAAAGTAGCTCGGTCTGCTGTGCCGACCGTTTGGCGGAAAAATTAGGACATGTATTCATGACGACTAACTTTCGTCCGTTTTCTCTGCGCTTTCCGTCAGTTGCCTTGACTGCTGCGCTATCAGCAAGGAGAGCCTGTCCCATGCTATTTCTGAATGACCAGCCAGGTTGTAGTCTCTCCATCTGCACGGTTGCCTAGCAGTCCTACATGGCTCAGGGATTGTATTTGCGCTGGGCAAATGGTTAGAAGAGCGTCGACACGGAACGGTCTTGAAAGATACATGGCGGTCCCTCGTTCGTGTACTACGGCACTTCGTTGACTGTAGCATATCGCGCTCTTGTGAAGAACACTGGCCACCACAGGCACCGCCGGATACAGGAGAGGACCTGAGCTCAGGAAGTCACGTTTCGTACACGTCCACGCAGGTAGTCGTAGACGATTGTTCTAGACGTGCGTACCCCGCTTCGCAGAGTTGTGGCCGGAGCCGGAAGACAGGTGCTGCAATGACTAGCCGCGACGTTGGACGCGTTCATCCGGGTGTGATGTAGATAAGCAAAGACGAGGACGTTGCGTTGCCAAGCGCTGCTTCCAAAGCCTGGACCCTGACGGCCGTTATCTAAATACGAGCTCGGGTCGCATCCGTATTGAAAGTCACGACTAGAATAGACCCTCGTAACATTACCAACCTTACTAAACGTTGTGCACAGCTGTGGAACGATACAAGGTGGGCGAAGACAAGGTCGACGTTAGATTATGTTGCCAACCGCTCCTTCCGGACCCGACCGGGAAGGCCATTGCCTGAGTACGAGCTTATGCTCGTATCCGTTTCATTCACGGATCTCATGCAGACTGATCTTACCGCCCCAATGAATTCTCCGTACGGATCACTGCTCTCGCGTCTTACCATTTTCGTGTACTATCCCGCCAATCATACTCCACTATTGCCGACACCGTTCAAATCCGTCATGTGAACTTCCCATGCGCACGTTGCGCTGCTGATAATGTAAGATGCCGGACACGGCATGTTCAAGCATCTGGAGCAAAGTAACTTTCTCAGAGTAAGACCACGCAGACTATAACACGTCATGACTTGACTGTCGTGGTTAGAAACTCTAGAACATAAACCCAGGCCTATCGTTTTTCGAAACTCAATGTCTATTCACCCTATCAGAGACAACAGTGTTCAGTATGGAAGCGTCTTGGAAGCAAATAAGCAGTCCGTAGGATTCCGGATTCAATTCGTCCAGTATTGCTATTGCAAATGACCATGTAAACCAATTCAGGAGGCAGGCAGAGAAGTATAAGTACATCACCAAACTCCATAATCGAGTTGTATCAAATCCATCAACATCAACATCTCCATTCAACACAAGCAACATCAAACTCAATCCAAAGCAATCATGCAGTTCTACTATCAATTCGCCATCCTACTTTCCAGTCTCTCTCAGACTTTGGCTGCACCCGCGGAACAAGCAGTTGAGGACAAACAAATTACAAAGAGGGCCTGCGCGCCTACAGGCCAAGAGTCTTGCTGTCTCAAGGGGTATGTTCAGAAAATATTTCTCTCCGATTTAAACCAAGTCTAACTTTTCGATAGTTTCTACAGGGTCAATGGAGCTCAAACAAATCTTCAAGAACTGATTCCCTTTGGATCCAATGGCGGCATAATCAACGTCGGCATTCGTACAGGTTGCAGCGTTAATATTGATCGCGTCTGTGCCACTGCTGGTGGATGTGGTGGTTGGGCAGTTCAGAGTCGCAATGGTTGTAATGGTGTGGAAATTAGCGTGAGCTTCCTGGATAGGTGTGGCTCCGCATAGATGACGGAACGTGGATTAAAGTCGTCAAACACTTGTTTTCTTAACCTATGACCCGCATCTATTCAACATGGATGCTGTCATCACTTATCAGATATTGTTCTTAGTTGTTGAGAATATAAAAGTTGGACTGAACTATACTCACAGTCCGCAACAATCAATTAAGTGGGTCCTAGAAGGTTCAGATTGGATTGATTGATTACCGCTTTAAGCCTAGTAGTTACCTATAGGAGTTTAAGCCCTACCTAGATAGGTAAGTGGGTCTAGGAGAGTGACCGGATTGAATTGATTGTTGCGGAGTCTAACTATACTACTCTTGCCTTCCACGTTAACTACTCGATGTCTCGTAGAATGCCTCGATTCTACTCTACTCTAACTCGTAATAATCCTGCATGTTAGATCTAATAGGAATAGGGGTTTTAACATCTGTCTTGCACTGGGGGTTGGAGAAGCACGTGACATGTTCGAGTACACTCTTACCCTGTAGCTCCCGCTTCTGCCCTGGCTGGTTCTAACCCTGAATCGCTCCGCGGATGATGCCGAGATCAATCAATGCCCCGGCACCTTCACAGAAACCCTTGCTGAGATTGCGGTTTCTCTGTGCCTCTCTTCTGTCCACCCTGACTTAGTTCCGGAATTCACTCAGAGACCGACCAGCATGCCCCACCCACTACCCATAATTTCTCAAATGCTCCAGGTACATAATCTCTAAAGATTAAGCCCCTACAAGGGTCGCTCGGATACTTGCAGGTCCGCCAAGGAAAAGCGTACACCTTACCCCTGCCAATACCAGCTTAGTCGCAAATGCAACCGCATTGGCGAATCACAAGACGCGCAGTACGAATAAGATAACTACTTCTAAGGTGCTATGAAAGATCACTAAAGTCCGCCAAGGAAAAGCGTACATCTTATCCCTGACAAAACCAGCTTAGTCGCAAATACAATCGCATCGGCGAATCACAAGACGCGCAGTACGGCCAAAACCACTACCCCTAGGCGCTTAGAACTATGTCCAAAAGCAGAAGACCATTGAACGCCCATTAACTTGCTTCACTGCTGCATCATTCGTGTACAATACCTCTCTTCCAACTAATTCCCCCTCCCACCATGCCCTCTCCCCTTCTCCTCGCATCCGGTTTCCTCGCCCTCTGCATCGCCTACATCTTCGCCAACATCATCCGCCAGCTGCTTCTTCCAAACACCAAAGAACCACCCGTCGTCTTCCACTGGCTTCCCTGGCTTGGGAGCGCCATCACCTACGGCAAAGACCCCTATAAGTTTCTGTTCGCCGCCAGAGAGAAGCATGGAGATGTCTTCACCTTTGTCCTGCTAGGCCGCAACGTCACCGTTCACTTGGGCGTTGCCGGAAACGATTTTGTCTTCAACGGCAAAGAGACACATGTCAATGCCGAGGAAATCTACGGTCCCCTATGTAACCCCGTCTTCGGCGAGGGCGTCGTGTACGACTGTCCCAATTCCAAGCTCATGGAACAGAAAAAATTCGTCAAGTTTGGTCTGACAACCGACGCTCTCAAGGCACATGTGCAACTGATTGAGCAAGAGGTCGTAGACTACATCAAAGCCTCCCGAGAGTTCAAGGGACAATCAGGCACCATCAATGTGCCCCCCGTCATGGCTCAAATCACCATCTTCACCGCCGCCATCGCCTTACAAGGGCCTGAAGTGCGCAGCAAGCTCACAAACGAGTTTGCAAGCCTATACCACGATCTCGACGGCGGTTTTAGTCCCATCAATTTTGTTCTCCCTCGCGCGCCCTTCCCCCACAACATCAAGAGAGATCGGGCCCAGCTAAAGATGCGCAAGATTTACGAGACCATCATCGCAGAACGCCGCGCTGGCAAGATCCCTCCCACCACCGACATGATCAGTCATCTCATGCAGTGCTCGTATAAAGACGGCCGTCCTGTGCCAGACTCGGAAATCGCAAACATGATGATTACCATTCTAATGGCGGGCCAGCACAACTCCTCCAACATTGCGTCTTGGATCATGTTGCACCTTGCCAACAAGCCGCAACTCTGCGAAGAGCTATACCAGGAACAGCTTGATCAACTGGCTGATGAGCATGGCAACTTGCCCAAGCTCGACCTGCAGACCTTGGAGAAGCTCAAGCTGCATTCTAATGTCGTCAAAGAGACGCTTCGCATGCACAACTCCATTCACTCTATCATGCGCCTTGTCAAACAGCCACTCCCCGTCCCCAATACGTCGTGGACCATACCGCCTGGCCATGCCCTTCTCGCTTCACCTGGTATCTCAGCAAACAGCGAAGAATACTTCTATAACCCGGATAAGTGGAATCCACATCGCTGGGACGACCGCGTCATCGAAGAAGACGATGAGAGCGAGATGGTGGACTACGGCTATGGACGCATGTCCAGGGGTACAAAGAGCGCCTACCTCCCGTTCGGTGGAGGTCGCCATCGCTGCATTGGCGAAAAGTTTGCTTACCTCAACTTGGAAGTCATCACGGCGATTATGGTGCGAAACTTTTGCTTTAAGAATCTCGATGGTAGGGAGGGTGTTCCAGGCACCGATTACAGCACCATGTTTTCGCGTCCGCTAGAGCCTGCCGAGATTGTTTGGCAGAGGCGATGATCTGAGGTCTAGCATTCATTTTCGCCATTTAATACAAGTATAAGGTATTGATGCAGGGTGTGCATATATTATTATTATTATTATTATTATTATTATTATTATTATTATTATTATTATTATTATTATTCCATTAGAGTCCTTTTTCAGTCAGAGATTATGTATGACTTTGGCCGAAGGCCGTTCTGTCTAGGTCTTTCTAATATACATGGTTTTTTGGTATGGTTTGCTATTGTGGCTTTGGCTTTTCTTCAAAAGATAGCTTGTATCTGTTTAATACCAGCTGCTGAGGAGCAGTTTAGTGAATAGAAAGAGATATAGCAGCGGGCTCTTGTGGCAAAGGAGAGGTTTTGAGGTTTTAGTTTTATACAGTGTCTCTCTGTGGGTCTTCGATGGCTGTCCTAGGTACTACTTTCTTGTTCCTATTCTAGTACTGGTGATGAAAGCTAGAGTTGCTTCTATACCCGTGCTAGTGTGGAATAGTAGTGGTAGAGTGACTAGGCGGTGTTTAAATGGTTGTAGGAGCGTTTTTCGTTGTTCTTTGTATAGGTAGCATTGGAGTAGCAGGTGTTCTGGTGTTTAGGTATTTCGACAGCTACAGAGATCAGAGTCTCGTTTCTCGAATCTCTTTAGATAGGAGTTGAAGTATCCGTGTCCTAGCTTAAGAGAGTAGAAGGCGCTAGAGATTGCTCTTTTAGTGTTTGGTAGCATTTAGATAGTTTTTCTGATTTTAAGAGAGAATTTTGCTGAGTAGGTAGCTTTGTTTAGAGCGGTTGCTCTTTCTTTGTATTCCTAGTACTCTTGGCGTTGTTCAGTTTGTTGTATCCTATTAATTATCGTGCCTAGGTAGGCAATGCTTTTTATTGTTAATCTAGGGTCCTCTTTAGTTGCTTCTTTTGCTAGGTAGTCTGCTCTTTCGTTTCCAGCTATGTCTGTGTGTCCAGGTACCACAGATGTCAATGAGCAAGCTGAGCGAGCTCAGCCAATTGGCTTGCTCAGCCAATTGAGCGGAGGCCAGCAGCTCGCTCGGCTCGCTCGGATTGGCTGAAACAGGGCTGTCAGCTCGCTCGGCTTGATGGGCTCAGTCCCGATTAGGAAAGTTATATAGAAACCTTGGTGTTGAGTTTCTCAGCTAATATCCCACTTATGTACACCGTATTTCGCGTCCATCTCCTCATCGCTGATAGCCTCCTTTACAGGCACCTCACCACTGCCAAATCCAGCTCTTATCCATCGTCGATCGCACTGTATTGCTGCTAGAAGTTGCGGAGAAATGCTGCGCCGACGGGGCTCGAGGAGGTCACCCAGCTCGCTGAATAAGCGCTCACACTCACAGCTTGAGCCTGGGATTGATAGCATGTCGATAGCAAATTTGCTAAGGCTGGGGTAGCGATCGCGGAGTCCTACCCAGTATTTTATAGGGTCGACGCCCTCGCTAGCGATCGGTTCGCTGCGTTTCCAAGCCTCATATTCATCCTCCTCGTTCTCCGTAAGCCCTGCAGGCTCAATAAAGCTGTTGATAGCGTCGTCTATATCATTGTGCCTGACTTTGGGGCGTAAGCGCGGCTTCGGTAAGCTTTTGTACTCCGCCCACAAATGTTGAAACTTGCGGTTGCTGCTCTCTAGCCAATCAGGCTTATCCGCCCACGCTGCGTCAAGGTAGCTTTTGTAGCGAGGATGAAGGATTGTAGCAGCATAGTAAGCTGGCGAGAGGTCGAGCTTGTTGTAGTACTCGCGGGCTTTAACTAGGGCAGCGCGGAGGTTGATAGCAAGGTGGTCTTCGGGTGACTCTGTATGCTCATCGTGAATGACGTCTTCATAGCTTTGCAAGCGGTCCTCATAGACTCCAAGTAAGTATTCAAATACTGGAATAACCTCAGCGATTGCTCCAAAAGCACCGCTTTTGCCGCGGCCTTCAAGCCGTTTTGTAGCTTGTTTCAGTGGCCTGAGCACATCAATATACTCAGCAATCACCTGCCAGTCATGGGCATTGATCCCATCAGACCTCATCCAATCCGGCGCTGCAGGCAGCTTGTTGTTACGACTTCGGGCGTACGCGTCTTCAGTTTCAATCTTCTGAATATGGTAGTTGGCGTACCCATTAACCGCTAATTGCAACTCAACAGCGCGCTCAAAACACGAAACGTAAGAGTTCCAGCGAGTAACAACTGGCTTGACGGGCTCCTTGATTTTGTGCTGTTCTGTTGGCGCGTTGACAGGCTGGTCCCTAATAGCGAGCTTCTGATACTTCTCAAAAAGAGCGTACTGTTGTGGTGTTTTGATGTAGTTGATAACCGCGAGAAGCACTCCTAATGGTCCATCGCCTCGCCAAGTAGCCATGTTCTCAGCTTCGTTCACGCGCTCAGTCTCCTCGTTGTCGTAGGACTCTTTCTCCTCACCCCAGAGTAGCATCTGGCCAATGAGATTAAGCGTATGAGGACCGCAGCGAAGGCGACGCTCGGTAGCGCTGAAGCCCATCTGCAAGGCGAGAGTGTTGATCGTGGTGTTGTTGTTATGTGCGTTGTCGAGGACGAAGTAACCGAGCTTGCCCACAGTGATTTCGAACTGCTTGAATATTGCCATCACGACCTCAGCCATAGCCTCGCCGGTGTGGGCACCTGTCAGTTGTGGGAGCGCAATAGGCAAGTCCCTGAGCTCGCCAGAGCTATCAACGTAGTGGGCGACGATACCTAAGTAACCGCGCTTGCCACCTTTTGTCGTCCATCCGTCAAAGCTTATATGGACTTTGCTCATTGATTCTGAAAGGCTTGCGACAACCTTTAGTAACAGGTAGTTGTACAGGCGTATAACGTATCGTGAGACGCTGTTATAAGATGCCCACAGGGCTCGTTCTGCCTCTACGCTAGCTAATTGTATCATATTGCGAAAAGACGATGATTCGAATTGTAAGAGTGGGAGGTTGTTTTCGACGAGCCAGGTAACGGCCGCAAGCCTAAACTCTTGTATATTGAAGTTGGTAAGCTCGTTGGCAACAGCCTGAGAGCAGCCCTTCTGAAGGGCGCGTTCGAGGAGAGTTTCTTTCCGAGGAGCGACGGTAGTGCGCTTACTTGGAGGCTTCAAGCCATGACCTTTCTTGTCTTCTCCGAGATGACGTGCTGGCGCTGATGGAGACTGCGAGACGTCATGTATGCCACGGCCAACAGTAGTGAACTTGTGCTTATAGCAATAGTGGCAGATCCACGTGACTTTTGCGACGTTGCTGCGCAAGGCGATGCGATAGCCATGGCTGTATACCCAGCTTGCTCGGTTCGAAAGTGATGTGGGCGGCTTGCAGTGCTTTGGGTAGCGACTCCAATTAAAGCCGTCGTATTTGTCCTCTACCCATACGAAACCCTCGTCGACAGCCTCGCTAGCTGCTCCTGAAGCTGCAACAGTGGCATGCTCGCTGCCCTCAGGTGGTGGGATGATTGTCTCTTCGGCGCGCGACTCTCGGAGGGTCGCTTCAAAATTTGGTGCTTGTGGCGCGGCGACGAGAGCTTGACGCGGCGACAGCGGTGGAGGAGGTGGAGATGGTGAGAATGGCCGAGTATCGACTAGCACAGGTTGGCTGGCAGTCCCGCGATGACGCGCTGCGACTCTAGGGCGCTTCGAAGTTGTCGCGATTTCTAGAGCATTAACGCGTGTTCTTTTTGCTGGCATTATAGCAACGGCGAGGTAGATAATAGCTGCAAATAGAGACGCGTTGATGGAGTATAGGTGAGTGTGGTGGGTGATAAGTAGTAAGTGAAGTGTCGCAGAAGGAGAATATTGTTGCCAGGCCGTTAGCCGGAAATTTAGTAGCTTATTTGCTAGAAATATAGCAAAAAAGAGTGTATTTTAGGTTATAACTAGGTTTCGAACTTACGCACTACACCTAAAAATCATCGTGAGATTGCCCCTCCACCAAGTCCTTCAGCCCCAAGTTTCCAACCGCCCCATCCAACCAAGCTAAGCAAGCTGACTGAGCGAGCGCCTATCCCTAAGCTCGCTCGGCTTGCAAGCGCGCACTGCGCGCTCAGCTCATTCGGCTTGGTCAAAACGTCCAAGCCGAGCGAGCTGAGCGAGCCGGCTCGCTCGTTGACAAGTATGCCAGGTACCCAGAGTAGGTGGATATTTGCTTATTTTCGTTGGATTGTTTTTGCTACTTTTAGACACCGGAGTTGCCATTGCTGTCCTCGGTTATCTGATAGGTTTTTAAGCCTATAGATTGCTGCTTGGTCATCTGCGTCAGACTTGCTATCAGTCAGGTAACTCAGTTCGAACTGACTGAACTGACTGCCAAGACTCAGTTCAGTCAGTCAGTTCTTGAGGCAGCTGGACGTCAGTCCAGTCAGTTCAGAAGCCTCCAGACTGACTGAACTGACTGACGTTAGACTGACGTTAGCTGTTTTTAAAGCAGTATTTTAGAGTTGTGAAAGCCACATTTAGTGCGGCTTCGAAGCCGCGCTAGTCCTAGATATAAAGACACTAATCCTATATAAGTTAAAGCATCTAGCTTTAAGCTAATTAGAGTTTGCGGAAATGCGCTACCCGGTGCGCACCTAGTAAGCCTTTCGCGTCGCGTCGCGTCGCGTCTGCTATACACACGACGCTAGACTACTGTTGCCATAATACTTCTTGGTGTACTTCATGTCTACTCCCTCTAATTCAGGCCTTCGCCGCCTTGTAGAATGCGACAAGCGCAATTCTCCTCTACCATCGCTATCAAACGCGCCTACTGTTGGCGATACTGCGAGCGAGGCCCAGGCTGATGAGCCCTTGGCAGTACAGGCGGACTTCCCCAACGACGGCGACGACGACGACGACGACGACAATTACGACGGGCTTGATTTTAAGCGTGTGCCGTATCTTGAGCGGCGCCAGGTTGAGCGTAATAGTCGCGGTGGGCCAAAAAGCTGGATCTACCGCCACGGCTGGGCCGTCTGGCACCGCAAGTACAAGAAAAACTACTGGCTTTGCCGGTACTGCCATCAACGACGGAAGCAGGAGGCTTGCTACGAGGC